TCGTTTAACTTAGTAGAACTAGTAGACTTTGAGACTAAATACTATTACTATAATCGAATTCGTAATAAAGGGTTAACTAAGCTCAAGTTTTTGCGTTAATACTTGTGTAAAAGTGATTAGCAAAAAGGAGACGGACTTTCCTTTATTATAAGGCGATATAAGTTTATGCTATACTCAGTTAAATATACAGTATACTGTCTACCAATACGAATCTTTCTACTCGTATATCATGTCTACTGTGCGCATTTCTTCGGTATGATCTATGTCATCAAAAGAGGAAAATTAGAAGAAAAAACTTACCTATATCGCTAATTTATCCTCATACTCATGTATTACAATATCATAGATAAACAGTAATTCAACTTGATAGTTTACGAACTTTTTACTTCCGACGTAAAGTTCCGATGACGCAGTGTGAGATATAATCAACATATGGGAATGGTATACTCGTGTGTTTTCATATTTTGTTTATCTGCTGATGGTTTCAAAATTTTTTCTATTTCATTGCAATACATAGGCTTACAAAGGAAGTAAGATATTTTGAGTTAATCGTAATAATATCTTACAACTTCTTCTATTTGCTACATATTAGAAAAGTAATTAAATGCCTGCAATATGACAATATTAATTTCATTCGCAATCTTTATATTTATTACTAGGCAATAGCAAGGCAATAATAACAAGCGAATTCTTATTATTTACAACTTTTAACTTTTTCCAAGGGATTGTGCTCTCCTTTTTAGTGTGTCTGACCAGATGTGAAATTACTAACCGATAGAAGACAATAGTACATCATTACATTTACTAAATTTTTATCATCTTGATAATATAATACCAAAGAAACAAGACTATCTTTCCCATGTTCTAAGAAGGTCAAGGTTCACTAAGATCAGTTTGGACTAAACTTGGGTAGGTTTATTAATATTTTATCCTGATTAAATATCACCAACTACGGTAATTTATACTCGTCTCGCGTGTTATATTTCAGTAGTACATTAATGAAAAAGTTCCGTACAGACAAATAGCGATCGCTCATATATCTATCACCATTAATTATATATTTAACGCCTTGTTGAACATTGCGCAGTACTGTAGTGTTGTATTTTATTATTTAGCTGCCGGCGAAATTGAAAGACTATAGAATCTCTGTCAGCCAAGCGACAAGATATTAAGCTAGTTTTTATTATATTCTTAGCTTTTTGATTTTAGTTTGGAAAGGAGTAAAACACTCTGCAAATTAGTATCCCTATCTTGGTGCCAATAATGGTACCATTATGATCCAAGGTGATCATAATCACTCCTAAAAGAAGAATTTTACGCACGCAATCGTTGGCACAATTTTTTCGTAGATTTTTAATAAACATCAATAGGCGTGGTTTAACTCAAAAAGAGGAAATATGGGTGCGTTTAATTGAAAAGATGCCAATTATCTTGTTTTTAGGGAATGGAATAGACTATTTTAAACGCTAAGAATGAAATCGAAAGAACAAAAATGTATAGTAAAAATTTTTGTTTGCGATACGGGTGATAATAAGAATTAAAGTTAATGTTAAATTAGCTAATTAATATGGGGCATTCAATAAATTTAAAACTGATGCAATTGTAATTGATATTTAATACGTCAACAAACGCCTTATTAAGTATGATTGACCAGAACAATAATTTCTGCCTTGAACAATTGCCATAAGATTAATTAATTAATTATAATTATTATCATAAATTTCAAAATTCGATCGCAACTGTCAGGCTGTATTTTTTGATCATTCAAATACGTAATTTTAATCCACTAATCTTATTAGTAAAGTGCAATGATCAACTAAGACAGTTATGATACGCTTTGGTAGTGATATAAACGGTAAATCTATTGAAAAATTCGAATTACGCATGCTTCCAAGAAGCTTAACATCAAGTGCAACAACAACAATAACAATCTAATGGAAGACTAATAAAGCTGCAAAATACAAATTATCATCCTTACAAAGGCTATATAAATTTTCATTATGATAGATCCGGCATATGAGGATATAACTTATACTAAATAAAAATACTTGACCGTACGTACACAAACGAAATTAATTCAAACAAGTTAAGAAGCGGATATTTTTACTATTCCTTATATTACATAACACATTATTTGTTAATATACATTTATAAATGCAGTACTCTATCAAAAATATTTATTATATTTTAAATTACTTTAAAACCATCGGGAAAACAGTTTAAATAATCCTAGTAGTAAGTAAGGAAATGACTACCGAACCTTCAGATGGAAAAGTCCTCAAATGTTAAATAAAAGTTGCACTTCCATCTTACACATTCCATCTCATACACAGTAGTTGATGTACTTATTTATGTCATCAAGTGGATTCATCTGTTCATTTAATTAAGCGTAGAATGATGGCAAAAGACCAATAAATAGTTTCTATAGAAAAGAATAGTAGAATATGCTATTGTAAATAGAAAGATATATATCTAGGATGATATTTCCTCTTTACCGTTTCTATATTATTACAAAAATCAACCCTCTAGAACACCGATTTCATAAGCACAAACACAACATGCTTTTTGTTTAAATATTCATAGTGCAATGTCAAATGAATTCATCAGCATTTTAATTATGAAAATATTCACAAGAGAATTGAGAAATTTAATAAGTATTTTCTATTAACAGGAAATGAAAGGTTGTCTATATCGCACATGAATAAAATAAAATTAAAGCGCAGATACTCGGTATGAATTTAGCTGTACATCTGTCTAAGGTATTTCTTCGTGTCATATACATACTACGCGTATATTCTTTTTACTAATATCTACGCTATTAATATTATAAACAAATTAAGGTGCATTATGTAACCATGGCAGAGTTAAGAAATTTATAACATACCAGGATGTATAAACACGAATATTCTATTTTTTACAATTCAAATAATACAGGAATTTTAAATTTTTGACCTTATTTCAGTGAAATTCTTTCAACATCAAGTCAGATTAGAGACTTGACAATTTTACTGTTGTTCTCAAAATAATTACGGTACAACATCAAAATGGAGTATACTACGTGCTTTTTACTTGCGGTGTATTAACTTGATTAAATCTATGTTTCATTATTCGTGAGCAAAATTCTAAAAGTCATTCAAAAATTTCCAGCAATGATCATCAAATATTCTATTAGTAACCCACCTAACTTATTAGCTTTACCAACAACTGTCTTATTTAAAATTGCTAAAAGACAACCTTAAGAAGTCACCCAATAAAGATCTTCAAACAATTTTTACTTGAAAATAACGTAGCTTTACGCCAAAGACGTATATACTAAAACATTAAATAATTATTTAATATCATCCATACGATACTAACTTATTTATCTAAACTTTATTTAGTATTATAGTAAGTTGATTTTGAGCTTGTACAGAATATATTACTGTATCAAGTAGTACAAATGAAATAATTTGTTACAGCAACCATGCGATTATAACCGAGAGAATTCCAGCGGACTATAGGATTCAAAAGAGGTTTTAATTAATTTTAGGCTACTTCTATTATATTAATGTAAATAGTAATGGAAGAATAAGAGAATAATTCATGCAACTTCACAATGCTGAGATCCGTAAGTTCATAATTAACTCTTCATACAAAGTAAAGCATTAATTACAAGAATATGGATTTTACCAATGTAGCACTATATAAATTCTGCGCCTGTAAAATAGGATAATGTGAACGTTTTATTAGCAAATGTTGTTAGAAGCTACTATTTCAGTTAAAACAATTATCTTTCATTTCCATGCTTGTCATCAATTGATGCAAGATTTCCTTCTTATTGAAACTACTACAATAAGGTATAGTATTTCTGATCCGGAAATGAATTTAATGATCTTTCTTCCTTTGTTTACTTACTTTAAATTATCAGCTCTTAGCTATTCTCGACATGAACACTGCATTTTATCGATTGCTTGACTTTTAGTAGCTAATACGAAAAATTTTTATTTACATAAGTTTCGTGTAGAGAAGTTTTAGTATAAATCTAGTGATACATTATTGTGAGCTCTCTAAGGAAATCTGAATTAAAGCAGAAAAGGACGCTTGCTAAGGTCTTACTACAAGCTAACCATTTTATACATGTGATATATCATCGTTGTTCTCTTGTATAACACTGTAGTGGCATTCAATATCTCAACTAAAATAAGAATGCAAGGCTTATATAAAATTAGATTCAATAGCAGTTCCGATCCAATTAACCTATTAAGTAACTATTTTGAAATTGAATAAATCAGTAAATACAACTTCAGAAATGGTGTTGCAAAAAATTTTAGTATGCACTCTATACTCGAATAGTTAAAGTCTAATGCCAATTAACAGAATCATTCGACAGGCAAACTTTAAAGGGATCATATGAGAACTTAAAAATATCCAAATTTTTACTGACAGTGAAAATCCCAAGTGAATTTCCGAAAGTTCCTCCATCCAACAGAAATACTCAATATTATTACATGAAAGTAACTGCTATTGCATTGCAGAAATTGTGCAAGAATGCTCAAAACTTATAATTGCAACTGAACTAGAGATTATGAATGTTGAAATTAATTTTCTTACGGCTGTACAGGATGCAACTAGTATGTATTTATCTACCGCGTCGATTTCTAACAAGAAAATACAAATTTGTTTATAATACGTCATATAAATCAAATGGCGGTGATCATTGATCGCTAGTGAATCAATCATTTACGAAACAGATTCCAAACTAGAAAAAAATGAAAGAAAGCTCACTTGTAGGACGTTATGCAAATTGAATACATTTCACACTTGATATATTCGAACAGTAACAATATCTGAATGATAAAATAAGAATTTCAAGAATCGGTTATCGCCCAATTGAACAATAAGTCATAATTTCATGAAACCGTTTCTAATTTCTTCGGAGATAAAATTAATGCATGGCATAATCTAAAAGATTTATAATAAATCATGCACTGTAAGGCGTAATAAATAGGTCTAAAATCGAATTAGATGTTGAAAGAGTTCAAAGTGATCATTTTGCCAATTATCCAATAAGTTCTCATATTTCCTATTCCCTATATGTATTCAAGATAGTAAAATATCACTGTTAGCCAATTAAAATTGATAATAAAAATTTGTCCTATTACAATGATGAATTGAATCCTCGATTATGAACAGTGCCCACACTATTCATATCTGTTAAAACTACAATCGTACAAAATCCACCTTTTCTAATACTTTCTCATGATACAACGGTTTTAGCGATATTTGCTTAAATATTATACCTTGATATTCACTTCTCCTCTTTCTATCAGTCGATATTGATAAGTTTGCACCAATTTTCGATAGGTCGCTTCGCTGCAATGTATTTTTGATGCTAATATATAACCGAGTTGATAGGATATTAATACAAATAATAATGCTAGCAACTTTTGAAAATGATTTAATTGTCCCAGCTCATCGATTTTGAGCTTTAATGATTGATATAGAATTTAATTGCATTCATCTTTATGCCTGATTATATATATTAGTTATATTATATCTAATTTTGACTAATCAAGCATAATTCCAAGTCTTATGATACCTTCTCCGCTTGATTCCATTCTTGATGCTATATTTACAGCATCACCAAATAAACAATATCGAGGCATTTTTCTACCGATTACTCCAGCTGCACAAGATCCTGTAAATTCATGGATAAACGAAAATTACGTTCAGTTCCGCAGTTTCATAGAGGCGATACTAATTAATTTTAGGATTTTATGCTAGAAAAAGTTTGAAACTAGTTTAATAAGCTCTATACCAGAATGGATCCCAGCTCGTAACTGAATTTGAGTATTTGGGTTTTGAGGCAGTTTTACTTTTTTGATCGAGTTTAACATATCTAATGCCATTTCGGTAATTTCCACAGCATGACGATCATCCGGTAATTTTTTCGGCAAGCCTGACACTACCATATAAGCATCACCAATAGTTTCAACTTTATAGACTTCATGTTTATCAGTTTGGACATCAAACAACAAGTAGATATTATTCAACATGTCAACTATATCCATAGCTGAACACTGATGGCAAATTTGCTCAAAGCCAACAATATCGCTGAAATAGATTGTAACGTTATCGTATTTTTCAGCTACTATATCTTGACCTCGTTTTAATCGTTCAGCAATCGATTTTGGTAACATTTCACATAAGAGTGCGTCTGTTTTAATCTTTTCGCGTTTCAATTTTTTAGTTTTGGTGGCTAAATTGACTGCATAAGTTTGAATGCTTTTCGTTAATTTAACGGTTAGGAAGATCAAGACTGGACAAATAAATAAAACACTCATTAGTAGAATGAGTGAAAGTATAAAATTTTGGGCTGCAACTTCGCTAATTTTTGTTGATTGAGATTGGATATATAGGGCCGTTCTATCTTGAATGATTTTCAGTTGATTAATATAGGCAGACATGTATGCAAACCAATCGTTAGCCTGTTCAATGGATGGCTTATGAGGGATATTTTCGGTTATAATACTGCGTAACGACTGCAAACGTTGATTGATACTCGCATTAGAGACCGTTTCATTAAAATGAAGAGCAATATAATTGGAATACTGAACAGCTGAAGTTAAGCTCATATTACCAAGTTGTAATTTAGCGTAATAAAGTAACGCCTCCCGATAGCTTAAGTTCGTTCGTAAGAAATAGATACTACCAACAGCTCTTTCAAAGCCGGTCTCTTCTTTGCCCTTTAATAGCATTTGATAAGCAACTAATACATTCCACAAACTGTCTGTCTGCACATTGCGGATACCAGTGGAAATCCAACCCAATAAATGACTATTAATATTAGAATAAAAAATTAATTCATTCATAGCGGTAGTATTGGCAATATCGACCACTTTGTCACGATGATAATTTAAATATTCATAGATGGCACTACGATTGGCTAAATAAGATGCTTTTTCGTTTAAACTATGCAATTCTACTGTTGGCCATGGTTGAATCTTGTCTATTGCTCTGTTTGTTTCTAATCTTTCTTGAATCAATGACTTAAACATATTTCTATCATAATTACTACTAACATATAAGACAGTTTGACCCCGTTCAATCTGTAAACGGTGAATAAGATCACCCAATTGAATGCTCGAAGAAATCTCCTTCTTAACTTGATTAGCCTGATTCTGCTGAAATGTGTTGTTGACCAAGCTGGAAACTGTTATAGCAGCCAAGCCAATACAAGGAATTAAAATTAATACTGTCATCTTAATTGATTGGATCCGTTTTTGAAGAGCACGAAGTGAACGCCTATCTATATAATTGCCTAATCGTCTGATACCCTCGGTTTCTTGACTATCACTACTATTATCATCGTCTTCGTCTCCATGAAAATCTTTGTACAAACTGGAAGCAATATGGCTTTTCAGCCGCATTTGAGTATTCAATCGTAATCTTCCGTCACCTGAATTCACCATTATGAAAATGGATGCCCTCGGATGATAGATAATTTTGGCATATACAATATCCTATTAAATTCGTAACATACAGTTAAATTAATGTTGCTGCTTACTCGAATAAAATGAGTATATTAACACGTTGTATTTTTAGTAATGTTAAAAGGCTAAGTTGATAATATCCTAACTAGTGGAAGTAATGAAGTATTCACATCTCTCTAAGTTGAAGATAAGGCTACTAGTATCAATCGCAACTCTGGTTACTTCTTAAAATGGATAGCACATAATCAAAAATCGATCTTATTAGAAAGATAAATGAATGTCATTAGTTGAATATCTCTGAAAGCGATATTAATGGTCTATTTAAAAATGGAACAGAGATAAAGCAGATTAAAAAATGCAATTGGTAGTGGTCGTTCTAAGAATATTCAATCTTAAATGTTGTAAACCACTGAGATACTTCTCATCAATGCATTACATAAATCCTTCAGAGCAGTTTAAACTCAAGTCAATTTTCTGTTATATGATAGAATCAATTTCGCTTCAATCATTTCTGTCATGTCGATAGAAAATAACGATTAGCTCATTTATTAGAGTTATTAAACTAGTATTAGGCTCCCATTTCTGCTTAAACTGAAATAGGATACACGCTATGGCGCAATTTCTTAACCATTTCAAGGTAAATTAAAGACGGTACTTAAACGATAACCACGCTACTAGATAATTCTTAATAAATAATTATTATTTAGATTCTAAAGAAGTAAACTAATATTCCTTCCGTCCTTCGAGGGGGTGGGGGTATTTGTGTGATATGTACGACATTATTACTTGCCAGTTAATTCATATACTTAGCATTAGAAAGCAATAAATAACATGTCCAAACTGATTTATGAGTGTATTCTTTCACTTATAGATGGACCAATTCTAATTCAACTTCAAGCTAATAGTTTTAGAGATTGTTACGAACGATTCAAGAATTTAATAATAATGTAGCATAAAATACTTAATTGAAAATTTAGACTCTTGATCGTGATATTCTTTCTAGTCAAACACTTGAAATTATTATCAATGATATCCTGAGAAATATCATGTAACTGATTTAAGAAAAATATCAATAAGGGCTTGTCTTTCTGATTCTCCAGAAGTAATTCCCAGCGTAAATGAAGATATAAACAAGAGCACCTTATGTACATATAGAACATAAATCGGCTCAAAAAATACTGTATTAGAAACTATTAATTTGGTACCGACAATATTGCGTGTTCATTACATGGAAAGTTGTTAATGATACTAGTGTAAATAAATTCCATTATACACTAAGGGATAGTTGTACATGTTGTTGATATCAACATAGAGATATATATTTACTGTGTCATCTTCATTCCCTCAAGAATTCTAATATTGATCACGCCGAACTTTAGAAAATCTTACTTAAAATAAATCATTTCTATGAACAATTTGGACTTAATACAAATATCTGGACAAGGTAATACAGTCTCATTTGCTATTGATTTTTACATACTAATACACTGCAACATTATAACAAGAAATTGATGTAGACTGCATTTTTCATTTAAAATTTGTTTTTAACTAATAAATTAAAGAAATTTTAAATTCAAGACTATAAGGCAATATAAAATTTTCATCCATATCATAGGCACAGTATTCGAACTGAAAGTATTACTCTATATGTGTAATATAATACATAAAAATTAAATTTAGACATATCGTCAATATATAAACAACTTCAATAAATTGATTGATTCAATTTTAGGCTAGTAAATTTATTAAAACCAAAAATTTTGAACGTACTTTTTCCTCGCTGAGTAAAATTTTACCGCAACAAAATCGTTCTGGCAGGAATATTAATCGTCTGTGATTCCTGTAAGCTAAAACAACAAAAAATAAGGATTTAGAATTATTTTTTTAGGTAAGTCCTGTCAATGCTAAATAGATCGAATGACTGCGTGTTATAATGTTATTAATGTGGCATTCAATAAGTTTATAATCGTGAAAAGTATTTTGGTCAGTAAATTCGAATAATTTCACCCAGGTATCAGATCCAAATTTCATATCGTTTCAAAAAATGAAGTTGCTTACTTGGATAAATAGCAGGAGTAACGAATACGAGTATTGGACGCTAATTTGCTTTGTGTAGTAATGAAAAAAAACGAAAGACCAAACGGCTTATACGACAAAGTAAAAGGACTTCTTAGTCAACTGTCGCCACTTTTCACTACATACCGCGACCCGTCTTATTGTAGGGCACCAAAGTAAGTCCTGATATGGCTATTACTTTTAATAATTGTTGTGAAAAGAAACAATAATACATTAGAAATTTGATCTCTCGGAAGAATACAATAGCCAAAATTATCTGCATGAACTAATGGTTGGAAATGCTTCCTTCGCATTTTTCCATTGTACTAATTAGCAATCTAATTTTTTTCTATTTATAGCTTTGGTTGATATTATAAATTCTGACTCCTGCAGTTAAATAATTGTCTGTATAGCTATAAAATCAAACAAATGATTTATTTTTGCTTAATCCTTATAGAAAATATAACGAAAATAGCGCTGATAAGATAGAAAATTACCTTTATTATAATATACTACTTAACATCTTTAACTTCCTTTAATTAATTTTAAAACTTAGAAAGAATTATTTTAAATTGGTCTATTGCATTTCAGTATTCAAAGCAGAATGTTAATAAAATTTTAATAGAAGATATCATACGGAAATATTTGATAGTATTTGACTGAGCAGTAGCAATTTCCGATTATCTTAATCATAATATCCAAACTTTTTAGAAAGATGCAATTCTCTCCATATAATAAACTAAAATTCTTGAAAAATCAAAGTATACGTAATTCATTTTACAGCAATATTATTTCTTAACTTTCGATAAAGGTAAATAGTAAATTTCCAATAATTTTAATTATTTCTATAGAATAAGCCAGCTATTTACAATTATTAACAAAGACAACTGACCCCATCTCAATGTAAGATTAATGACCTACACAAGACCTTTTTAACTTGATAATAAAATCTTTTCATTAGAATAAAGTGAAGCAAAGCAAGTGCCCTTTATGCTATTAAAGCAAACTTATTTCATTCTAGCAGGCTAATCATTCCTGTCTTTATCAACAGATCCCATTTATTGACAACAATATCTCATTGCAGAAAATAAATCATTACCGATGACAATAAATGTTAATAATAAAATTTATAGATAACACTTGTCAAGGTGTAATTTCTGTTCAGAATATCTATACCGATGCAAATTTTAAAGTAATCAGCAAAAAAATAGGTATTGTTTCTAGCTATAACATTACGTTAATTAAAATTTCTAAGTGATAAACATCTATCTTTTACCAAGACTACCTTACTTTGTTTATATTTCAACTTATATTTTAAACATTATTCACTTACATTCATCATTGCCTGGCTTAATTTATACATTTGTTCTATAGACAGCAGAATAAATTCTAGTTCCTCCGTAAAGTATACGGTATTGAGTAAAAATAGTAGGCAATTATTGAACTGTTCATGTATAATTTATAATTGCATTGTCACCAATTTTAGCCTAAGCTAGGGTTGTTATGATCTATATGGCGAAGAGATTTCATTCAAAGCCTATACTAAATTATTTCTTAACTCTGGTCTTTAAGTTCAGCAAAATCATCACGTACTGTGTTGCTAACTTAAATAAATAATTTCCGTCAATGATCTCCCTTGATCTGTAAATAAACTTCCTTATATTTTAGCCGCTACTATTGGGTGATTTGTGTATTCGTAAATAAAAGTTATGAGATTTCTTAAATATCTGTTCGTAAAAAATCATATCTGCCATTATTAGCGCTTTTTAAAGCACAACATGTGTAATATTTGCGTCTACTATACGAAAGATCCATTAGTTAGAACTTTAAAATGGAATATCGTGAATTCCTAGAATAATTTAACAGTTAAAATAAGTGCATATGGTGCCGTATTATATCAATTTTTTTCGTTAAAATTTTTTCGGTGTCAAGTTGTTAGGCTGCATTTCTGGACAAAGAGTTGAAAGATTAATAAAATAGGAATATAAAAAATTATAGACTAGATATAGGAAAACATATTGCTTATGTATGCGAATTGATAACTTTAATCAAATTCTGGATAGCATTGATAGGAAACATCAACAACCATAATTTAATACCGTATGCTACGTCGAATGGTTACCTCATACACTGTCTTATTGGTGCGGATTCTGTTTTTTAATGAAAGATATTTTATTCTATAATGTATAAAAAAGTAGAAAATAATTTGTATTTTGGATGTTACTAAAAAAAATAACATCGATATTCGAATGAATGTATTTCATAATTAATTATAATTAAATAAGACATCGGTAATCTATTGCTGTTAAATGTGTTATCCATTATAGCTTTAATGGAGACATTTAAGTCACCCTACTAATGATGGATACATTTAATTCTTTATTGAAGTGAAAAGACAAGAATTAATTGCTTAGTAATAACGATTATTCTCATTTTCTACAATATCTTACCTTATGCTATTTTAAAAGAATAATTATACTCGCATAGCCTAGCCAAAGAAACATGGAGCTTGCAATCTTTATTAACTAATAGTAAGTAACGCTAGCGGTTACCATATTTTAATACAATATTTATTTAATTTTGTACTCGTAAATTTTATATTTCTTAAGTTACTCAGGTAAAATTCTAAAGATATTCTAAAATCAAAAAGCTTATAAAAGCATTCTCAAAGGAAAAAATAACTTCATATGATTACTATTGCTACTAATTATCTTTCCATTTAACTTTATTAGTAAACTTTCGTTAACGTTGTAAATTAATAACTACTATAAATAATTCGGCGGATATAAACAGTAAAGGCATCACATTATACTAAATTGAAGTTGTAATCAAAAAGTGTGAAATTTTCAATTAAGAAAGAACGGTACTAGTACTTCGGTGTAATTATCAATTCTGTCATTAAGTGAAATGCCAACATTTATTGCTCAACGAGCTTTATCCTGGTCGTAACGGCGTAAAAATAGGAACTTATCTGCTATCAATAATATTACTATTTATGTTCCTCCTAGTACAGACCTCTAATTACAGTATTGAAAATGATAATATTGAGAGGAAATTGGCATTATATTCAATATAAAGAATATATCGGAGGCATATCTCATTGACGTATTCTTTACACAATTGTAAAGTCCTAAATTCATTACGTCAAGCAATGTTATTACTAGCTATTAGAAAGATTAATTGTCACTAAGCGTAAATCTAAATTTCGTTATTTCAGTCCAGAGAGGAGCAAATCATAACTCTGAATGTACTAAGATGTTGACGATAGCATCAGATGAACGATAAATTAGCAATAACTCAAATATTATCAATTGTTCCTCTGTTAGGATCGAATTATTACGCGATTACTAACGGAAGAGACAGAGGCTTTATTAGAAATTAAATTAGCAAGATTTGTCGGTATCCTATTCTAACATTCAGTAGTGTTATTTTCTATCTATGCTCTAAAATGATCGTACCGTAATTGAAATAGACAACAAGTATAAAACTTACACTATTATATATTACAACAATTGCAATTATTCTGAAATGTAGACTAGCGGAAATAGCACTCTTCAGTAATTTTTGCCTGAAATAAAAGAAAACCTATTATAAGTATAGGTGATTTGCAAGATTATCGTCTAATTTTTAATTTGTATAACATCGTAAACTGTGTATAAGCCACGATTGCATGAGAAAGAGTAATATATTTTCTAGCTTAGGTTCCATCAATTGTAAATATCTGCCAGTATTGGTCGCAAACAAAATATGAGATCATAATGAAGTTAGCATTTTGTACTTATGCGTTCATTCTAATGATAAGCACAACACGGCAAAGTTATAAGCGACCGTTAATTCTATTAGTTAGAGTATAGAAAGAACAGCACCATTTTTTTTATCATAGTTTATAGCCTCCGTAATTCTAATCTATACATAAATGATGCATGCATTAATTATTAGGGCGATTTATTGTTTTCATTATAATATAATTGTTGTTTGACTTTTTCTTTATCCAATTATAAGTTGTTGTTATTTTTATTTATTTATTTATCTTAAAAATAGCAGCAGCTTTGATTCGACTTCTCAAGAAGCTTCAGTGATTCAACTATATAATTGCCGCTAAAATTCCTATCTAATTACTTTCATGCAGGTAATTGACGAGTAACACTGATCTTATCCAATCTACATTTTACCTTATCATATTGCTTCTTGTTGTAACGGTATATTTTTTATTTGTGATCTCCTACCATAGCAATAATATCTACCTTTTCAAATTACCGTTTATCCATGGTTAATTGAGTGAAACTAAAAGTTCTATGGGTGAACTATAACAGCATAAATTTTTCAGTATAAAAATTTATAAAATTTTTATGCAAATTATCTATTAATTTATAGATAAAATCAAAATCTATTTCCATAATTTGTAATCAGTAAATGCCAGACGCTTATTTCAAAAGACTCCTTACATCTATCATTCATAAATATTTTACTGTATTAAAATTTATTTCTAGTATTTCAAAGTTAACATAAAATCTATATATATTGGCAATATAGCAGCACACTTCACACTTTTTACATATTATACGGTTTCATTATACAGATACATAGAAATTCAACCAAATAAACAGATAACTCAGATAAGTTTGGTTAATCTTACTGAATACAAATACATTGGCTTAATGAAATTGCAGCTCTAAACTTTTTTAAATCTCATTTGAGACTTGAAATGAAGTAGCAAGCGATCACTACCAGACTTAATATATATATGAAGTAGAGAAACACAACCTTGTTCATGAAAGTATCACAATTGTCTCATCTGGAAGTTTAAGCACATTCGCGGTACCGTATGTATTTTAACTCACTCCGCAAGTAATGCGGTATCGTTTACTGCATTAGCTTACAATATCTACAGGACACGGACATAAATAAATCTTATCTAGTCACGAAATCATAGTGATAATGAATTATGCGAAATGTAGGTATTAATCCACTGTATATTAGAGGCTTTTGCATGGTCGTTATAGTATATGCCGTAACATACAATGAGACTCCAATAAACTATCAAAAATGGTGTTAACTACGTTATATAAATTATCTACCATCAGACTTACGAATGATGACTATGTACCGTAAATCATTTCAATTCTACGTTCTTAGTCAGTCATAATTTGTACAAAGATAATAATTTCAGGTGTGATAGATATTACAAACGAGAACAGTGATTGCGATATCTTAAAATAGGGGTCTAATTACAGTGTTAGTGATAGTGTTACTACAACATATTTTACTGTACAATATATATATGTTACAGTCATTTAAGACGTTCTTTGGAATGACCATAACACATCCGCTTTTTAAGCTATCCGTAAAACGAAAGAAAGATGAAATAATGAAAAAGGCAATATCTGTAGACTGATAACAGCCACCCATGCATAAGATGAAGATACCGCAAGTTACTACTGATACCAGCTATTATAATTTCGCTCTATACTGATAAGAGGATTGAGCCTTTAGTAACGAGTTAAATATTTAATATTGTTATTACAGTGTGCAGTGCACTATAATCATTTAATGAAATGGTTAGTAGTCAACTCAGTTGGTATCTACGCCTTTGCCTAAGTAAAAAGTATAGGAATGGGCGTTCGAGTAACTATGAAAAAGTTTATACAGCCATACAAATTATACGAATGATATCTGTACAGCATAAAATCTTTGTATTGCAGACTACCGGCATGTTAATTCTTCTAAAGTTACTTAATTGATAGCAATAAAAATTAATATAATCAAGAATTCAGTTTGTTAACACATTTAGAACATAAATTGAAGAGATAATAGAAATTCAAACTTAAATTGGTAGCTACTTTCGGAACATCAGCATCCAGTCGCGTTGTAATTTAGCTTTATGCCCGATAGAAACACGTATTAGCAACATTTTATTCATTAAATACTTCCTAATTTTCCTAAAAGCCAGAATGTTTCCATCTCACCTAAACCCTAAACAATAATAAACTGGTCATGACTACATGCGTTATACAAATTGTATACTGCTCTGATACATCTAAACAGGCAATTTTATTGCAGTAGCAATAGCAGTAATAAATATTGAATTGTCCTTAAACTGGGTTTAAGCTTGAAATATTATCAATAGCTGTATCGATTCTGTGCACCTTAATATTCAAGGATCCTCTTGATTTCGTTTCGTATCCACCAATATATTCAAGAGCATCAAATGCTACTTTACTTATATGAATTCTCGAAGCTGTTTAAAGTTTAAGTGTATTCCATAGTCATTAATGGTAAACTTTAATAATGAATCAAGGAATTATCAAAAGGTGTTATCAAGAACTAAACATTTAATTAAGTTATATTTACACTATAGATTATTTTAGAAACGATAGAATAAATTGTTAAAGACCGGTATCACATTTTATCATCCTTGCTGACAAGGACGTAATTCAAATCTGACATACGTTAAGCTTTTTTACATTTAAGCATTCTAATCCAATTTATTTAATGCAAAAATTTCCGTAAAATGACATTGATAGAATAGTTAAACTAGCGTGATATGTATTAATACATAATTCCTTTACACACACACATAATTCTATATGTAGTAATGTATCGCGTATTGTGTTGCCATTTCTTTGCTAAGACTTGGCTGGCTATTAATATAGTTGAAGAGTGTTCACTAGAGTCCAATTACTGCATTGGTATTGTCATCGATATTAGTACGATTCAAATTATCTTACACCATTAATAAAATAACAAAGTCAGAGATATATGTGGTAAAATATAAACTCATATTGGAAGGTATATTTGTGTGCCGTAGTCTCGAGGTTTAAAGACGTTAAGCTAACTCAAAGTATGCGATCAAATAATAAACATCGAATGAGTATCTGTCTACTTAGTAATTATAATAATTCATTATATACTTCAAATCCACTACGAAATTTCTACGTCCTGATATGCTTATATTGTAGTTATATTTTCGGCAATAGTATTCAATAGTCTATTTATAATATGCTTTGATTATAAAATCTATATTAATATAATCAGTATTATCTACAGTAGTGCTATGTTATAAGTACAAAACGTGTAAGCTACTTATTTACCTTGGCCGTTTGATTCCATCCTGGATGCTGTGTTGACTGTATCTCCAAATAAACAATATCTAGGCATCTTGCATCCGACTACTCCGGCAGCACATGGACCTAGAAGCAATTCAGTAAAACAATAATGTTACTAATTTATACGTTGAGTGCAAATGCGTCTTTGCCTGTTTGAGGACTAAGTCAGTAATATATACAGAAGGACTGTTCGCGTATATCGCAATTTATCAGCAATAAAACACGACCAGATATGTAGCCAACTAGAGATATAAAAATGAAGAATTTATTTCTAAACTTTGTGCATATAATGTGAATGGCGAAAATAGTATTCTATTTACAACAGTGAAACACAATATCATCGTAAACAAGTCATAATCTGATTCATTTCTCAGCCATTTCGGTAACTGATTAGCTAAAACGATAAAAAGTGAAGGCGATACGAGTATTTCCAAAACTGCGGTATTCTATTTCGGCACTAAAGATTGTAGCAACAGAGTAATACAGCATTTTTTATACCTCGATAGATATTATAAGTCCACCTATTGAATCAAATTTTTTCAAAAGAAAGGATATTGCATTATCGACCAAAGATTGTTTTATATTTGGCTCATATAATTTAATTTATCATTTACATCAAACGCTTAATAATCCATAGTCGCTTCCCATAGAGAAAGTTAATCTTATATTTCAGTAATACAGTAAAGATATTTTGCATGAACGATAGAAATATAAATAGGAAATGATAATCTTCTGAATCAATAATATAAATTTAACTCATAGCTTATTATAATATCTTAGATCGACAAATTGTTTTGATTTTTAATTTTATAACAACAACAGTCAATTGGTAATAAACAAGAACTGCAACATATTTATTGTGATCTATTCAACTAACTTCATAAACAACCCCCCCCCCTAATAGCGAGTAAGAGTATGCTATAATTCGTATCGTGAAGAAAGACAAACTATAATATGTGTGTATTGATCAGATTTTTAAATTTGTTCGATCTATTATAAGGATATGCCAGGACGTTATTATTTATTAAAACGATCTTGAAATTTCGATTTGGAATTGTATTTTGCAAGGAATAGAAATTTTATAAAAATATGACTTACTCTATTTAAAGCAGTACGAGAATAGTGCATAATGATATAATTATAATCCACAAAGTTAGACAATCTCATGTAGAAATTGCGCTTTAGACTACCAATACAATAATAGTACATGCCAATAATAAAAACTGGAATTTCAATATTATATACGCCCTCTATAGCGTTTCCAATAAAATGCGACCATAGTACTAAGACATTGTAATTATTCTCAGTATTTCAACTAAATTAGAGAATTATCGAAACATGTATTAACAATAAAAAAAGGTCATTTCTTTTTATAAGATGACACAAGTACAAGTGCCAAAGTAGCTAGTTACTGTTAGCCATGGTAGCATTACGTAACATTAATATACAATCGCCAATTATAGACTTGCTACCAGGGTAGTTAAAAGCTTTTGCGAACAATAAACCATAAAAACTGTTCTATCTACAGTAACTACCGGACAACTAGAATACATTATTAGGGAAGTTTTATTCTAAATCAATATCCTATATGTAGGTCATTCTTAATAAGAAACGGCGAGTAAAGATGGAAAAATCAGTATCACTTGCCTTAACTCTCAAATTTTCTCACATTTTTGAAGCTGTTACAGTGCGATATCGCATATTTATAAACTAATTTTACTGTATCTACATCAATCTTGTAGATTTGGATCACTATTTGATTATCGATGCATTATTCAATCATAAACCGTCAGAATCAAAATGGCGATAAATTAGGCATATTCTACAATACGATGTGATTTTTGATAAGCTAGTTTAAACTGAAAGTCATTTTAATCCATTTTGTCGTATTTTACTTATCAAATTCCACAATATACTATATACTACTATAGTACTACTTATTTCAATGCTTCTAGTCTCTACTTCTAAAGCACATCGAAAAGATCATTCCAGATTACATTCAATTCAATTATCATATAATTTAAGGCAGTATTTATGATTTATACTTAATAAATAAAGAAGTGTGCGTAGAAATAACAAAATCATAATCATAACTGATTAATTTTTAGATAAGTTATGAACATTACTCGTATGTATTATGCCCTGACCTGTGTGTATTCCAGCTCGAAGGTGAATCTTGAAGTCTTTCATATGCGGCACTCTCATGTCCTTGACTGCTTTTAGTAATTCTAGCGCCATGTCGGCTATTTCTTTGGCGTGTAATCGGTTATCTAATCGTTTCGGCACACCAGAAACAACCATATAAGCATCGCCAATAGTTTCAATCTTGTAAACGTCGAAAGTTTCAATCTTTGCGTCAAAGACTCCATATAACAAATTTAGCATATCAACAACTTCTAAAGCTGAACTACTATGACATATGTAGGTAAAACCAACGATATCACTGAAAAATATAGTAGCATCTTCAAAAGTTTCGGCTAAGACCGGCTTTCCTTGTTTCAGTCGTTTTACAACTGGCGGTGGTAACATCTGATGCAATAAATCATCGGTGCGTTTTCGTTCGTATTCTAATTCACCGGTTTTGTCGGCTAATTGTTTGGCGAATAGCTGCATATTAGTCGTTAGTCGAGAAATCAAATAAACTAAAATAGGACATGTAAATAATACAACCACAAGTAAAAATGCTGATAAGGCTAGATCAACATCGGCTACTCGATTGATCATGATCGCATCATTAATAATTTGATGTCCAACTTGTGTCTGAATCATGTATAAATCATTCATGTACGCTGACATATTGAAAAACCATAAACTAGCTTTAGCATCATCGTGTACGATAAGCCTTTCGTTGAATAAAACGGACTGCTGTTGGGTTTGAAGATCAGTTGATTGTCTACTTACTTCATTGATTCCATCGGTGATATTGAATCTCGTGCGAATAATTGGTGAATACTGCTTTGAAATATTCAAGTATGTTTTACCTTTAGATGATTTTTCGATAAAGAATAAATGTTCATCTGTATTTAAATAGCCCTGAAGATAGTATAGAATACCAATGGTACGCTCTAAGCTTTTCTCTTCTTTACCGTATGATAGCATTTGATAGCCAACTAAAATTTTCCATAAATTACTATCATTGGCACTTTGGACAGTTTTCGATAACCAATCTAAAAATATCTGGTCCGATCTAGCGTAGAACTCCATTTGTTCTTTGATATTGGCAGTACCATTATCGACTTGTTGTCGTCGTTGTCGAAGTTGCTGTGCAAATTCTGAATGCGTCGTATATCCAGAAACACTGGTATTTTTCGGCCAGGCTACCGTATCAATTTCCATATCGGTTAATTGCCTAGCCATTTCTAATTGTTGACTGCTGCCAGAAGTATGATTTGAACCAATAGTAAATGTCGTTAAACCAATTTCATATTGTAATCGATCAACTAATGATGCATATGTCAAGCTACAGTTGATATTTTTTCGAATTGCTTCTGTTGCATATCTTTTATTTAATTCCGTAGAAAAGGAAAAACTGGCTTGTACCATTAGGACGATACACGGTATACAGACAAGTAGCAGCATTTTTAGTATCTGTAAGCGACGACCACGAGTAGTCACAGGATTGTCGCCACAACATAAAGAAGAGTTCCATAATTTTCTTGGTAAACTCGAATCCGGTGGCAATTTGACAATCCCCTTCATTTTATTTTCCTTAATCTAGAAATCAGTAAAAAAAAAAGACTTGATGGTTAGTCGAGCTTTACTAACTCTAGCAGTCTTCAAAGCTAGCAGTTACTAATAAAATCAATTTTTTAGCCGTTAAAGAAGTTGCAATATTGCATTAATAACTTTATATGATAATTAATACTTTAATGGAGATTGAAATTGAAATGAATTTTATTTTTCTGTTTTAGGCTAAAAATTGTAGTACCGAAAATATTAGATGACATTGATCACGAAATTATTGAAAGATCTTAAAAGCTAATAATTGGTGAAATTTTTTCCGCTTTATCGGACAAGATACTGAAATAAATTGAAGAATAAGTAATGTATGTATTAAAATATATCAGTATGGTCACATAGATAATATAGTGTAAATTTAACTGATAATTACGGTAAAAATAAGTTAAAATATCAACAATAGCCTACCTCTCTTTTCATGAAACACGGATGACGTGATCTTTTCAATTTTTGCTCATAAAACAAACAATTTCAATATTGATGGATATCGTCCCTTGATTGATAAAACGCCATAATCCTCGATTTATGAAATATTTTATAGTCACTTGTCATTGATTGATTATTATCCCATTTTAGACATTCGATTTTTTACAACGCCTAACAAAATAGTACTTATGTATATAGGTAAGCAAATTAACTTAGAAATTTTCTTGTTTCAGAGAAATCAAGCGACGATACCAATATAAAAAAATACATTAGTTTTCCTATAAAAAAATCGATAGAATCAACGATTTAAGATACTCACTAAATAATGTGATGGTCAGTGATATTGAACTATTACTATATCGTGTTGTATACGTTAGTCTTAAATTTCAATGTATTGTAAATAGCATATTGATGAATTCCTTTGACTGGTTTCAATTTAATATTATAGGAATACAATATCATGGAAACTAATTAATTAGAGTACAATAAGTTGGTCTTGGGCATACTGATGCTTATTTAGACGATAATATTCTTTGTTAGTTGATATCAATAACTATGTACATATAAACATTTCTTTGTTGCTACCCTACTAAATATACCTACTATGAAATATTTTCTTCTGTCTGTGACTGATATCTGATATTACAACTTTGGATAAATGCTAATCTACTTGTAACGAAGGTGTTTGAAGTGAATCTGGTAACAATGTCACCACTGTCCTTGATGACGCTAAACTTAAATATTTTATATGAATATGTCTCCATTTTATTCTAAAGAAACGAATTAATAGCATTAAATTTAACGATTGAAAGATTCTTTCTTCTCATACTGATAATCGAATTGCGATAACGTTTTATTTTGGAAAGATTTTATCATTTGCAGATAGTTTACTATTTGCTTCATATGATCATATATACTTACAGTATGATTGGCAAAATACGCCATTTATAAGCTTTCTTCGTATCGGTCCATTGCGCCAGATGTGAGTTGAAACTAATAGGAATAAAAATGGGCACACTACTTAGAGCTATGTTGCTATTATTTACGTATAATTTCGTATATCGTTGGTATGATGATTTTGATCACTATTAAACGCGCATACCTAATTATACGCGTATATTTGTATATTATCATCAAGGGTATTGAAATTCAAATGATCTGTAACTATTTAAGTATAAAAGACAACTTGATATAGTACTACTTCAATATAGCCGAACTAACACTGGGAAATGTTTTTTACGCCATACCAACTTTTTACAATAAATCATATCTTCCATTTTTTAATAATTGAAATGTCCATATCATAACTACTAGAACGGAGGTTAAGCTTAATTGATAGAAATTTAAAATGTTTTTCATTTAACATATTTATTTACTTTACTCTTCAATTTCTAATAATAAATTTATGTCATACAGGCCTACGCAGATGATGTGCCATGATCATACTACGTATAATCATGGATTCTCTTTGTGTCAATACTGTATAGCTATGAATTTATTTTACAACTTATAACAACCAACAAATTCTAAATTTTAAAATACAAAGGTGAAAGGAAAATTTCAGTATTACTTCCTTTTTGATTGTATAATTCAACTATCAGCGTGGATTACAGTACGCGTCTATTCTATTCTGCATGAATAGCAGGTGCATCGATTGTGGTCTGACAATAAAGACGTTTGCCATATTTGTTATCCTCTTTTATCCAGAAAATAATCTCAATTTTACGTGCAATGAACACCAAATCATGAAGCTTATCAAACGTTCTCTCGTCAGTTGGATCATACGCTACGCGTATCTTTGATCTAATCTGCGGTGTTTAACTATTGGCAGGTCTAATGCATAACTGTGCTGATTTCCTATCAGTCAAACTCGAGATACTTTCCACCGCAATGAGCATAATAAGATACGTGTCCGTTGCACTTTATTCGAGTTCTCTGCAATTGTAAAACAGATGACGTAATTTATTCAATTTTAAATTTTCTGCCACCTCCATCTGACCGATATGCCACTAGACAGCAATCTGTGACCAACAGTGACTGATAATTATAATTAATTGATGAATTAGTACTAATGTCAGTTTCTGGCCAAGCACGATAACTCAAGTCGACTTTGTTATGAAGGACTGTGATACTGCCAGACATTGAATACAAGTCTCACCATACTGTAGACGTGTATTAACTGAGATGGCATGTATACACGTAAATTAAGGTACAACGAAAACATCATTCGATTTGAATAGTAACTCTTCTGTCCGTACTAATAATAATTATTAATGTTGTGAAGCATAGATTTGTCTAGGCCGCTGGTTTTGCATCAAGTGCGAGAGTCGAAGATGAACTACTGCAGAAGAAGGTGTCTTCCTTCAATACCATTATTACAGTACTATACATTGTATACGTATACACTGTACACTGTAGCCTATGCCATGTTATGGTCACAAGCTGTACAGTACAGTACAGTACTGTACAGTCACGGACTAAGAAGACCTGGACTGATCACTCTTGGACAGACAGACACTTTTGGTCTCATTGCCTCCGGATATTGTACCAAACAACTGGTTTTGACAGTACCTTAGTAGGGAGACAATCGATTTTAAATTAAGTGACTTTTTCTAAATTAAGTAATATTACATTCAATCTTATTATCTGTTACTAAGTTCTGCTTGGGAACAGTTATATAAGTTATATAAAATCGTCGATGTGATTTAAATTAGTACCTGCCTCATTTGGTAAGAAAAGTCCGTCTGTCCGAAGGAGAGATCAGTCCAGTCCATGGTACAGTATTGTAAAATCTGGCGCCGAACCCCCCCAAAAAGAGACTGGTACTGTACTGTACAGTACAGAGTGGACGGGCTAATTTCTATGATTTTGGTGCAAACAGATGGATTAAATTTTTTTTTTTTGGACAAATTTTATATCAGTCTATAGAAAAAGAGTTCATTTACACGAATCTGTCATCAAAATTTACGTACGACGTTTACTTTCATCGTAATTATTAATTAAAGTACGCGAGACGCTACAGTACAAAGTAAAAATGAAGGTTTTGTAATCATTTCGCCAAAATGCAGCACAGTGTATTGTGTCCAACACTTCGGTATGACACTACTTCAGTATGCAGACCCTCGATTTTGAAATTGACTGATTTTTTCTCAATGAAGTAATATTACGCTCAATCTTATTATCTGTTACTGAGTTGGGATTAAGTTCCGCTTGGAGGCAGTTAGGTAAGATCGTCGATGTTATTAGAATTAGTACCAATGATTTAGAAAGCAGACACGGAAGATCCATACTACAGTACAGTAAGTAGTCATTTTTCGATACTCATTTGGTAGGGAATGTCCGTCTGTCTGAAGGAGTTTTCAGTCCAGGTCATCTTCTAGTAGTCCCATGACAGTGGTCGAGTTTCATCAACCAATGGGAACTAGCGGGCCTAGCCTAGTGTACAATACTGTATAATGTACGCTCGACTACTGTACTGTACAGTACAGTATACTGAAGTTTGAACTGGTTTGACAATGGCCTCGGACTTACATCAGTATGGACATGGATATGGAGGTGGTTTGCATCATGAGCGCTACACTCCACTTTGTAATTCTTCTTTTTCTAAACTAAATAAAGTCACATTTTTACATTAAGCAGTTTATTAGGACATGAATGTATTCCAATTGATAGCTGTGATTCAGAAATCAGGCACAGAAGATCCATACTCACTGCAAGTACTGTCTGTAACTGTATTTCGACATTATCGGCCGTCAAGTCCGTCCGATATTCCCTGCCTCGGATCAGCCTCGTGTCTTTTGTCCAACTACAATATCGGTGTCAGAGTCAAACGTGTACCGTACAGTACCAGGGAGCTTGGAGAGAAATACTGTACACTGTACACTGTACAGCGTTTTAAATTTCCTTTTGGATACTTTAATTTCAACTGGGAAAAAATACAACTACAACTGACGGGCTAATGCAGTAGTTTATACCGACATTGAGCATCATCCTTAAGTGAACTGTACAGTATGTATAGAAATGGTAGTATAGATGACATTTCTTTTCTACTTTTCTTCCAATATCTTGTAGGAAAACAATATTGCTGTACAACACTACCACCAGAATAAAGGTTGGAAAGCTTTTAGCACCATGATGGACTGCAGACTCCAATCCAATTGGTATTTACTGTATTTAGTAGGCCATGCTACCTGTACTATACAACACTATACAGTACAGTAGACAGACTGTGCAGCGTACAGTCTGGTACAGTACAATACGTACTGTACTGAACGTGCCGAGTACTGTACAGTCAGTATTTTGAGTGTGCGCAGAGTCTCAACACGTGTCCTTTGCCGTTACGATCAAGAAAATGGCGCTGATATGCTCAAGTAAGTCCTAAGATAGCTTTTACTCTTGATCGTTAGGAATCATTTCGGCTGTTGTACAAGTAGAAATAGCGATGAGCATTCTAAGATAGGAATGGTCTGTGCATGGATCAAACTACTTTGTATTCTACTGGTAGAATGATGACCATTGAGTTGATTCGTGTTGAAGAAGTGACTGTAGTAGTGTCAATGCTCGAGCAGCAAGTGCATTTTCTTACCGCTCCAAGCACAAGTTTCCTAGTAATTAAGCTTCAAAGTAGTCGTTACTGATGATGCTATGCTTTAATACATTAGGAATAAAATCAATAGATCGGTTGATTGCGTACTCTTGTATACCATGATTTTCGTGATAAAATGCGTTAGCGTTTCAACACCGTAAAAAACGACATCATGATCATTTCAGTGTCCAAGTAGATCAACGCATAGGAGATGCGTACGCGTCTTGTCCTTGATTCAACTCGATCATGCAAAGAATCGTCATTTCTGCGACCTGATACTGTAGCTGATTGCTATTCTAAGGATAAAAGCCGCTATGGCTACTTGGAAGCACACGCCATCAAGTCATCATCTTCATATCTTCTCTATTCTGTAGCCACTTCAAGCTCAAGTACTGTAATACGTATCATTGACAAGTATAGTTCTAGTCATACTGTACTATAGTCGATTTCACAAGCGACGCGTAGATTGCACAATTTCCATTGGCCATGCTCATGATGGGCATACTGTAGTAATCCGTGGTTATAGTCTTCAATAACTTACTACTGTATACTTTAATATGTCATGCTTGCAATCTTGTCATAAATGAATGCTTTATTAATTGACAGTATGCAACGAAGTCCCGGAGGAACCAGTGTTATCGCTAAAATCGAATTGTATATTTGAGAAACGATTGATCGTCAAGTATATCAAGGAAAACGGCAAAGATCCCGTATCTGGCGATGATATTGAAGAAGCTGATTTAGTCAACATTAATTGTAAGTAGAAATTTTCATTTCTCAAGATATAAATGTTCATAGATAAAAGTAAAGTAATATCTCACTTGGCGATCAGCAAGTTCACTTGTTGTATTAACATTGTACTAGTATCAGTTTTGTAGTTGGAGAGAATGATCAACAGCGCTTTTACGTGCTAGTATGATACTCTGGACTATACTTTGATTTATGCCTAGAAAAGAATGCTTCTATAGTCTATATTTTATCGTACAGTATTATACATATCTGTTAACACTTACCTTGGCAACAAGCTCTTGAACTAAAATACTGCACTTGAATACTTAAATTATATGTTAGCCACACCAGTATCAAAGCCTCGGCCACCTTCTGCAACCAGCATACCTGCGCTATTGAAATCGTTACAAGATGAATGGGTAAATAGAGAAATAGGAACCTTCTGAATTTTGACCAAAATTGCATGTAAAAAAATTGTAAACTAACTGATACTTTGTACTTAGGATGCCTGTATGCTTCATAGTTATACCTTAAGGCAGCAATTGCAGACTACCCGACAAGGTTTGATACCAAGTGCTATGATAATGGGCATTTTATTTATAGGCTTTAGAATAGCGATAAGCATCCAGTGAGATAATTTTATATCAATCTTCATGTCTTATTTCTCGTATTGTTCCTTTAGAGTTGTCGCATGCTTTATATCAGCATGATGCAGCATGTCGTGTCATCGCTCGTTTAACTAAAGAACTTACAGCTGCTAGAGAAGGTAACGATATAGTTAACAAAAAAGTCTTATCCAAATTTCGCAAACATACAATTGTCACACATAGATATGATTGCTGATATGCATTGATTGAAGAATACAATACTTTGCACTCAATGTGATCTCTCGTTCGACATTTCTTCCTCAGCTTTAGCAACATTGAAACCTCAAGCTGGCGTTTCGGCTCCTGCTGCTGGCGCTCAGCCTGTGGTAAGTTTGATGCTTCAACTTCGTTAAAGGGTTACTTGCATGGGTAATAGTAGAAATCTCTCAAATGGTCTTGAACAACTTCTAATTATATACTGTATGTGCTTGACATGCTATCTTGCTTCATTAAGGAACAAATGGAAGTTGAAGATGCAACGCAGGTTAGCATAGCGTCTTTAAAGTTAATGAATACATATACATACTCTATATTCAGTCCGACCTTACTATGTATGCTGTAAATTGTTAATATCTCGCAACAATGATGATCGTAATAATCACCATCTTTCGAATGATGGCAAACATATGATTTTATATTTTCTTGTCATCTGAGATGCGAAAAACTATCCTTAAACTTAAATTACTGATGATTAAATGGTCTTGATTAATAACGTCTCATACTGTGTATTTAAAAATAGGAAATTGGTCTTACGAAGGCAATAATACAAAAGGTAGGTGGCTAATAACTGTCTAAAATTTATCATGATATACTTGTATTGTAAAATTCTAACTGATTTAATTTTTCTCAATCTCGTTCCTTTAGCTACAAGATACGTCAGTTGCTTTGACTTCGGAACGTAAAAAGGTAAGAGAACGACCATCGCTTACTGTATTCTGATTGGACGCCGATTCAGTTTTGCATCCATCTTAAGTACTACGGTGGTCTTCAATTTACTGTTTCATCAATAGGGTAGCATTAAAGTATTTTTCTTTTTTTGTTTCAGAGAGGTAAAACTATACCTGAAGGTTTAGCTAAGACAAGCGACATCAGCAAATACGCAGAAATAGCCTCACTTCCTGTCAGTACCGCTTACAATTGATCTAACGATCGCCTAGAGTCAGTTTTCATGTACATAGTATAACCTGACTTGCAATTGTTTCACTTAGGGTTTGCATAGTGCTAGTGCTAAAGGAATTTTGACCATTGATTTGCAAGGCGGCAATCCTTCTAGAATAGTAACAGGTAAGGTGCTCCATAATGTACTCTTATATTTTCGAATTGCTGATCGTTAATTTAAAAATATCTCCTGGATTAACGGATTTTGAATAATTATCTATTTTAGGTGGAGTAGATAAAAACGTCGTCGTATTTGATCGTACAGAAGATAAGATTATTGCGACGCTAAAGGGTCACTCCAAGAAAGTTAACAAAGTCATATATCATCCGAATGAGGTAGCGCAAATCGTTAACTGTCAACAATATTTACTGTTCTGATACGCTATTGCATTGTACGTAGGATATTGTTTTTAGTGGTTCTCAGGATTCTACCGTACGTGTTTGGTCAGTACCGGAATCGTCGTCCCGACATATGATAAAGGTTAGCTATATATATCGTAAAGAATTTATTGGTTGATATTGTCACAAGAAAATAACATATTATACTATCGTACAGGTCCATGAGAAAGCAATCACTGGCGTCAGTTTGCATGCTACAGGTATATTTTTTATATGCATATTTTTGAACAGAAAATATCTCCTACGACAAGATTATTATAATTGCTTTCCAAATATTTCTTCAGGCGAATACCTACTTACTAGCTCTGCGGATCAGGTAACGTACCATTCTTTTGATTCTTCAAGAAGCTGTATACATACTCTACCGTCACTAATTTACGGGATTATTTCGGCATCTAGTTATGGGCTTTCTCTGATCTTCAGTCTGGAAGAGTTATCACAAAGTCTGACCCTGGTGACAAACAAGATGGTACGATTCATCGATTTTATACAACTGTTATCAAATTGTTAACAATAATGTTGTTTGCTTTAATCATAGAATTCACATGTGCCGAATTTCATCCTGACGGTCTTATCTTCGGTACTGGTACATCAGATGGGTTAGTATAATAATCTTTGTAGTCTCACCAACGCTATACCCGACTACAATCATTGTTCTTGTCAATTAATTTATTTGCTAGGATCATTAAGATTTGGGACCTTAAAGAGAGAACCAATGTTGCAAATTTTAGCGGACATTCCGCATCAATTACTGATATATCATTCTCTGAAAATGGGTTAGAATCTAGATTTTAATAATGATTGATTTTATACTTCAATTAGATAATTTAATATGTGATATTTCTATTTAAAAAAAAAACAGATACTATTTAGCAACAGCCGCCGAAGATAGCACGGTAAAACTATGGGATCTGCGAAAGTTGAAGAACTTTAAATCAATTACTTTGGATGACAGTGTGGTATGATGAGTTTGACAATCATTCTATTGACCGTTGATGATAATTTTATCAATCGGTAGTAAATTCGAATATGTAATTGTTGATATTTATAATACTATTAGGTTAAATCCGTATCTTTTGATCAAAGTGGTACTTATATGGTAATCGGTGGATCTGATATACGGTTAGCCATTTTTGTAGTATAATAGATATCGCACTGACCAAGACCATGCTGTTCAGTAATCTAATCTTGCTATGTTGTGAATAATAGGGTATATTTATCCAAGCAATGGCAGCTTTTGAACACCTTATCAGGTTAGTTACCAAATGGAAGTGTGAAACCGTGTTACTGTTGAGTATTGATTTTATCTGGTTATTTAACGTTAGGTCACAGCGCTGATGTTACTGGAGTAAAATTCGGTTCTAATGCTTCCTGCATCGCGTCTTGCAGTATGGATCGTACTGTCAAATTCTTTGGTCTGTAATACGGAATCTTGGATATTGACCTTTAGCGGGTCTTTACTCGCGTAGATTTACTTAAATTCTTGATAGCCTGTTCTATGCACTTTCAAGAAGTTCACTACCCTAATTATTATTTCCTGTAGAATCTACAAAGTTCAAAAATCATCTGTATATTAATTATAGTACCTGATAAGAATGTCAGTAAGACTATCGGTTCATTCGAAATGTAGAACATGTTTTTGACTTCTTTATGTACTAAACTATACGAACCGTTGTTCGTTGTCTGTTAAAAATTATCTACTCTGAATGTAAATTAAAATGCGTGAATCTTGTAACGGTGATGGACACCGTGAAAAGTAAGGTAGCACGATGAACTCGTACTTTACCAACTATTTGCAACTGAAAATAACTGTATTGCTGTTTGATAAGTTTGAAAATGTATAGCGAAACCCTTTTTTAAGCAATGTTTTCATACTGTTGCTTTATATCTTGCTGCAGAGCTAACAATTATAATTATGATGGTACGTCGACTAGTTAATAAAGCGAAAATTTGAAGACATGCGAAAAACAAAAACGTTATGTGCATCGCGTAAAATTGGGTTCTTCACTCTATTAGTACAATGCTACATGGTAATCTATATCAGATTTCAGTACTATAAATGTCTAAAATTCGCTAACTTTTGGAATTCCCTCATGGTATATCATTGCTTACTGTAGCACAGTGATTAGCTTACTGTGTAGTGCTATTATGACGTTATTAAAGTCGGTGATAACAGGTTCTTATATACAGGTTACAATTAGTTATCTGCACAGGATTAGGGTTAGGGTAACAGTCTGTACACTCCGGATCGTCGAGCTTCGCAATTATTAGGTAATGACGCAATCCGCAACTTATCCCAAATTCGTCAATATAACTCTGTAATAGCAGGGACTAGCCAATAGTGCCATACTGTCCTATACTACTACTACCTTGCCGTGCTGCAGGTCGGGTCCGGCTTTCCACCGCTCTCAACTGCTTGATAACGTCTATAGTGACGTAACCACTTTCCGTTGTCAATATTCTCAAGAATAAACTATCTAATTCTAGTGGAAATCGACTGATGATGGCCATTAGTAAATGATCGCGGAGGTATTTTTAGCCGAAATGAATTTATCTTCACTCTAATTTCTATTGCTATCCCTTTACCCTTTCGACTGATTGGATTAGAAGAAATTCAATTGCCATCGTAGACGATTAGACAACAATCCTTATCTATTGCCCGATCGATTTATCTAAAGATATCTATTTTAACTTCTTCCATTGAATCATCATGAAGGAAACTACTTTAAATTATACTTTAACTATTGTTATAGCATTGCTCGATCTTTTGATCTCTACGGTTATCATGATGCATGGAAATGATTATACCTTATTTATTGTCAATGCAGTATTCTACCAATTCGGTCTATCCAATTTTGATTTATGGTTATTTTCTATCGTTCGTTTTGCACTATCGATCGGTTGCCTTCTTGGTATCATTCGCGGTAAGAATACTGCTATTAAAAGGATTAAGACAGCCATGAAAGCGAAATGGCTTGTTTTGATGATAACGATTGCTTATCTAGCATCCAAACTATTAGTGTCATTAGAATATAATGCATTCCATAGCCAACAATCATGGCTATGGGTAGCACTTGGTGTAACTCTCTTTTTTACCACTGTTTGGTTGAGTACAATCCACATGCTAACTCGATTATATTTTACTCCTGTTCACCGCCAAGAAGATAGCAACACTTTAACGGTTGGTGTTAATAGTAGTGAAGCAGGTAGCCAACAATCACTTGTCAGCAATGAATCAAGTGCGAGTAGTTTACAAAGTAATGATGAAAATATCCAAATTTCATCTTATTCTGCAACAACTTGGCAATTATTAAAGTTATGCAAACCTGATTGGCATTATATTTTTGGCGGATTTATATTTTTACTTGCAGCATCGGTAACGGAAATATTTATACCATACTTTGAAGGACATGTTATCAATGATATCGTCAAATCAACATCGGATACCCAAATTCGGGATGCCATTATCACATTAGGACTAATTACTTTTGCCACTTCAGTTTGTACTGGGATCCGTGGTGGCTTATTTATGGTTGCAGTGGCACGAATGAATATCAGGATTCGAAATTTACTTTTCCAATCTGTTGTCAAACAAGACATTAGCTTCTTTGATCAATCGACCACCGGTGAAATAACGTCTCGATTAACGTCAGATGTAACTAAAATGAGCGATGAAGTAACACTCAATATTAACACTTTCCTGCGTGGCATTATTAAAGTCATTGGTACTACTATCTTCATGTTCGTCTTATCCTTTCGTCTAACAGTAGTTACCTTAATCAGTTTACCACTTATCGCGATTATAGTTGACTATTTTGGAGAATGGTACAAGGTAAGAGATTCTACGTTTGCTCATATCCAAAATTGATTGATGCAGTTTACAACAAATTAGTGTTATATCGTCAATATTTTTACTGCTTATTCAACTCACTTTTTTAACATCGATACCATAATGTATAAAGTAATCATAGCTCCAGCATTGTAAATGGAGTTAAGAATGCTACAAATAATCCTTAGTGCCGTAATCATTCCGTTGCATGTGTTCATTCATTAATCAATCACTTATATCTATTATATAAACTGCGTACTTAATCTTAACTAGCCAGTCCATGTTTTAGATGGGCAATACAGTACTATCGTTATGAATGATGATATTCTAAACAATGATGTAACTAACTACATCTTGTCAATAATAAATTATCCAGAAACTATCGAAGAGCGTACAAGATTCATTAGCTAGTGCTAATGGCGTCGCAGAAGAAGTCTGTTCTTCTATCAAAACTGTCCGAAGTTTCGCTTGTGAGTCCTACGAAATCCAACGATATGCTAAAAAACTGAAAATAACTTACGGCCATAAATTGAAGCAAGCCATCCTTTATGCAGGGTTTGAATTTACTAACGAGGTAAAGTACTACGTAAATAAAATGCTATCTCAGCTTGTTCAAAAATTATAAATTTTTGTACCTATACCCGTAAAAGTATTTCAATTACTTTAGTAAAGCTTTGTCTTGCAGTATTACGTTTATAATCGTTGCTTAGAGCCCAATATCAAACTTTAGACTACCAAAATATATTTCTATAACAATTAAATTATACTTATGTACCATCCAGAAGAAATTGTATGCTTACGGTATATTTATATTAGCTCTTTAATTTTTACTTTCAAAGATAGGAAAGCTGAGAGAAGTTATCGTTCTCTTACTACTAATGTACATAACACTTCTCCTCTTGTTTATGTATAACAGCACAAATGCTTCAAATACTGAGAACTTATTAATGGTTACAAATCGTGAAAGTAGTTGTCAACAGGGCCTGAATTACACTCTTATTTTTCGCCTGCATTAATACCTTCAATAAATCGATAAAGATGCTTTCTTTAATGCAGTATTTATTATGAAGTAATCTTACTTTTACGATCGAATTTTCGGTTAAATGTCCTTTCAATTCTAAATTTTGTTGTAGATGTTGGATCTTGCTATTACCGTTGTAACCTTGTACTATGGTGGTCATCTAGTAATTACCGGTCAAATTTCAGGGGGAATGTTTATTGCTTTTATTTTATACCAGCTTGAAATGGGAGAGTCTGTCGAGGTATATTTAGAATCAACAAGAACGAAATGTAATTAGTTAGAGGATGTTTTAAAAATGTATTGAACTGTAATATGGAACGCATTCAATATTATTCGATGACTCTCCTAACAGCTACGTTATTGATGTAATAGGACTTAGGTGAGGTTTACACTGGCTTAATGCAGGCAGTTGGCGCAGCAGATAAAGTTTTCGAACTGTTAGATCGAAAATCAGAATTTACTTGTAATGGTACATATGCACCTGCACAATTATCTGGCCATATCCAATTTAAGGATGTTTCTTTTTCCTATCCATCAAATCGTGAGCGAATGGTACTTGATAAGGTTTCATTTGAAGCTAAACCAGGGGAAGTTATTGCTCTCGTAGGACAAAGTGGTAGTGGAAAATCAACATGTATTAGCTTGTTAGAAAGATTTTACGAACCGGCAAGTGGAGAAATTTTAATAGATTCGCATCCTATATCGGAATATGATCACGAATATCTCCACCGTAAGGTAAATCCTAGTAATATAAAAAATCTATTTTTTCACATAATCTACTAGGCAAAATATAAGATTATTCTGCTAACCTTAGCTTTCATTACATCGATTTAAATAAATAAATAATATTAAAAGATATCGTAATGGTTATTTCAGATGGCTTTAGTTGGGCAGGAACCTGTATTATTTGCTCGTAAACTTGAGGAAAATATAGCGTACGGTCACGAAAACTGCGAATTTGAAGATATTAGACAGTCAGCTATTGAAGCTAATGCGGACGAATTTATACAAGATCTTCATCATGGTTATGGTGCTTACGCTGGCGAGCGAGGTCATAATCTATCAGGCGGTCAGAAACAAAGAATTGCCATTGCTAGAGCCATCGTTAGAAAGCCTTGCATTTTATTGCTTGACGAAGCAACCAGTGCCTTAGATGCATATAGTGAACACTTAGTAAGCTTTGTTACTTCAATCTAGTGATTAATCAACACGATCAACACTTTTCTTTACAATTTTAATGTTTTGAATTGGTATAATAGATATTTGAGGAAGTATACTGCAACATATATATAGTATCTGTTAACTAAATTGTTCATCTAATATAATTAGGTACAGCAAGCAATAAAGGCAAACTGCAAGAATAGAACAGTTATTATCATCGCTCATAGATTAAGTACCGTTGAAGATGCCGATAGAATTTTGGTAATTGATAAAGGCAAAGTTGCTGAAGAAGGAAATCACTTTTCTTTATTAGCTAAGAATGGAATCTATACCAAACTGGTCAAGAACCAATTACTCAGCACGTCTAAAGATTCCCCTCAACAAGATGAACTTTGCTCAGATGCTGATCAAAAAAGCCCCACTACTCCTTCTCTAACAACTGAAGAGATTTAAATCCATAAAGGCTAATATATGATAAAACTTGGCATGCCAAAACACTTCTAATTTATAATGTCATCGCCATCTACTGCGTTTTAGCCATCAAGTGGCCATATAACTTTGACTAACTGGATTACGGTTGACTGTAATTTAATATGTATCGTATAAACTTTTAATTCGTATTATTTGAACACCGCATGAATCAATATTGTGATATCTCCTAGATTTATTCTATTACATTCGAGTTGCAGAATTTCATCAAGCATCTGATTTAGCATTGTCAGATATGTATTCTTAACCAGAATTGATAGAATCAGGAAGATGCGTGTGGCTGCCATCTTTTCAAATTTACTAGACGTATGTTGCAATAAGCAAATAGTATTTATTTTCAGCATATTAATATAATCATTTTACGATATCAAGTTAGGGTTCATCTAATTTTAAATTAATATATTACTCTCCGAAAATTGGTTTAAAATTGTTATTATGATTTGTTACCTACAATAACATTACATAGAAGAAGCAGGTTTATCTTACGCTATGTAGTAACTATTAGAATTTGCATATCCACATTATTATTTTCAATGGAAATTCTTAGACACTTATATAATCATGGATTCATAAATGCAGGCATTTATACCAATAAATCTACGTACCTATTTAAAAAAATACAAAAATATTTTGTATATTTAATATGCACGTAAATGCTTGGAGAAGGTACAACGAAAAGCTATCGTTCTTGTAAGTGCACAGCATGGGATAGATAGTCTCTAATCGAAACGAACTACCGTACTTGCTCATTTCTATGAACTTTCTATGAACTTTCTAAGCCAGTTTTCGTTCATGAAAGAAGTAAATCCATAATTTTGAAGATAAGCAGGATCATCTCTTATCATTGCTGTAGGTGAATAGCTGCGTGATTTGACGGTACTTAAAAAGGATATTTAATGACACTCTTCAAATACAAATATCTTATTCTCAATACATAGATATCCATTTTTATGCCTTTGAGCACAAGATATATTATTGATACGGTACCGAGTAAATCTTGGAATATACGATCTAACTAAGTATAAAAAATCTATGCGTTAGTTTTCGTTTACTATTAGTCCATCATAAGTAAACCCTTATAGCAAAGTATTCATCCCTCTACATACCAGTATAACATGTACGAGTCTTAAACATCAGCATAATGTTTTTTATTTACAGAAGATTGGGTAAATTACTTTCGGAGTTACAGAATATAAGGGAAACTTTAGGGTAAAAACTCATTTTCTTAGCAAGATAAATAAATAAATGAATATTTGGATGCAATCTTTGGATATGACGTGGCGATCCGAATAAAAGAGCGACTACGTAATTCTTACTGTCAACTATCGTAAGACAGTCCTGCAATAAAAGTGACTCACAATAACTGTCTTAGTCAAAGAGTATTTTTCTAAAAGGCTTTATTATATAGTTTTAGGAATAGTAGAGCAATTATTAATTACTACAAGAATCTAGTCTAAAATCCAAAGTATTCCGAGCTCAAAGCGAAGTGAAATCTTTTCTCTCCCTATGAGCTCGTCTCTACAATTCTGAAATAAATTTCGCTAAATCTATTCATGACAACTTAATTAATCTGCAGTCAGACTTGAGTCATCAAATAGAATTCCTTTTCTCAAATAGAACATCATTATCTTCCACAATCTGAATCACTCTACTTAAGATATCACTACTCTTTTATTAATCTCCAGCACCTTTCGATGTTGTGCATCTTCACAATTACAGTGTTTCATGTCACATATATAATAATTGGTCTACTGGCTAATATTAGCGCTACATCAACAATTTCTAATATAGTAGTTATCAATCATCTAATATTAGCTTTACGATAATGTCTGCTATTGGTAGCCTAATTACATCAATATAACTATCCTTATAATCGAATATGGGGCGCATCACTACAAGTCCTTTAATTCTTATAGTGTGAATATGTATTCAAAATATCAACTATTCCGTTAAAGTTTAAATTTAATCAAGTTCTCATAAGGATCCATGGGTTCAGATTCAAATAGAATTTAAAAGACTAGTCTTACAGTGCGTTAGAATACAGCTTTAGGATTATGCATTCGTCACTAATAAGAATCTAATGGACGTTTCGCTTAGTACGTATGTCTTGCAACGAAGTTTCCTACCATCAATAGAGGTAATTTCACATCAATAACTTAGTAGACTTAATATTGGTTCAACTATTTACTGTAAGGCCAATTATTCTTTCGTTAGTGTCTGGCAGTGCTAGGTATTGTATATATATGGCACCTCCACAAGTATGTCACATTTGACACATCATACCTATGTGCCGTAAGTATAGCAAATGCTTTTAACAGGTGTTATTATATGAAGCATCTTGGAAATAAAAAATAATGTTTGAATTATCTTTGGGAATAGTAACTTAATGGAACTTACTATACAGTCATGATCATTAAGATAGCCTTAAAATTGTACGGAACATTAATTGGGAATATGGATACTAAAATTGCACCAGATAAATTTTTGAAGTATATTATCACATTAAATTTTACTGCGTTTATGAGATTTAGGTTTAACATTAGCGTGTAATAGTACGGATGTGTCCCGTTAGAAATTATCTAAGGTTAAGAAACTATCAATTAATAATTAAAAAAGGGGAATCGTAAGTACATTATTAGGACTTTAATCGGAGTACATTAAGCCATCAATCAATACTGTAAGTAAATCAGCAGGCTTAGTATCTGCAGTTCCATTTATTTGTGCATTATAACCAATATTTTAAAATAACTATGTAAATATTAGCCGCACACGTAAATTGGATAGATATGAAATTTCATAAAGAATGTAATTGTATAAACAACTAAAAATTTACTCCATTGACTATGGCATTTTGATTCTACCAAAAACAAGAAAATGCTAATCATACTATTAATGATAGCGTTTAGACCGATGAATTTTTTTTCACATCTGAATGATTTATTATTCAATCTACATATGATAAAATTAGCAGCATAATAATAACACATTTTCCAATCACCAATGGTAAAGCTAGAACATTATAGTAAATCTCCTGGGGTAGGAACTATCAATAAATAAAAGACCTACTGTTGACATTTGTTTTAGCAAGGGGATGCGATTCAAATGAGCAACAACACTGCTTCAGGACGGTCGGTGAAACTTAAATAGCCTATAAAAGCAATTATTAAATCGATTTATCGCCTATAGTGACTTGCTCCATTGAAAGAATTTTTAAACTAGACTCTACCATCTGGCTTTCAACATGTATTGCCACATCATGTCATGGTGCAAAGCGAACAGAACAATTATTACTTACTGGGTGGCGATTTGGATGGCTCTTTTTGATATTTCGATTACAACAGTTGTGACCATAGCAGCTAATAATGGTAGCTTATGCAGTCCACATTTAAAGTCCTATCAAATTGATCAATCTGTATGCGATCTGTGGGTACTTTCCTTGATACGATTCATTTTTGCCATAGCATGTGTTGGTGCAATCTTACGCTACAAACGAGCCGCTATTGATCGAATTAAAATCATCAAAAAATTTAAATGGTTTATTATAGCCCTGGTCCTTGCATTTTTAATTGCTAAAGCAATCTCAAGGCGACATCATTCACGTATTACTGCTTATAATTGGTTTGAGATATTTATTGGAATAACTGTTCTATTTACGTTGTCTTGGCTATTAATTACCTTCCTTCTCTGTGGATTATCTATTTCATCGATTCTTAGCGATGATGGCATTACGATTACTCGAATACCATTACTGGATAGTTCTAGAACTACCCTCAAATCGAACTTCAAGACAATTTTTCAACTTTTACATTTATGCCTCGATGACAAATACTATATTTTAATTGGGTTTATATTTTTCCTGATAACAGCTGGTATCGATATTGCCGTACCTTACGTCGACGCTCTAACATTTCAAGTCATCTTTAACGTCGGTGCTGCTCGAACAAAGCTTTATCTTATTCGAAATTTAGGCATTTTGTTAGCTTGTCGAACCCTTTGTGTAACAATTCGTGATTACTTGCTCGATGTACAAATAGCACGAATGATTAAACGAATTCGGCAGAAACTTTTTGAAGTAATTCTCAAACAAGAAACGGGCTATTTCGATACGGTCGATTCTGGCGAACTAACATCGAGATTAATATCTGATGTTAAAATCTTAAGTTCCGATATGACATTAAGCATCAATTTATTACTGAGCAGTATTATACGTTCTGTGGGAATGGCTGTATTCATGTATGTCTTGTCCTATAAGCTAGCTTTACTGACCTTTATCTATATGCCCTTGGTAGCCGTCGTCGTGGATTACTTCCAATCAAAGTTTAAGGTAGATCAACTTATGTCTAAACTTATGCATAAATTTTATCGCTAGCTATTGTCATGAAATCTTTCGTAGCTTCTATGCTTTAAATGAATTTTCCGATATTTGTATTTGTTTAATTCTATATAATTAATTTTTAACCTTTTCATTTACGGAAATTTTTCTAATTTAGATAAGTGGATAAAATTTTACTTTTATTTAACGATAATGAAATACCAGTATTCATGCATATATTGAATCAATTTCTGAGCTTATAGCATGCATAGTATTAAGATAAAGAAATATTTCGAATATTAGGTATTATCAAAACGAAAACAAGACGCTATTGCTAATGCAAATTCAGTCGCCAACGAAGTGATTCCTTCTATCAAAGTTGTTCGCAGTTACGCCAATGAAAAAGGTGAAATTCTGCACTATAATGATAAAGTCACCGAAGTATATGGCTATAGTCTGAAATTGGCAAGAGTTTTTGCCGGATTTTTTGCTTTAACTGATGTAAGTTTATCGATAGAATTTCTATTTTTAAATTTTTTATCAGTAAGTAGCTAGCTTAGGGAAACCTTTGATTGTTACTAGATTTTCCATTTTAATACTCGGACTTGTCGTACCGATAATCTCGAAATGCAAATTTTACTTTTATGTCCATAGCGATTTTTAAGAATAACCTGTTGTCTATAGAAACAGCACGAGATCGAAATTGTTCTGCAATGCTATTATTTGTTAATATAGTACTCTATTTTAAGTGTTACTATTTCAATTTAAATCTGTATCATGCCTTAATTACCTTATCAAAGAAAAATTCCCATTGCTATTTCAAGTCTTTGATTCGTTAACGGAGGGAAAAATTTTCAAGACCTTATTATTTGCAATAGAGTAATAACTACTCATTTACGGATACTACTTTTGATGAGGGATCAAGTTATGTCTAAAATATAGGGTTATAACTAACATGACTAATAAGATAATTACGATCACTAGATATTGGATTTTTGTTGTAAATTAAACCAGTCATTCGAAATAACGCTTTATTAATATGATTCCGTGAAATATTTTACGATCGATAGATTTTTTAGCAAGATATAGATTCGATTTATTTTATTTATTCAACTTTATTGTATTCTTGTATAACATGTACTACCTTCTAATTGTAAAGCAACTTCCAGAGATTTTATGATGAATTATTGTAGCAACCCTTTTAAGATTACCTTTATCGTTGAATATTAATCTGTGTATTTATAAAATCTAGTCCCTTAGAATTACTCTTAAAATAATTACTCTTTACTACGGGAGCTACCTTACACATCACGAAGCTATCGACAGTACAACGATCTTCGCCTTTATCGTATTTCAGCCCATACTGCAAGGAGCAATACAGGTATTAATAGCTTTTATAGCCATGTAATCCATATATGCATATATATTCAACAAGATCTTTAAGGTCAGTTTTCTAAATCGTTTTATATAGTTCAGTTGACTCTATTAGACTATCTCATGCTTAATAAAGCACGGTAGAGCACTTAGTAAGAAATAACATGTTAGATATACTACCAAAACCAACTAAGGTATTAGAAAATGAAAACGTTATGGTACCTACTGTAATTACGATTACTAATTAAAGTAGAGTATTCTACTTCTTTCTAGCTAGTCTACCTTCTCTATAGCTACTATACCAATAAACCACCTTTTATATGCTTCGTAGAGATATACGTGTTATCATAAGTTGAGAATGATAATCTTATCATATTCGAAAAGAACTCTACTTAAACTATTACACTTAATAATGCAAGTTTAGATTGATTCTATCTGACGATTCCTTTCTAATTTAAGCTACTGGTTTTCATCATAGATAAATTTCTATTGATACATTTAACATACGCTGTGCCGTATTAGATAAATGTAAGCATTTCGTATCAGCTTAATTATATGGTGCCTTATGATGTATAACTATAATATTCTCAAGAAAAAATTACAACTATCTAAAAGTGATCAGGTTAGCATTATACTCTTTTACCAGACAATATCTACTGTTATCAACAAACTAAATTAGTCACAGTTACAAACTATTTAAGTCATACCTTATCCTAACTTTTATGTACATCACCCTGTAACGGTCATGATTATTTTTACAATATAACCACCATACAAGGAGGATTCTAGTAAGTAATCTTCATAACAAGTGGCTAACACATGCGTACCTTACACACGTACAAAAATAATTTTTTATTATAGAATTAGCATAAACACAGTATTTCCCCGTTATTTTCTATGTAAACTTAATTACAATTTAGTAATATTGAGTGATTCTGAGTGATATTTATTATCCCATTATTAGTTTAAGCACTACGTCAATATGGCAGGCTAATGATGCAATAATATGATAGGACGTAGACTGCTTAATTATAGTACTTGATGTAGTTTAAATAACAAAATAATTTACCATGTGGCTGTAATGGTGGAATTACCTTTAAATGATTGAATAGTAGCAAGAAGGTCTATTTATTGACATAATCGTCAACTCACCGATGGGTATAAATTTCAATAAATACAGGCAATTAAGAAATACTAGACATCAAAATTCTTCATATCCTTTCCATATTTATTGGATGTCGACTTGATAGTAGCTAATATATAAATTTACAATACGATATCGAAGCTATACCATTTGCGTTTACGTCGCATCATGCTCGAATAAAAAATTCTACATGATATGCTTTATGATGCAAGTATTTATTCACGTATATCAATATCATCGTTATAAAAGGTTACGAGTTACTATTTTTGTTTCGACTAGGAAGTTGGAACAATATATGCCGATTTATTAGGGGCTATCGGAGTTGCTGATAGAGTGATGAAACTATTTACTCGAATACCTGAAAAATGCGAGTATGGTGATGAAAAGCCATCAGATTTCAAAGGCTATATTCAATTTAACAATGTTTCCTTCGCTTATCCAAATAAACCTGACACTATGGCAATTGAGAACCTATCCTTTAGCGTTAAACCTGGTGAAATTGTTGCACTTGTTGGTGCAAATGGTTCTGGAAAATCAACAACCATCAAACTATGTAAGAGGTTGTACGAGCCGAAATCAGGAGAAATTCTTCTTGACTCACGTCCGCTATCAGATTACGACAATCAATATTTACATTCCAAAGTAAGCCTTATTAAAATTATAAATAGACAGTTGGCCATATACATAATTTTATTACTTTATAGCTAGAACAATCTATACAACACTATCGAATAGAACTAGGGAAGGAATTCATTAGAGTTAATCTTGCTAAATGACTAATAAAGTGGCCATTGGATAGCAAACTATAAGTTACTGCTACGCAATTATACTTTGCAGAAATTAACTAAATCATTCTGGATAGCTAATCTTGATGGTTTCCGTACAGTAATAATCAATTTATATGAGCTACATTATTTGGAATAGTTTAGTTGTAATAGCTTTTACCGTATGTAATTATAACTAAGTCGAACAAGCTAAATTATTCTGATGAGTTAAAATCGTAATAGCTTTTTACACCATCATAGCTAATAAGCAAGAATAAGTCTAAATATTTAGAATGGTAAAGTTATGATAACTTTCATATCATGGATTAAAATAGAAAGGATCGATTTAAGTTACTTTATTTATGGTAATACTATTGTCAATATTTGCATTCCACTAGGTAGCAATGGTAGAACAAGGTCCAACCCTATTTAGTCGTCTCATTAGTGAGAATATCTCGTACGGATATAAAGACTGTAAAGACCGTAAAGACTGCGGAGACTGTGAAGATTGTAAAGACTATAAAGAAGGTAAAATGATCGATGCGGCAGTAATGGCAAATGCGGACGAATTCATTTCTAAATTAGAAAATCGTTATGCAAGTCAAGTCGAGGAACGAGGCCAGAATTTATCGGGAGGTCAAAAGCAAAGAATTTCCATAGCAAGAGCACTAGTTCGTGATCCTAAAGTTTTACTTCTTGATGAAGCAACTAATTCTTTAGATCCAACGAGTGAGCGTTTGGTAAGCGACTAATAAAACGATAACCAAAGTGCGCTATTTCTCTTCGTAGCTTCTTGTCTAGTGCATAAATGTAAAGCCCTGACGATTAATCTATCTTCACGAGAGTACAGTTGCACCAAGTACACTAAGATTTAAGATGTTTTACAATCATATTATGCTTACTTTTATTCTTACCTATATAATTGTTGTCCATGCAAGAAATAAATTTCGAATCAATCAATTGCCTATTATAGCATTAATTCAATTAATACAAAATGAATGTTGATTTGATAGGTTCAGGAAGCTATTGAGAAAGCCTTTAAAGATAGGACTGTTATTGTCATTGCGCATACAACAAATACCTTTAAAAGAGTGGATAGGATTTTATTTCTAGAAAATGGGAAAATTGTTGAAGAAGGAAATCATGAAGAACTCTTAGAAAAAAATGGTCGTTATGCCAATTTTATTCAAAAATAGTTAACTGAAGATAACTATAGTCAATAGACTTTAATGCACTAAGAATTCAGTAGTGTAAGCAAGATGGTAAAAACAAATAATTCCTTATTAACTGGCTCTAATTTGATTTAGTGGAGCATAAAGTGTCTTGATGATGTAACATTCTGTATGTCATGCTGATTTTTTATCTACTAAGCTATCACCACTTTCTGGTTCTATGTTTACAATCATAGATTTAAAATGACTTAGCTATACTAATTTAAGCTGCAATCAAGAGGTAAAAGCTTGAGATTCATTTAATGCTACTTATTTTATTGCTTAATTTTCGTATGCAAAATTATAAAGAAAATTACATTTAATTTTTAATGCAATACAACTTTCATCAAATTGACTTAATTTTGTACTGTAGTTATAAAATAATATTTTGAGCTTATTTATAGGGTCAGAACTCTTAATATCTGTTATACTGCAGATTATTTAGATATAATCAGTAGCTACTAAAGTAAGACCCGATATAGGCCGCAAAGATATTTATAAGCTTGTGCAAACTACTCAATAATAAGTAAACATACATGCAGAATAAAAATTTTTAAGATTATTTCTACTTGAGTGATATGCGGCTATATATTTAATCTTGACTTTCGAACTAGCTGTGTGAAGTTACGTGATCTGGAGATTTACTGCTGTAATGTAAAGCAGTAATTTTTACTTAATAAACTACTTTTAACCGCTACACTGTGATACTAGTTCAAGTAGGCTAAAGGCAGCATTTTATTGCACTGTCACACCAATATTGCAGTGCCATTGAGACAGTATTAGTTTATGATTTTTAATTAGACCTCAAGTGAGGTCAATTTTCAGCGACTGAAATTTATTCAATCCTAACGTCAAATGTTAGAAGCATATACGCATGTCTCTGTATTATTATACATGGCTCAAAATCGCATTATGATCTTAAAAAATAAAATTTATCTATAAATTTTAATAGAATACAGTTTTTAGATATCGTATTAGTTGTCAAGAAATCTAGTCAAGGAATAAATGTTCAAATGTTCAATGATTACAAGCTGAGCCTTATAATACAACATGAGAAATCTCCACTGGGTTTATGAAATGACTTTATTAATCAAATTATTAATTCTTTATTTTGGCATAAATGCGGTATCGTTACTATGAGCTTTACTTTTTAAAAGTTTGGGTCTGCCTGTTTGATTCTTTCATATTCTTTCGGCTATGAACGGAATATATTTATAATTGGTTATAAGACAAAATATCGAAGACCTTAAAACAATTGGACAGTTCCATCTTACTCCAGTACAATCATCTTTTATTTATTTTACATGCTTAGCGCATTTAGATAGCAGTAAAATTTTAAGATTTTTAAGAAAGAGAAATAATTTTTAGCAGTTTAATCGATAAATTAATGTTATTATGCAGTCAAGTTGCGATTTCATAATATCTGTATAGTATATGAACAAAATATGTGATAATATTACCTGTTTTAAAGGGACAAATAAAACAAATTTAACGATTGATAGACAAACAAAGTGATCGCAGTACCCTATTGTAAATTATATATGTATGAAAAAACTGAAACTAATAGCCGATGGTAACAACAAAAATGTGTATCAAAGAAGCCGGTATAGGTATGTAGTACATAACCGCACCAAATAAAAGTCGTTATAAAGTTGATAAATCTCTTCATACTGTACACTTATTCAAACAATGTATGGCACTTTTTCTAAATGAAAATGAAATTTCTTACAATTATAACAACTAACGTACATTTAATATAATAGTTGTATTTGTAGGAAAATTAAGGAAGTTTTAGTGACTTAGAAAATTATCGAAATGTTAAAGGCAAAATAATGAGGAGTTGTTATATTGTTTCGTAGGTAATAACTATTTGTTACTTTCGGTAATAAAGAATACTGCATCAGATCATTTTTCCTGTTATTAGATATTAATCAATTATTGACATTTATAACAAAATCATATCGAAGAATCACGTGGAAACCTATGCATATTTTTATAGTAACAATACATGTAGGGTCTACCGTAGATGTTATAATAACTTATAACAGTTTAAGCAACAGTTATCCTAAAACACTACCGTAGTCATGTAAATAAAATATGTCAAAGAATATCAGTTTTACTGTACAGTATTATCTATCACAATTACTAGGAAATTACTCGACGTAATCAAAATCTTCAGGAATACCAAATTGCTTATCGATCACCTTATCTTCGAAGCAAAACTTGTTGCGACACCAAGATTTAATAGAAAATATATTATCTAGAATAACAGCGAAGTAGTCATCAGTATCATTATCACAATTATTTCTCTATTTTAATTATTATTTAACCTGTCCATCGATTAGCAGCTTCCAAGGAGACTTTTTTCAAAAGTTCTTGATAAAAGAGGTTAAAAAATGAGCCAAATTTTCCTTACAAGTGATTCGAATATCCAAGTCTAGTTTATAGTACAAGGATATAGGTACTAGAATTGTATGAGAACTTACTAGCTTCTTCCACAAGTTCAGGGTCACAACCTTGATATTGGCGTAACTCTACTGTTAAAGAGTCCCTCCTAGAGCTTAATTCTTCAATTTTTTCCAATAACGTTTTACGTTTATCCTATTATAAACATTAGAATGTGATATTTTGTAATGTTCATTGATCCCAAATCGAACGAAGCTACTTAAGATTGTAGGCATTGTCACTTAGGATAGAGCATTATAATATTATAACTACTCGCAAGTAACAATACAATTAACAAATGTATACAATATGATAGTTACAGCATAATTGACAGAAAATCATTTACAATGATACACCTACATGTATCATGAGACGGTAACACAAAATACACAAACAACTCACTGTATCCTTCCTGCAGTTAGCGTGATCATCTTTGCTTTGTTGCAACTTTTTCTTTTTCATTTCGCATTCACTTATTTGCGATTTCAAAGTCTCCAGTTTCCTTTTGCGCTTAATAAACAAATTGAATAACGAAAGAACGTATAAAAGTCAAGATAGTTATAATGTTAATTAGTAATAACAGACAATACGTAATATCAACCGTGAAACTGAATTTTGCAGTTTTCGGGTATTATGAAAATAGTAATTCAACCTGATTAGTTGCTTTACTTGGGAATGACCAAAAATAATTTGAAGTTCCAATCTTATCTTGTTCTACCATTGCATCATCAACTAAAGATTGCAAGACGTCCTTTACTGACATCGAAGCTATGCATTAAAGCCAAAGTTGAGTAATTAATAGTAATAGCATAAGAATATTAAAGTACAGGAAACAAAGTATACACGTATATTATTTTGTAACGTACTGATTCCTTTCTGTTTCTGTGCAATTTTTTCCAATTCCTTTAGTTGATAGAAGTTTTTCTGTTGTCATAAAGAATAGTTTGCAACGTATCAATTTGCTATTAATTAGATTAAGTTTTTCATATTTTGAAATGCAGCATAATATTTTATCATGTATTATTAAGTCCTAAGGATTATTGTCAATACTATTAGCCTATAATTCTAGGGAAATTGATGATCTACAGTATTTAAGGTAGAGTTTTCGGCATTAAAAGTGTATAACATTTGCTAGCAATTACAACATAGATATTGTGATTAACATTGATCACTTAATAATAATAAAATTACGAAAAGGGATTGAATTGGATGCTTACCTTATACTGGTTAAAGGAAACATCTCAAGACATTTAATACATGATTACTTTTAGTGGAGATACTACATCATTGCGAGTTTATACCCTTACCGTTTCGTAAAATAATTCCAGCATCCTAGACCGCTTCTCTTCGAAGCTTAAACCTCTTCTCTTCGACTGTATTAAAGGAGAAAGAGTAAAAAAGACTTTTATCCATTGGAAAGTGCAACTGAATAGCAGTAAAGCGAGAATACACGTATACCTTAAAGTGCAATGGAAATTTTTGTAACGGATAGAGACTATATTACATACCCATAAGACTACATGTAATAGTAGTAGACTTACAGTGTATTCAAGAAGTAAATGAAGTTGCTTTTTAAATTACTGTGTTGATATTCTACTTTTGAATGAGTTTCATGTGTAACACTATATGTATCATTCTAAATGAACTACTCCAGGTTTGGAGATTTATACGTATGAGTATAATCATGAAATCGTAATGATACTAGTCAAGAAATTGCTGTAAAGCTACTAAGGTATCAATAATACTGTAAATGCTATAATGAAACAAGTTGATTGCAAGGGCCATCGTTACTTGTAACACTTGTATTTTTATGACAAAGACAATTTTAGAGTAAGCTGCCAACTTGCTACTAGTCTAGTGTTAAATCGTAGTTGTATCATCGTGGCAAAGAAGCTTTATTCATCGCGAGTCGTCTTTGCATATTATAATATCATCCTATACATCAAAATCGCAAGTTATTCCATCAGATACTTGCCATGAAAGAGTCTGCATGAAATTTCAACGACCATGTCATATATACGCGTAGTTATCATACTGTATAATACTTTTCCTTTCCGTGAATGCTCGTTGGTTGCAACTTGTTGAAGTACTGTATACCATACTGGGGTATCACTCGATTGTTAAATTAAATGTCAAGTAAAAGTGGCCGATCAAGAGAGCCAGCGTAGTAATGTGCTTCACTCACTGCTCAGTTCCCCTACTTTGTACTCATTAGCGTGCCATCGCGTGCTTCCACTGAACTTCAGATCAACAACAGCTATTCCTGTGTACACGTAAATTATTGCACTGTCTGTCATTCATAGGACTCCCAATTTTTTTTTTAAGGGGGGGGGGGGGAGAGAAGAAAATTCATGCATGCAGTATCCCAGTACTATAAACACTGCTTGCTTACTTATAGTAGACTGTATTATAATTAGTCATCTCTTGACTGCATAATAAGACAAATGAACTTTTTAAAGCAATGCAAACAATTCAAATGGGTACAGTATGTAGAAATAATTCTCATTAAAGTACAATATTCATTGGTAGTTGCAGTGCAGTACTGTATTTTCCTATTTCAGCATGGATTTCAACTTTGAAATCAGCAAAAACACTGTCCGATAGAACCTAATGACACTGTCTGGCCATTGCACAGTACAGTGGTGACTGTAAGAGAATTCTCAGCATATTGAACAACGCTGAATTGAAGGTATACAGTCGAATGAAATCTTGTAGTACACGATACGAATCGTAAAATAAATTCTTTTTGATAGGCATGGTCTTACCATTGAGTAACCAGTTAGGATAGAGTCCAAAACGCCAAGCAATAAGAAACTAACTCTCTTTCAAGTCTAATAACGCCGTCCAATATGAAATGTACTTTGACCAATTTGGAAATTTTCACTGCAAGATCTTCAACAGAATGTGGTTGCAGGCACAGACAGGTGTCAACACTTGGAAGAGTGAAGCTGTTGTGAAGGTGAAACTTGTCTCAACTGACCTCTCACTCTTTCATACAGTCCCACCACTTTTGTTCTTCGTCCAAGCCTGTTGACCGCTGGCTGGTGTGAGTCACATTGGAGCATGACGCAAGCCGTTCCACTCGACGGTATTGTACTGTACACTAGTCATTGCGTACTTCTCCAATTCGTACTTCGCGCCGTTTTATTCTGTGTTGATGACACAGTGTACAGTACGCTACACTGTACTGTACAGTACACTGTGCATTACAGGGTTGTGTACTGTACAGTACAGTACAGTACTGTAGAGTTCATACTGACAACCGGATGGAAGGTTCGTATTACTCGCAATTGGCATGGAGACAAGAAATTGAACACGTACAGTAGTTGAAGTTGTTGTAAAACTAGTTACTCACTCTCTCTTTATTGCATTGAAGAATGCAATAAAACGCAATAAAGCTATACGTACGCCGTTCATACTTATAACGCAATGTGCAGTGGGTTCTTACTACTCGAAATTAATATGCAGACAAGAAATTGAACATGTAGTTGAAGTTATTGTAAAACTAGCTACTCACTCTCTCTTTATTGCATTGAAGAATGCAATAAAACGCAATAAAGCTATACGTACGCCGTTCATACTTATAACGCAATGTGCAGTGGGTTCTTACTACTCGAAATTGAACACGTAGTTGAAGTTATTGTAAAACTAGCTACTCACTCTCTCTTTATTGCATTGAAAAATGCCGCTTGCTATACTGTACGTACGCCGTTCACACTTATAACGCAATGTGCAGTGGGTTCTTACTACTCGCAATTAGCATGGAGACAAGAAATTGAACATGTAGCTGAAGTTATTGTAAAACTAGCTACTAACTCTCTCTTTATTGCATTGAAAAATGCCGGCTGCTATACGTACGCCGTTCATACTTATAATGCAATGTGCAGTGGGTTCTTACTACTCGAAATTGAACACGTAGTTGAAGTTATTGTAAAACTAGCTACTCACTCTCTCTTTATTGCATTGAAAAATGCCGCCTGCTATACGTACGCCGTTCACACTTATAACGCAATGTGCAGTGGGTTCTTACTACTCGCAATTAGCATGGAGACAAGAAATTGAACATGTAGTTGAAGTTATTGTAAAACTAACTACTAACTCTCTCTTTATTGCATTGAAAAACGCCGGCTGCTATACGTACGCTGTTCACACTTATAACGCGATGTGCAGTGGGTTCTTACTACTCGAAATTGAACACGTAGTTGGAAGTCTCTCTTTATTGCATTGAAAAACGCCGGCTTCTATACGTGCCGCCGGTTCACACGTATAACGCAATGTACACTAATTGCAAGTTTATATAACAGTACATTCACTACTCACTAGTGTAAGCATCACAATCTACAATTAACACCGGTAGAATTAATTCTAGTCAGTAGAATATCACATTTAGTACAGTATTGAATTGTAATATATAGCATAACTGACGGTACTACTGTAGGATATTTCTAGAACTCCATGACTCCAGTTTTGCTTTCTCCAGCACTTCGAGCAAACCAAACATACTTACCTCAGCGCAATTAGTGTACCTAGGCGTATATAAATACACCCGCTAAAGATGTCTAGTGCAGCCATTGGTTCGTATTATACTCGCGTACCTTATTGATTTTTACTTTATGCATTCACATGCTCGAGTACAGCGTACTGTACAATTCACTCCTTGCAATAAATACAGTAGTACAGTACTGTAGTACTGTGTAAAGTACTACATTACCTCTTTAGGATCACGAAACACTTTAGTCCGCAAGCAATCATTTCAATCATTAAGGGCTAAGGGTCATACAAGATAGAAGAGATGATGCATGCGTATAAGTAGATTAACAGCTTTAATTTCTTAACGAATGTCTTTTTAAGTTTTAAAATGATATTGCAGCAGCAGTAGCGAAAATTGCATGAACAACGTAACAGTATTTCCTAAGCATATTCTTAAGCGTTGCTTCAAGATGATAAGAAAATAGCAATATATAATTAATGAATCAATGGATAAATCATAAAATACTTACTCAATTCCAAGATAGTAAGTAATTAGGCAACACAATACTGATGACAGTACAATATGACTCTAAAATTCTTAGAGTTCGCAAAAGTTATACAGTTGAAATTGTTTTGACATCAATTTTACAAATCCAAATACCAGTTTGCATCTCATTTTCTAAACAATAATTACTATGAATACAGAAATCTATTACTGTACTTGTCATAACTAGAAGTCGCCTGAATGAAAGCGTATTCATGAATGGATAGAATCAGAAACAGTACAAATGCTGCCAACAGCAAATAGTATTAATCCTTTTTTTAGTATAACAGTATACGGTAACAAAGCAAACCAGCAATTTAAAAATCCTACTAATAGATTCTACATAATTGTAGCATAAACAGGTTACATCTCAACATAAGTTCAATAAGTGGGCTACCTTTGGTAAAGAAATACTACTATAGTAATTCGTTATAGAAACGCTACGGGCAGTAATTTGCTATCACTTTAGCTAAGGGACATAAAAAAAAACAGCTAATTACAGGTCTTTGCTATCCACTATTCCGAAACAAAATGCCGTTTTCAAGCTTAAATCTAAAGTAGATATTCTTCAAAGTTTTCTTCAAATCTTGCATTGGAGGCTTATACAATTAACAGAGAGCTAGCTATTACCATTAACCGCTCCTCTGTTGACTTGTACAAATAAAAATGATTGAATTCTTAAAACTGATTATTTGCTTTAGAGCAGTGAACACTTCACTTTGGACTTTTTTTTGTTGCCTATTTTATTAACTTTAATTGCACTTGATGAGTTTGGATCAGATGCCTTAGCACTGGCTTCCATCTTCGTTTTCAAAACCAATTTCGTAATAGCAGTGAATACCTGTTTATATCGGAATACATTCAAAAAATCAACATTTCGGTACTTGATGCAAGAGTTTATATCTATTTAATAAGGACTCTAATAAAGCAAGTAAACCATCCTAAGTAGTATTTCTTGCTTACATCTTCTATATTTATATTGTCTTTAGCACTCGCTTCAAACAATTGTATTCCCATTTGCTCTGCAAATTTCTTTGCATCTGCAGTACTAACTAATTTCTTATCCAAGCAATCGCACTTATTTCCAACTGGTTACATGCGCATAGAAGTAAATAAAAAATACCATAAACACGTAAAAATACTTACACAATGGAATATAAAATAGTGCTAATTGATAAACTTACCTAAGACTCTATTTGCTACCTCGCAATTTTGATCAATTTCCATCAGCCATCTCTTCACGTTAACAAATGTTTCCCCACTTGTAACATCATAAACTACGATGACACCATGGGTACCACGGTAGTATCTATAGCACAATTTGAGCAGATTACTTGACATTTTAAAATATCGCAAACAAGACTTATTAACTATTGTACATATAAAACACACGTAGATGTTATTGTCCTGAATCGTTCTTGGCCGGCAGTATCCCATATTTGCAGTTTTATTCTCTGGCCATCTACCTCTATTGTTCGAATCTTGAAATCTACTCCAATGGTAGTAATATACGTCCCTATTGGTATGATGTAAAAAAATACCGCAGACACTTGATCAGAAAATACAACAAAATCAAGATCGGCGAATATTTGATTAGGGCTTATAAACTCAATTTTAGGTAAACTCTGATCGAGAAAACCAGGTTAAATAAAGGTCATTATTATATACGTGAATTTAAAATAAAGGCAAAGGTATTTTAAAATGTTTAAATAGCACCGAATAGATTAAATATAACGATCCTCTAGTAATTCATAATATACACGTATTTAATGCATACATAATAAAAAGTTATAATTATCGTATAAACTCAACAAAATGCAAAAGTGTAGACAATGAATTTTTATTATTATACAGTACTCCAGCGAATCTGAAATAATGCGTAGTAAATCGGATGTTACAATATACGTATACTGATATACTCTACCTACGGATATACAGTATTTTAAAAAGTAAACATTCGCTCGCTAAGTAACTAATAACTACAACAATTGCAAAAAATTCAGTTGCTTTTTCTAGCGAGTTCAAAAAGGCACAAGGTCGTTAGTGACAGCGAATGGAAAAAGAATAGCGGGGATATAATAATTCACAATAAAAATTCAATATATCAGTTATATCATTTTAAAGTATCTCATGTTGACCAAATGTTTGCATTCTGAGCATTTCGAAGGAATACAATATATTGGTAAAGTCTATTGCAGTTTAATTACCTAATCGATACGTAACTTGCAAGATCGAATGTAATTCTTGTTCTAGGTACACACTGTATGGTATGATCTTAAACTAGCACAATTCTCATCACGAAAGTGAAGTATTAGTATATGATTTAATTCGTATTAACATTTTCGTACATCACTAGCACATAAACTGCCTAGTTGCTCCATTTATAACTGTACTATACTGTCTATCTATACAATTTTTTCAGGAATTGAGTTACTGTTTATCTATAAACGGATCTCGTAAGGCCACAACAGTCCAGTGCTAAACTGCACATACGATAGACATACACCTACTGAATAAACTGATAGGATGTATATAAATAGCTAATCTTAACATGGCTTATCCCCTATATTAAATTAGCCTATTTATAAACAAAGGTGAAAAATACATTAAAAATAAAAAAAGAGAGTGCAACTTGATTATCATTGACTACAGTTCGTGGCGTGAAATAACATTGCATCGAATAAGGTACACTATCCTACTTACTTTGTTGGCAAAGAAAACTATCATAGTTGATCGGAACATTATTTACGACAGTTATTTTGTGGTACTATTATCATCATTAACGGTTATAACAATGTGCATCTTCATGAATTGAAGATGGCATACACGGTAATAATGATCTAATTAGTAAGTTATAATATTTACCTTGAAAGAGATTATCTGCAAAGCGAAGTAAGATACTACTTTTACCAACTCCTACGGACAAAAATGAATGCAAATAAATATTTAATACGAATATTGATGTAAATTTGCTCATTGAACTGCAAATGGATACTTTTTTCTTTCCGTGGTATTGAATACTTTGACAAGAAAGTTTACATACGCTTAACAATGATTATTGTGTAATGCATTCACTTGCTACAGTATCTCTATAATGTCTTCATCATCATTATTATTAGACCGTACATGTAATTGATCACTGCACATCGAGCAAGTAGTGACAATCAATATATTGCATACAAACTTGATATCCTATATATTGGATACGAGTATCATCTATCGTCTTTCTGTAGTTGCTCATGTTATTTTTTTTTTAGAGTGTCAGATCTGGTATTATGGTGCTATTTGTTTGCATCTGATATCAGCTCAATGCCTGTCCCTACCTACCACGACCATGTAATTTTATTGCCTATGGTGCCGTATAGTACAGTATCCTATGTCCTAGACAATAGCCACATACAGCCTGCTGTCCAGTGTACAGTTGATTAGTATAAGTCAACGACATGCAATATCACTAATTTGTGTTGTAGTTGCGGTTTTCGATCGATTAAGGCTAATTTTCAATCTGCTGTACAGTTTTGAACAGTCCAAGGTCGACAAATGTATCATTGCATTATTATAGTGCAGTCACGATTCTTTTTTCCTTGAATTGAACGTTACAGTTCTCGTGCCATTAGGACTGGCTAGTGGAAGAGGCTAAGAACCGGGGGGGGGGGGATTGACAGTATCAGAGCACTATAATACTGCAAATCAGGAGAAAATTGCCATTTTTCCTATGTCGGTAATGTACATATACTGTAGATTTCAAACAGTTTTCATTTATAAAGTTTAGAGAAATGGACAAGTGAGTATTATAAAACATCTCTATGCAGAAATCAACAATTTTTTGATGAATCCTTTTGACCCTCCTGTAGAATGCCTGTTGAATTTTCTTTTTACAGTAGCACACCCATACCGTCAGTACTGTCCAGCAATTTGTACGGTACAGTACTGACCACCGCATCATGTCTCAGCCAGTACTGTACTGTACGCTGGCTCTCACGCACAAGAGAAAAATTGCCGTCTCTAATACTGTACTCCACTCACTTGGTCTAATTCAACAAACAATATTTCAATGGATTTTTGCACTTTTGTCGGCAGTTTTTACTTTGAAAAATATGGAAATTGAATACAGCACAATAACTATGACCCTTCACTGTAGTGGTGATGCTGTAGCGGAAAAATTTGTATTACTCCATCTACTGTATATCGCCGTTAAACATGACTGGCGTAAGCAAAGGCCCTGCCGATAGCACAGCAAACTTGACCATTTTTCCAGATTGCAGTTCCTAATTTGCTCTACAGTACTGTACAGTACTGTAGAGTGTACAGTGTACAGTATGGATGGTCTGTTACAAGCGTATACTGTACTGTACTGACTGTATAGTAGCGCAAGGCCAACTGGAACTAGGATACTATACAGTACTGTACTGTATATACTATACATGGTCTTCCAACTTGCAAGTGGTACTACACATTAACACGTTCAAAGATCTATTCCACCATGGTGTAAATCGATTATGCAAACGCAATGTACTGCGTAAAATCGGGTACAATAAGTATTTAGGGCGTTTATGACTGCAAGAACAATCATTCTCGTTGATTTATGATATTTTATGTCTTTATCATGCAACTACACTTACCGCTATCGCCAATTATTAGCAACTTGAATAAGTGGTCGTATTCTTTAGTTACCATCCTAGAAGGTCGTTGTGAATGATTCTACGGGTCTTTCTTTCACACACTTGGCTATCCAGACGTATGATAACTGACGATACTGCGTTATCTTCGCCTATTCTAATCAAATCCTAATCTTGGACTAATCGTAGGCAAATAACAGCTACTCTACGGTGGTGTACACACAGCAAGGTGCACTAAATATTAAATGAACGTGAAGCGATGTCAAGGGTAATGTCGCGACTATGGATCATAGCACAGTATGGAACTACTGTACTGTACTGTCAGTAATTCCAGTTGTGAATCTTCCAATCGATGAAATCTACTTGGATATTACAGTATCTTAGGGTAATACTGTAGGCGAAAAGCAGTTGGGAAGGTTGATACTGAGTCAATTGGACAAAAAAAAGAGAGGAAAGCACTTCAAAGCTGAAATGAAAGATGGAACTTCCAATGTTTGTGACTGAGTGAGGAGTTTAATCGGGCGGTTCCAAGCGAGTGTCGCCGAAACTCTGCGACACAGTGAGGTTGTACTGTACACTGCCGTATACAGTACAATGTACTGTAAACGGGCAGTCACGACCGTAGTTACGGTACTGTACTGTACTGTACTGTAGCGAAAAGGTTGTCGTGAAGTTGGTCGAGTTGCCAGTAGTACAGAACTGTAGACTATCGAGTGAGTGTAGAACTAGCGTACTGTACTGATCAGACCAATGGAGGTAAAATAGACCACCAGACTTTCAGTAAGTTGTAAATTTAAACGATTGAGCAGTAGGATACTTAACATCGGTCGTTAAGACTTCTTAAAGCAAACAGCTACGAGACAGATCGGCATCAGCCTACTGTTCACTGTGTAGTCTGGCTACTAGCTTCACCCATCACCTTGTACACTACAGTGTACAGTACAGTACAACACAATACTCTGTACTGTAGGTGCAGGCCAACGATCTGCTAGAAAACGGGTAGCAGTTAATACCATACTGTATTGAACTGCAGCAGTAACGGTGACCTTACTATGACGAAAAGGAGATCATTTGGTAGGACCCTTCCAGTGAACTGGGCGTAGTCAATTGATGAATTAATTATCGTAATTAATTAATCAAGATAATCATTTTAAGGGTTAAGAAGGCACCAAAGTCTGCAGAAAGTACTAGTTGAACGAGCTCGAAATGGTTACAGCATTTTACAACGTTGAAATACTGTAAAGTCATTTTATCTCGCTTAATGACGTCGATAGCTCGTACTAGATTGCAATCGTCTATTTCTTCCATGTTAATTATCGTAATTAATTAATCAAGATAATCATTTTAAGAAGGTACCATAGTCTTTAGAAAGTACTAGTTGAACGAGCATCAAATGCAGTTACAGCATTTTACAACGTTGAAATACTATCAAGTAATTTTATCTCGCTTAATGACGTCTATAGTTCGTACGTTGAATTACTGTAAAGTCATTTTATCGCCCTTAATGACGTCCATAGCTCGTACGTTGAATTACTGTAAAGTCATTTTATCGCCCTTAATGACGTCCATAGCTCGTACTGGATTGCAATCGTCTACTTCTTCCATGTTAATTATCGTAATTAATTAATCAAGATAATCATTTTAAGAAGGTACCATAGTCTTTAGGAAGTACTAGTTGAACGAGCACCAAATGGTTACTGCATTTCACAACGTTGAAATGCTGTAAAGTAATTTTATCTCGCTTAATGACGTCGATAGCTCGTACTGGATTGCAATCGTCTACTTTTTCCATATTAATAAAATAAAATAGTAGAGACATGACGTAATTTTATCCGCTGCTAGCTATTACTCATATCTTTCAGCATCATCAAAGACTCCCAAAATGATACAGTGATTCATTATCAATCAAGTGATAAGATATTAGGTGAGCTAGGCTGGTTTCATTTATAAAAATGACTGTAGGTAACGCCATGCATCATTATATTACGCCTAACGCGCTATAGTTTCTATCTCGAATTTTACTTACTTATGAAAAGGCAACGCATCGCTAATAACTTACGTAAAGAAAATTTCAGTAATTGATAGGCGTAATGAATACAACATGTAAGCAAAAGGCGACTGCATTATCCGCCAGTAAGCGATTTCTGACGTCAACTGCTTCGTCAAACGTACACAATGTTAAAATTGCTTAATGAGAATTCCTACCAATTCTAGTAGCCGATAGAACTTGTTTATTCATATTTCATTGCATTCATATACCTTACACGATACGACTGCAGTCATCACAAATGGTCTTACACAGATAAAATAGAACATGTGCAAACAATATTCATCCTGGATCAAATAAACTCTTCAACAGCACCGATAGCAGGGCACCATATGTCAAGTTTACTTTGCATGCTTGCACATTTTATAGATTATGGATGGATCTTTATTGCATATAGCTATACTTGTAAAAACGATTGTAACTTACTACGCAAGCATTCGAAATTTGATTGCCTCTTACATCATATATTATCTCGTAATTTAAATAATTAGAATTGTTTCTATCCCCATTAGAGTACGCTGCAAATTGGTACTAAAATGAAAATTAAACTTGATAAATTACCGGTTGTAACGCGCAATTGGATTGCATTACAATAAAGTACATAATTGTGTCTTAAAGAGTGATTGGGATTCATCATGCACTTAAATACAAGAAATTTTGAAATTTTAAAGCTTTTACCATAAAATTTTAAACTGCTAACCCTGGCTAATAAATTCCATGACAATGTCAGTAAATTCCTGCGGTCTTTCAACGTGTAGTAGGTGACCCGCACCGGCAATGACTTTCATTTCATATTTTGGGAAAAACTTCTTAATGTCGTCCAAATTATCAGAACTAAGGATATTGTTTAAAAAATACCATACGTTGTAATGTAAAGTAGCACTCACATTACAAAATTGTTCACTCTTTAATTCTCTTATCAACTGGTGCTGGTATCATCAAGAATTATAGAATTGCTTAACTTACTTGATATACGTAGATTTCTCGCCAACAATAAATAGAACTTTACCATCATATTGTCTTTTTGTGTCCGGAATAGCTACCAGATTGTGAATATTAGCATTGATAGCATCTAAATTAATTTTCCAGGAAATCTTTTTCTTTTCATAAACTAGATTCATTAATATGAATTTCCTGTAGGTATCATCCTACAATTTCAAAAAAAAGAAACCTTCCTATTTTAAATTAAATGCCTTTAAGACGACAATATCCATACTGACACAGAAATAGATAATATCATCAGATGCTACAATTAATGGATATGCCAATATCTCGTATAAGAGAGCTTTGAATGCTCAGATGAGAGTTATTGATAACTTATTGTAATAACTTTTGTAACACAGTAATAAAATCATTTACCGTAATTTTATCCACTAAATACTCTTCAATTTCTCTTTTGCTAGTATAGTTATCAAGGTTAACACTGCGTAATATTTTAATATATGAAGGAGTCTTCCAATTTGCTAATTGAGTAACTGAGGTTGTTGGAGCAATATCAGCTATGACCAATTTATCAATTGAGTTGGAGGCAGATGATAAAGCCATCGTCATAGCGGTACGCCCACCCAAGCTATGACCGATTAAAGTTGTTGGAGATCCATTATTTACTTGCATAATCATTTGTTGGACATCATTCGCCATCACATGATAACCCATTTCTGAGGCATGAGGGCTATCGCCATGATTTCTAGCATCTAAGTTTATGATCTAATGCAACGAGTATGAAAGAATTCGTAAAAGATTTTTATCGTTGTAGCTACAATGTCTTGTAAATATCATGTATAAAATTTTCCTTCGTTTTCGTACTAATCTAACGACAACATCTAAATAAATATCTCTTCAACTATATTATAATCAAACAAAATTTATAGCATAGGTACAATTATATAGTATACGAGTATACGAATACTCGTACATATTCAGCAGTGACCTGGCAAGCAGATGAAGTTGGGGCATGCTAGTCAACGTTAAGAACTGACTAGCTTTGAAAGAACAAATCTAAAAATCATAGAAATAAATTATCTAATTTTCTTCACAATTTACAATGCACACTATTACTCAATTTTTATTAATGAATGATTATATCATAGGAGTATCACTAATTTTTGCTTATATAGTATTATATCTCAATGTCTCAATTAATTAATTGATTGGTGTAGACAGTGGTCAGAACTATTAAGCAATGACAATATACATATACGGGCATAATAGTACGCAAGAGAGAGAGGCTGTCTCGGCTGGTATTGGTCTTGAATTTAAAACTTCGGCAGTATAATAAATAAAGTTGAAGTAAAGTAAGTAGTGGAAGCTTTCTGGGGGCCAAAGGTTATAGAAAGTAGTTTACTTGTGTACATAAATGTAGCACTCATTTATACAGCCAAAGACTGTATACGAATATTTTACTGGTCCTTATACTGTACTGTCATTAAGAACATTAATGGATGATTCCTATCGTAAAATATGTACCTTTCGTTGCAGTTTATTGGCTAAAATTCCAGATACAGTTCTCCAATTTCTCTTAGATCCAAATAATCCATGCAATACAAATACTGGGTTGTTTTGGGTAGGCCTTGTTACAATCCCTGGTTCAATTACAGAATAGGCCAATTGCAGTGCACTATCGAATGGAAAAAAAATAATATCGTCGTATATCAGTCGCTTGATCGAAGATTAATAATATATCAATTACTTAATACTGTCATGATAAGATTTCTAAAATGAACTGTGAGTAAACTTTGAATCTACACTTATATTGTTTGATGTCACTTTAGTATACTGTAGTGTGTAGATTGTAGAAGGATGTTTTCGGTATATCTATGATGAGCACTCAAACTGATCCATTATTGTTAAAATGGTGCCGATAGGCTGCCTTTATTGTCATTATGAAAGTTGATCGTTCAGTAATCCATATTATTATTTACTGTTCAGTGTTCACTATGCCATTACAGTAAAGATTTGGCGTAACGCTTTTACAGTCGAATAGACTTGCTGCATCATACTGTAATCATTTGCTCAGATTATAAGTGGAAGCTACATGCTAAAGAGCTGCTGACGAATACGAATAGGTAATCCCCTCATAGAATTGATATGCTTTTATCCAGTGTGCATGTACGAGAGAGTCTTAGCATGCCAAGACCTACACGATGGCGTATATTAATCATGTTATCGGCAGTTGAAAAGATGGACAATTGGATAACACCAGTTGTTGTGGATTACACGTTCTAGGATTGGATACAAGCCTTGATTTTTTTCACTGTTTACGTGTAATTAATGCATGAGTCATGACACCACTTAACATTATAATGTAGATTATTAGCATTAGATAGCATCAACGAATCCAACCTACTACAAGATACCTTACATAAGGTCTCTGCTTTTACGCAGCGATAATATCGTTCCTACTATTCAATCATGACGAAATAATATCAATATAAGATATGAATAACTGAATCAATACGAATATAAAAGTGACAGTAGTCAAAATCTGCTTCTACATTTAATAGAATATCCAGTACTGTCCATTTACAACTGCCAATAATTAATTATATAATCCCAGCAAACATTAACGTGAATGTAGAGTGTTTAATAACGTTGGTTACCTTTTGTGAGCCATTTTATGCACAGGAATCTACTGGTGTATTTCTGCAAATGCAAGGCTTAACCAACACATAAAATGGAAAATGGGATTAATTCCTTAACGGCAACACTACCGTGTCTAAAATATCCACCAAACCTCTACCCAAGAATGGATGAATGGCCAACAGCCTGCAGCAGACTGGTATCCACAAGCAGTTGCATAGCATGACATCATGCAGTTATCCATTGGTATCATACTGATACAGTATATCGAAGCGTATAGAAACATGAATCTTGCTAACTTGATACCATAATGTCTATGGATTGCCATTGCCACCTTAACTTGAGGAAGGGAAATCTCTATGGTTACTACACGCCTTAGGATTTTCCGCGCCAGTTAGAAAACGAGACTGTGGAAGGAGTGGTGGCTGCCGCTCTATCCTATGCATCAGTTTTGGGTTTTATAGCATCTTTCAAAATCTGGGCTAGCTTGCCGAAAACAAGGCCAATACCCAGTCAAGTACATTAGACTTGTTGACTAATTCTAGGCCTAGACCTGATCGATAGAGAAAACTCCTCTCTCAAGACGGTCATTCAACATTTTAAAAGTGAACTGATTGCTGGTCGGATCGGCTATATCCAAGAGCGAGTAGTGCCTTTAGCATACTGTACCACCATCACAACATCTAATGCCTATTTGAGTTGGGAAATCATGACGACGATATCAAAGGGTCGTCTTTCACGCCGCTACGAGGTCATTCCTAGTATCGAATCCATCTTCAATGTGGACGATGACAGCAAGATTAACCTCGATCATCAACCAGAAGTATTTCTAGCCAACCAATTAAAATTCAACTTAAATGTTCCAACCACCATGGAAAATTTAGCTACATCATGTAAAGATCCTTCACATATCATCATTTCTCATGGCGATGATAGGCACAAGAGTCATCATCGGGTAAATAAAATAGTACAACATACACGGAGATGTTAAATTCTTATTGCATTAGAATCGATTCAGTATTGTGTATGAGTAAATGATAGATCGAGCTAAACTCGAGTTGTTTAACTCCCTTCGTAGTCTGTAGATGATTATTTCCATAGTTTGTAATTCCAATAAGGACAATATGATACACGTATGGTTATGACTTGAAATCATCATCACCAGGTTAAAACAAGAAATAAACTCTGTTATTATTGACCCTCAGCAATTGGAAAATTCAGAGACTTGGTTGATTTCCTTGCTGTCTGCATCGTCTTATTGAATACTCGCACTATTGAACTACGATGTAGTGGACGTCAACGATTTAAAATTGCATTAGCTGCTACTTTAATAAAATAACTAGCTCAAGGCTAGCGTAGTTTAGTAGTATACAGATATTGCATGACTTTCTTCATTGTTTCTACCATGTTGTTGACAATTAATGATTATAGTAATGCAGAAAAAGACGATGAGACAAACTGAGACTTGTAATATGAAATTAAAACACCAGCTCGACGTACAACACCATTCAAGCACTGACAATCCTACGGCTAGGAGGCAACAGTAAACTATACGTGTCGTAACGATCTACCAATTTATGGCCTAAATACGTAGACATCCCTCCTAGCTTAGATACGATTATATTGTGCCTAGATACTGTAGGCTCTTACCTATCCAAGTATGTGAAACGTAAATTATTATCACTTAAATTTCAAGAATGACTATCTGATCATAGCTATGTGATGGCTAATACGCAATACTTACTCTGTAACTGATCTGTAAACATATTGCATTAGCTGTAATTTAGATGACTAGGTAAAACCAGCATACGTAATACTGTAATTCAGTTCATGATGGGTTTCATTGCTAATTTGCATCATCTTGTTGAGGATCAATGACAATATGTGCTACCGAGAGTTTACAAAATTATCAACTGCGACTTTAGATAACTATGTTAGGTAAATATTACTTCGAATTTATGTTATAAATTTTTGAATTCGGATGCGCTAGGAAATATTGATAAAGATGTACTTGAAACACGTCTCATTGCATACTAATATACTGTAGCTTTCAATTACTCCAATGGTTTCTTCCCTATTCCATTATGCTATTGCCTATTGGGTATGCTATCGACAACAAAGTGTCAGCAGTTACGTAGATGCTGTAGTAGTGTAGTATGGGATATATGTTAGTGTTATATGTAGCCAATCATTGCTAATATTGTACGAGGCTTAATTATTATGTCAATTGCTCCATACGTAAGGTAAACAATGGTATTTGACTATCTGATAAATTTGTAAGCTTGGCGATGTCGTTAGCTCTATTGCGATGACTGACTAGTAGCTATGGTATATAGTATGTAAGAGCAATCGTACCATAAACTAGCTTAAATGATGTCTATGCATATTCCTATTTTGTCTATCATCGAATGTTAAAATTTGGCAACTGTGTAAATTTCGTGGTATAAAAGTATATCGTATTTATAAGAAATGGTTGATATCATAATATCTAGAACTTGTAATTAAATCTATCATCGCATCTTATAATATATCTGGCTATAGGATCAAAATCCCAAATCTGCTGACTTTAATATTTTGGATAGCGAAGAACTGAACCTTGCCCTAAGATTTGCAAAGCAAGATATCAATCTAGCCCGAGCCGATTTATCGACACAAACTAATACTGTCATGAACAAAAGCCGACGTGCAAAAAGGAATAAAGCTAATCATGAACGATCCCATGTATCTATAGAAGTAAACAAAATCAACAAGCCTAAGAAATTATCATCTCAATCTAAACTTTTAGTATCAACAGGTTGTATTTCGGGCAAATAATGTAAACCATTTTACTCATCTTTAAGATTTCGCTGATTATATAACTGCGTATACGCACATGAAGAAATTCACATTTTTACTCTTTCTACTCTAACATTTAGCTGTATTTGAGCTGGTTTATCCCATCATCTCATTAGTTATATTGCACCAAAATAAAATACTAATAATTTCTATTACCAATGTTAATACCTTAGGCCTACCACAGCGCAACCGGAAGAAAAATAATGAACAATATACTGATCGCAAAACAATCGGCCGATCCAGAGATCTTATATGGGTGCAAAGTAAACCATCAAGTTCCAATATAGTAAAAAAAGAAAGAGCATCAAGAATTGAGCAGAAAGCTAATCCAGCGCCTGTCTGGCATAGTGATAAAGGTATAATCACTTTAAAATGTTGCTATTATGAGTGAGATAATTTCTTATTGGGTGTTTCTCTGCAATGATAACACCAATTGTGTTATAGTACCCTCCGGTCTTATTGTTTAATAACATAATTCGCTAATAGATAAAAAGATCAGCGAAATTGAACGCCTACGATCGGAAATTCGAAAACTGGTCATGCAAACAAGAGAACTATATCACGATGTTTCGCAAAAAGAGGCTGATGTTAGCTTATCATCTGCAAAGCCTGTCAGCAACCCAGACAAATTTATTGTTAAACTTAGTAATCGAAGTATTCGGACTTTATATGTTCTGCAAAAAAAGGTACAGTCATGTAATTTAAAATGTTTATCTAGCAGTTTTTGCATCTATTTACCAACACATACAGCCAATAGAGGTATTATATCGCGTACACCTTAATTTGATCATCCTGTCTTGATCAAAGTCTTTGTGGTTGCAAATTGATTGACTTGCCTATCGTTGTATTAAAATTTAATAGATATCATTTTTAAGTCCTAATAATGTTTATTGTGTACCTTTTTTATCTCGTCTAATTAATACCGTTTAGATAAAGATAGTTTCTAGTGGATTACATAAGGATCCTGTTGTTGATAAGCTGCGATTCAAAGAGGTACCATGGAGAAATCACATTCTCTGCACTTGATTTACAATATAACAATGAAGTATTATTTATAGATTCACGATTGGTAATCCTTAGATACTGTGTCCTGTCTACTTTACAGATTTTAACTCATATTGCAGTCAGCTATAGAGGATTAATCAAGACACTAGAAGAATTTAATCGTGATATTGCCCGGCGATCGCACGAAGTGGAAGTGAAAATTGCCCCCAAAGTCTACAAGGATATTGGCAGCCTAATAAATATCATAACCCAGTGTTGCAGTGCTCTTAAAATTGCTCCAGTTGATGATACTGCGGAACTATTATTTCAATTGTATAATGATTGCCAGGTATTAATTAACAGAAACTGAGTTTTTAATGATAGTTGATCGGATGTCCTCAAGTGATGAATTGTGAATAATTTTGTTAACATGGCTCTGCAATTTAGGAAAGAAATCTTTTAAATGAAGATAAGAATATTTATCAAGGCATATAAAATTGCATCGCCTATTTGATTTAACATATTTACTATTAATATCAATGTGCTAGTTAAGTTACTGTGAACATACGTATTTCTGATAATTACCAAGTTTAATGTCTCTTTACTTTTCTGTCATAGATATAGAAGCCGAAATAGACAGTAAATCAAATGAAAAGAATGAGACTCGAGTAAAAATTTTAACATTTATATTCAAATACAATATATTAGTGACATCGTCTGCTAACGATAAAGGCTTTTGTACAATAAAAGACAATGCTCTATATTTATTGCTAACATCAATATATTTCGTAATCATCTAAAGACGGTAGCTGTATTAACCGTATTACTCACTTGAACTAGGCTATGAATCGAAAAACTCAACCTAGAAGTACATCTAAAGGTGTCTTATGGGCTGATTCCAGAAAGGTTATTAGTTTCATTAAGCGTATCTGTTTCTACTACTTTTGTGGATCGTAAAGATTGCTAACTTGTATAATTACTCAATCGTGAAATTTATATTAACGGAATAGGTATCGAAGATTTCCGATGGCCGTAAGGGAAAAAATCAAGAATTTCGATTTCTTAGAGACACAGAGTCATCAAGGCTCAAAATATCTGATAAAAGTAGACAACGTAGCAATGGATTTGATCCTGATTTTGTATTTCAAGCTTCTGAAGATCCACGTTTAGATGGTGAAATGACGTTAACACCTCCAGAATCTCCAACTAAACAGTCTCTTCTTCCTTGGAGAGCAACCTCTCGTTCAGCTACCCCTCGAAATATCAATGCATCCGAATCGATAGAAAATCAACCTTCCCCTACTGGCTCTCACCGGCAGGTCTCCGTGTTTGACGATAAGGTCTGCATTCATAGATTAGATAGATTTATAGTACAGTAAATACACACGCCTTTCTTTAAGTTGTTGTAATTTTTTGGGATAGCTTAGAGTAGTTATTTACCTCTACTTACGTAAATATAACATGACTTTTATTACAAAACTATTGGCTAGAAATCAGACGACGTGGATCGCCGCCTGACCGATAGCCCTCGCCAAGTTTTAAAGCTACGGAAGTCACCGAGGTATCTATTCGACGGTACCGAAATTGTTACGATATAATTCATAACCTTATCTATTCGATTTTGCCTACCAACCCAGGCGCCGAAAATACGTCAATACAAGCTCTGATTCTGTGAAAAATCATATTGTAAATGACCTCAACCGCAGGAAACAACAATTTTTTACTGATGTGGTAGAGTTTGAAAAATTAAGTTTGTGATATTGCTGATAAACAAAATAAGTCCTAAGTTAAAGCCTTCTTTCTCATGATTAGTCGGTTAATGCCCCTTCCCTTCAAAACCAGCTATCTGAAACGCTCTGTAAATTGGTATGAGCTTGGAAAATATAGGATGCCAAATAAAATCTTGCGATAATTCTAATTGTAACTAATCACTTCTATGAGGACGGTACTAAAGTCTTACGGTCATCCTAATAGGTTTCGGCTCATGGTGACGACATTACGGAAGCACTATTAAAATATCTTATTGGTGATACTGTAGATGAATTACAAAGGTACGCTCACGTAACACATAAGCTTCAGGAAAAATTTTTAGCATTGAATCCAATATTCTTTATTTATATAGAATTGAATGCAATGATGAAATGAAAAATGAAGTCGATAACTTTCTATCCGATACGAATATTGAAAAAGTTTTGCAACTCATTGAAAATATTGAGGTAATGTACGATGCAGATTTAGTTTCTATTAGACTACTAATTCTCTTTCCTAATATTATACGGGTATCTGGGTATATTTTTGTAGTTGCAAGAGGCCAACGTACGTCGTAAACTGAATGATATAGAATACGCAGATACAAATGGTTAGCAATCGTAAATGTAAATATTTTATGAGAAGCCTTAGAGATACTTAGTCTATTTAATTATACTTAAACATATTAGATCTCAATCCTGCCAATTCATCTCCGAGCATTCCTGATCAGAATCCTATTGTCATTACTAGACCACAGTCTGGTCAATTAGTATTTACTAATACTCCAACTGAATTAGACGATTCTGGGAAGATTATGTATAACATAAATGTAAGTCTAGTATGTATTAAGTTGCCCTCTATTCTGGAAAATAACTAACGATGACTTTTATTTGTTACAATATCTATCGCTTAGAATACCAGTCATATACCAAATCATCTAGATGTAAATTTATTAGACAAAAGAGTCGTTGCAACTTCTCGCAGCGCTATGGACAGAGTTGAACAGTATTGCGATCTATATAAGGAATACCAGTCAAAAGTACCACAAGAATTATCTGGAACGTCAACTGGTATCTGGATGTATGAAAGGTAATACTAGCTCTATGCTCAAATATTTATATTAAACGTTAATTTCTCAAATATTTTCATGATACTGTCAGAATTTGTGACAAATTGTTGAATAAACTCCTTGAAAGTGTGGGAAAAGAAATGGAAAAAAATATTGACAGCTATGTTGAAAATGTATACGCTGCTGAGTTTCAGGCATAGGATCGCCGTAATACTGTAGAATATTCAAAAATACAAACATCGACATCTTAATTAAAGAAACGACAACTAAAAACAAAGCTTTATCTTTATTTATGTGAATTAATACGTAGCCTACCTAAAACAAGAATAACTTTCACCTTTTATGCGTATGATGTAGTTTTATTTTGTTTTCACTGGCTAGGAAAAATGGAGTATTATAATTGCGTTTGGGAATATACGGCTTGTAGAACTAGTGATGGTTTACTCTGTCTGTATATGCACGTTATTGATACACATTTTTACTGTATGATGTATGACTAATTGAGAAAGGCAACATTAAAATTTGCTTGTTTTACTCCTCAAACCATCATGTTATATGATAAGTATAAGTGTAAATTACCATTAACTATGATGATAAGTGAACAATCAAGTCTGTATATCCAGTATTTATATTTTTATGTAACATACACAGAACTGTTACTATTTAACAACTACTACTTTTATAATTTATCACTGCAAAATATTAATTCTATTAGCATGATTATTTCAAATAGAAAATAGCCTAAAAGAATAAAGTATAATTAAATAACAGAGTGACTTTCATAATGTGAAAAATATTCTTACAGATGTAAATATAATTCATTTCATGTATAGTAAGATCAAGGCGTAAATGTTGATTCTTGCATCACACAATTTCTCGTTGTCATCATAAATAATTAAAATGGAGAAGAACTTGGAGAAATTGATGTACCAAAGCCATTAGATGGTTAAATCAACTTTAAACAAGGGCTTAAAATTATTCGCATTTGATACTTTAAATGTTGCATTTAACAAAATATCGATTTTCTATTATACGAGTATGAATTACTTAACAGAAGCGGACGATAGATTGTCGTACTCGATAAATTTCTAGTTATATCCAATAGCTAGTTTTAATCAATTAAATTTCGGATCAGAAGTTTCTATAACAGAGGACTTCTCTTCTTTCGTGCACATCGATTTAAGATTTGCAAACAATTGCTAAAGAGCTCTTCAAATTTCTCTTAAACGTCAGTGGAAAGTGCACAGTTGTATAACAACTACTTGTCTACTGTGTTTCTTTCCTAGCAATTTCTTAAAAGTTTAATCTGTTAAAAACTAGATAGATTAATTATTTCATTTCATAAAGTATTCAATCATTGAAGACTATCAATGAACATCCAAATTATTGTTAAGCCGTTGTAGCTGGTAAAGTCTTCATCTCTTGGCTATTATTTTCATCTTCTTCATTAATAGACTCTAAGACATTACCATGCTTATATTTTAGTTTGTGGAAATTGTATTTACGTGAAGACGTCGAACGTTTTGATGAGACAAACTTTAGTAAATGAAATTTTCTTCTTGGGCGATAGATACCACTATCAATTAATTGTTGCCTAATTTCTTCATCGCTCTCCCATCTCTGTCTTTTCTGCCATGGTTTCGATACAACCACTGCAATAATGACAACAACAGACAAGATGGTAATACTGGTAATACTCCATATCATCATTTGTTTATGACTGATGGACGATAAATTGAACAACGGATTAATTTGAGTGCTGTTAGTCTTGCTGATCTCATATTTATACAACGGAGTATCAGTAGAATGATGATCGGTCCTTGCATGTAACTCCGGATAACGTATATAATGTTCTTCAGCTGTTTTTACCTAGCGAAGTAGGATTACGTTGAATAAGATTTTTTAACGCGACAACAATGTAAAATTTTCAGCTCAATTTCATATTGCTATATTAGATTAGAAAACGCTAGGATATATAACAATTTGCTATTAAAAATAATTAACTTAAAACAAAGGATACAAAAATACTGAATCAAATTTAAAATTCTGTAAGTACAATAAATATTTTGACTCCTTTACTATAGCATTATGCAAATCCACCTTTATAGGCAGGAGTAATAGAAGATATATTAGTGAACTAAGTCTTGACTAATTTCTACCATACAAGAAGATAATCAAGTGATATGCAGCTAGTTCAATCCATTACGGACACATTAGCTGCAATTGTTGAAATCTAAAGAAACAATATGAGGTTGGCGGATTGATTCTAGATATGAAGGCTCTAATTGGATATCCGCATCCATAAAGATATTGATAATGTATAAGATTGTAGGCAGAGATTTTAATCTCTATTATGATAAATGTACTATAGCTTTACATAAATTTACACAGTATCTTTAAATACATCAGAGAGCGCACTAACAGAGAATTTGTATTTACTGTTAAAATAAATGATCGTGCAATAGACAGAATATGCTTCTTTCGTTACAATCAAAACTGTTCCACTTCGTCGTGAACAACAATGTAATAGACATGAAAAACATTGAATAGAAGGATTCTATGTCTAGTACAGCATCAATATTCAAAATAATTGCTTGTATCCAGTAGAATATGCTACTATTAATCGCTACGACGCCATAATTAAAAAAAAAATTACTCACATAGAATTGGTTATGTTGATTTAAATGAGGGATCGATTTGATAGTAGAAGCTGATACATGATTCTGGTTGAACAGCATTGTATTGATAATAAGGTATACCATAAGCGATATTTTAACGTCCTTAATCTTCATTTTTTCATCCTATAATGTTTAATAATTGCTAAGTAGTACTTAAGAATATATATCGTAGTTTACAACATGTCCAGCGAAATAAGTAATACGCTAAATGTAGTACTGTGCTCAGTTGTATATTCAAGTGATAATAAAGTTACCTTTAAGGTCACAAAATCGGTGACAAGTTCAAACTTTGACGATTACTATAATCATTTCTTTTCCGAAGGGTTTGCTATCCAGGCCTTGATTTAGGGTATAAATGATTTCTTACACATTGCTTGACTTTGTATAGCTCAATTACGGCAAAAGGGCTTCTCGGTAGCGATTATAAACATATGTTTTACCCATATGCTTAAGGTATTTTATTCCTTTACATGATTGAATAGACCAACAGATATCGAAAAGATAAAAAGGTCACAACATTCTGTTGTTATGGGAATTGAAATACAGTTACTCTGTACGTAATTTAATTTCTAGATTTACAACCGGTTCTTTAATCTGATTTTAAGGATGTAAATTAAGGCATTATGAAGTTACATAAAGCAGGTAGAACTATAATTATCTTAACATATCTATATGCAGAAGCTTAACTTACAGCAGTAGTAATTGATTCCTAATTAATTAATGATTAGTGGGCCCTAAAAGTAATCAAGCTGACTTATGAATCGTAAATAATTATAGAACCAATTTATTTTAAGCAAGATATTTACCCTACATAAATAAATTAAATATTCTATCGTCTGTCCTATCTTACAGTAGTAATAATAATCTGATATAATATCACTCACTTCCTTACTAACGGTTATGTTACCATAGTAAAATATTCTACAGAACCAGTAATTTTAACAAAGATTTATATTCATCACATTTTAGGTGTAAGTATAAGTATTTTGCCATCCGCTTATATTAAAAGTAGTAAGGATAATCTGAAATTTGGTAAGCAAATTAGCGATTTCCTCTTTAACATTATGTTGCAACGGTAAAACTAGTCTGAACAGTGATTATAATATAGCATTGCATCCATCAGTTACACTGGAAGTTGATCACGGCTGAAAAAATATTGTACTGTCGACAATACAACAGCAAAGAATTACCATTATATATATATATAATCCAAAGGAAAAATTATAAATAATTTCATATATGTTCTTAACATTCGTACATGATTAATTAGGTATTTCATCTATTTATACACCTGATAAATTCATTAATAGAGGTAAATAATAATTATTCTATGGCTTGGATGTTGCTATTCGTTCAAAACAGCACATGACTGATCAATTAAGATCAATTGCTAAGTAAATAATTCATAAATGCAAGTCGATATCAAAGTGCAAAAAAACTAATTTGAGCATTTCATTTTGCGTGCCTGTATTAATTTGTATATTGATATATCCAAAAATGACATCCATTTTCGATATTCTATGTAAATCGAAGCTTTGGTGATCATCTATTTATATATTGCAGGGACTGAATACGGAACCTAGAATTACTTATATTACCTGAATTTGTATGAGAAAAATTAATTTTTACACGCTTCACTTGGATATCAATTTAGATCATTCTTTGGTCACAATACCTCCACAATAAATCACGGCATAATTCAATAAATTTATAGTAGGTTACCGAATTTATTATATTTACCTTAATAAATTATAATATTATCAATGCCAAAGAGCTGTATCAAGTAGTACTTTAAAAAATGGCGCTCATTTTAACCATCAAGTGGTGTAATAGATGCATAATAATATTGGTAAATAATTAGAATATTAACCTAGTTAAGAGATTAGTACTGCTCAAGACGTATCTTCGTAATACAGTCTAATATACAGAACATATATAATTTCTCATCCATTTCAAGTTTTGTGCAAGTCTAGCGTTAGATGGTATTATTATTTATAATTATCAATCGATGGTGCAGGAGACCACCGTATGCCAGAGTCTATCAGATGTTTATAGAATAACTTAAAATGCTGCGTGTACTGGTACGTATCTAATATCCGATGAATTTATCATTTAGTCCCAATAGTAAATTTAATCACATATTCATAGAATGAATATTAATTGCACGATGCACACCATACAACTTTAAGTAATCTATCAAGGAAAAAATTAATATTCGGTTGTACTATATTACCATGAACTGACAGGAAAAGATATAATTAAAATCATTGTAGATAAATTTATAAACTCATAAATCTCTCAAAGAAAAACCACGCGCAAATCAAACAACACAGTCAGCGCCGTAAACATAGTCTTAACAAATCAAGTTTTAATCCCTTAAAATAAGGTAATTCATACACAATAACGTGATAAAAGTATCAGATTTGAAGTTACAGTACAACACCATCAATATTCTACATAGTGTACGTTCATATAATTCAAATAGCTACGTATTACACAGATCTGTCCTCGGATGACGGTATTCTGATATTTATCGTAATTTTTTTCTTTCTGTACGTTGAGAATGGCAGAAATTCGAGGCAATAACTAGCTTTACAATATTACATTCAGTAAACAAAGCTGATAAACGTGGAATAATATAATATAATAATTATTAACTATTATGATGATGTAATAAAGACCATCTGACCAAAGCAGAAGCCAAATCGGTAACATTGCACGTTAATAGTTGCAAGTATTCTTTACTACCATAGCTCGTTGTTATTCTAAAGCTCTCAGTATGGCTATTCGTGATTTAACGCTGGATCTCAGTAACGCTGTACCAGAAAATTTGCTTTAGCGATATTAACTGATCAATATACTTCTTCCCGTATCCTCAATTTCAAGGTGTTCGACTTGTTGTTAATTTAGAAGTGGCAACAACAAAAGCTAGCACAAATAACAATAAGATATCTCCAATAGTAATATGGCGATCTAACAAGAATACCAAAAGGAAATGCTAGAGCGTCTACCGAATATAAAAATCTTGAATTTATAGTTATAGATATTTTTAGAATGCATTTTAATTACAGCCAATGACAGCGTTTGTTACAAAACGAGGCTAAACATTGGAATAAGCGAAGTTACTTAATAGTAGCACATATTATAATGGGTTTAGAGATATCGGGAATGATAATTATTAATGACAGTAGTTAAAATCTTTCCCTCAATTGATTACTTAGTAAATTATGATGTTAGCGTTTACAAATAATGGCGCGATATAATGTACTCCTTACAACACTTTCATACAGACATAATAATACAATAATGATTGTAACTTACGATCCCCGATAATTGAATCGTTCAGTTGCATGCTTATTAATAGGCTATTTTACATGATAATGCTCAAGATTAATCAAATGAGGTATACTTCAGACTACGTAACGCCTTGCATTGCTTGCTGTACGAACATCAATCCAGCACTCGGATTTATAATTTTTTATAAGCATCCATTGCAACGAAGGAATGCAAAAGGGAACTAGTTTGAAGACCCTTAGGCGAAGTGGCGAAAATAATCACTTAAGACTATAATACGAGTTCATCCTATGTTGGTAGTAATAATATTTGCAAACTGATCGGTGACTAGTCTAGTTGAGTAGCAATTTTAAATCTTAATGAGAACAAATACATATGTGAAATTATATATCATCTTATAACCAAAGCGCAGCTTAACAAAAAATTTGAGCAGCCCTATTGCTGTTGCTGTTTTCGATGTTCCTCTGCGGCTTTTTCTAGTTGCGATAATAAGGAAAATTTCAATCAGGATGTTAGAACTGCGACAAAAGCTTAAATTAATAATTGGCAATATTTAGTTTTCACCTTCTTTTACCCTAGTCTTCTTAAATTGTTGCACTTCCTCGAATATTAGTTCTATTTTTTAAAAAGCAAATGTAGCTTAGTTTCTGTGATATTACCTCAGTAATATTTCTACTTTATACATTAAAATGATAGTCAAAATAGGAATAAACCTTTCAGACGATCCTTTGGCAAGTCATCGAATTCAGTATCAAAGCGAAACGGTTCTTCTGCGATCGGCTGATAGCACAGGCAAAAAAGTTCGCTTATTATTTTGACTATACTAAAGTTATATACAATATCTACTACAGTCGTCTTTAGCAATAGTATTCAAATTATCACATTGTCATTACCTCATCGGAAGGATCATAATATTGTTCTAAATAAGAATGAGCTAAAGCTTCTTCAACTGTAATTCTTTTGTTTGGATTGAAGGTTAGCATTTTGTCAAGAAGATCAAGCGCTACATTAAAAGGATAAATAAATGTATGATTAAATTTGATTCGCTAAACCGGTACTTTCCTATTTATATGTTTTCTGTAGCACAGTTAAAAACCTCTTGAATCTGCCTTTGGGAATAATTTGATCCAGGGCATGGTAGCATTATATGGTAAGGATTGAATATATCCGCGAGCCTGATATAATAATAGTTTACATTATCACACTGTTTAAAAACCACACTCTGAAGATTAATTAACAAATACATCGCTCTACCTTTTCGTTCCTGATACATTGCAAATCTTCCATGTTAGGGGTTCCCAAAACTTGTAAAATATGATTTAACTGATCGAGATCTGTTGGATATTAGTTAAAGAAAGCATACGAAGAATCGATATGTAGAAATATGCCCAATTAAAAATTTAATCAGATAGCGTATTTGACGGATACAATGCTTTCCAGGAAAGATAGGACGATTAGATAACATTTCAGCCAATATGCAACCAACTGACCAAATATCAACTAGATTATAAAATAAATCTTTAGTGCATACTAAACGAGAATAATATAGTTGATAGATACCACATTGTAACTGCTTATAAGTCAATTAACTTCATTGTATACGAGCGAGTGTACGTACTTGATTTAGTGTATCCTTTCGAATTCAGCATAATCTCTGGTGCACGATACCAACGAGTCGCAACGTATTCCGTTAGAAATCCAGTGTGATCATGCTCTGGATCTGCTACACGGGCCAATCCAAAATCGCATATCTACGATAAATTAGGATTATGTGTTATATTACCAGTTGCATAAAATTTAAGCCACAGCACAACAAATTGAAGATAAGGCGATGGGTATTCAGATGTAAATCTAGCTAATGCAACTCGAAAGACTTAAAAATACGCGTACAACGTTCAAATTAAAACCCCTAGGATATTTATAAAATGCAACACTAAAGAGAACACAGGTTCAGCGAAGGTTAGAATTCTAATATCAACTAACAATCAAGCAGCTTCGTTTTGATATCGTGAAAAGATACGGGAATTAAACACAGCATGATGACAACATCACATCACGATGTTGACTACTGGATAGTACAGTATATTAATAATACTACGTAGTAGTACTTTTTAAATTAATACGTATTTCACTGTCAATTTACAAGGGTAACATGATGTTTTCTTATACGCGCAATACTTAAATATTAAAAAATCATCACTTAAGGACTAAATCGTTTCAAACTATAAAATATAGTATCAAAGATAATTGTAATAGAAAATCTGAATATTTTACTAGTTAACGATAACCTATATGTCATTAAGGTGCAAAATTTATTACAAACTACAAAAAAAATGAAGAAAATAATGTTATTATTTAATTATATTATAAAATATATGACAGCATACGGCTAGAATTACTTCCTATTTTTTATTACAGTAATGGCAAGATATAATAGGTAATGGTCACTTTCTTACAAAATAAAACAAGGACTGAGATGTGTCATTTTAAATAGTAGTGAATAATTAATATGGTAACATAAGTAAAAATTTTGTAATTGAGTATTCGAAGGATATGATCATTGATCCATATCTTATACAACACTGGCTCTCTCCATTATATACGTATACAAGTGAATAGATATACGCATATTGTACTACGATTAGATTGAATAGTGTACAACTGTGTATTGAAATCTATTCCTTTATTTGTATTTATAATTATTATCATTTAGTTGCGATTACTTATATTTAACTGACTAAGTAGAGAATATTTAACTTTGAATGTATAGAGTACGCGTTGGAATAACTGTACTGCATTAGAGTCATAATTTTAGTTTTGTTTACTGAATACAATAAAAAAGTTTCTGCAATTATACAAATTTATAAATTCTATAAATATTACTACTATTTCACAACCAAGTCTTTATCATATTGATTATTTTTCACTAGAAGTGAAAATAAATTTGGCAACATAAATTTTTACGGTTACCTTTAAATCGCAGGTTGTATTTAAGAGTAAGTTGCTTGGTTTAAGATCACGGTGCAAGACATTGGCCGAGTGAATATATTTTAGGCCACGTAAAATTTGATATAGGAAGTAGCATACATGATCATTACTTAATCTTTGCGTTTTAAGTAACTTGTATAAATCCGTTTCCATTAGTGCTTGAACGATGTAACTATGGGTAAAATTAAGTTAAGGAAATAGAGCAAGACCGGGAGCAATAACAGGAGGCAAAGAGAAATAGTAAACAATAGAGTTAGAGATAAATAAAAAATAAGTTGACAAAAGAAATCATTGATTTCCTTTAATAGATTTACTGTAACAGAAAACGAACTTTTTCAACCTGCTTCTAAAATTAATATTTGAGTACTATTATAGCTGTAATAAATAAAAGATAGTGCTTTTCAATCAATAACTAGATACAGAGCTATTTAATTTAAATGCAACTATAGTACAGTAAAATAGGTAGCTATTTCATATCGGCGATATCAGACATATACACGTGCATATAATATACAGTACAGTACACAAACCGCATTTTCTAATTTAAAAATATTATTATGTAGATAGTACATACTGTATTATTCAACTATCAAGTTTATATACCTACTTCATAGTATAGAGCATAGTAACACCACGAAAATATATACTGTATGTTATACACTTTAAATTTGAAGGGTTATCTATTAAGCTATCTACGCTTTGAATAGCATTGGATACACATCTTTCATTTCCTCCGCTGACGGTGCACATAAAATATCAAAGATACCAATTATCTAAATTTAAGGAGAAAGATAAAAGAATACCGATTTTACCATACTGTATAAAGTAGTAGCCAAGACAGACTACGCCGTTTAGTCTATAATTCGAGATTACGTAGTAAAGTAACAGTGTGATCGATAGCAGTATCCCATCTTAGAAATGAAACAATTATATATATTTTATATTAAAGTACTTCGTGTTAGTGCGAGCATCGCTTGATAAGACTGTAATGCACTGAAAATACAGTACGAAATTATTACAATAGTATTACTATACCGCTTCAGGCATAGCGCTTTATACACTGAATAACCTAAACTTATTCACTTGATTGATGATAATTGCGTTATACAGATTACATTGGCTTTATTGAAACATCTTTTTATATTGTAATTTGAAATCGACAATGAAGATGACAGTTGCTATCTGTGAATTAGGGGCAAATCATGAAAAACTTAAAAATATTGTTTGTAATGTACAAAAGTAATAATTTTTAATTTACAATGGTGTGATATTAGGTAAAAACCACTGTAGTTAGTAGTTCGGTTCTCAATGACTTCACTGCAAATAACGGAAAGCAAAGCTAATTCTGCTACTCCTATTCTAAATAAACTATCACGATAGAACGTAATACGTACTGTACGTACTATAGCATGATCAGATAAAATCGTCCGGCAGCATAGTACAGTACAGTCTACCGATACTTCAGTTAAAATGTAAATAATGGAATAAACTACAGTATGAAAAATATTACAAAAGAAAACAAAAAATGATAGAACTTGTGTTTTAAATAGAAATGGTACCTGGATTTAGTCTTCAAGAAATCAATACATGAATGTATAAATAATCAAAAAAATAACTTTACTCATTTACACTTGAGATGATAGTATTGAATGTCTTAAAAGGCGTACGATCGGTAATGAAAATATTTTTAGCATTCTTTACATCATTAGCTTAATAAGAGTAACACAAGTCCTGTGTTATTATCATAGTAATATCCGCTTCGTATGCGTATAACATGATTAAAATCGGAATACACCAAACAATTAAACTACTCTATTGCACAAATAGCAAGACCAATGTTTCAGAACGAGAAGAAACGTTTGCTCATTGGCCTGATCTCCACTTGAACAAATGATAACTAGGGAAATCATGGGGATCAGGTAAATGAGCAAACGTTTCTTCTTCTTCTGAAACATTGGCTATTACAGTAGTTCGTTGATACCATGAATATTCTTGCAAACTATGCTGCTCGAGCTAGCTTAGCCTAGATCGTAAACAGACATGACAGTACTGTTAAACCGAGCTACTTCTATCATAAACTGCAACAGTGCAGTCGGAGGCGTATCAAGTCTCGTCTTCAGGAATTACACAACTAACAGATCTTTGTATACGTATATATTCATCATATTTAATTATCGAAAATCGGGATGCAGCGTGCGGTACGGTATAAAGGATCTCAGAAGTTGAACGGAAATAAAAAAACGTTTTCTTTGATGATATGGAGGTGTGAAAAAAAAAAACAACGCTGTTCACTAGATTTTATACTGCAAATCAAATACAGTAGATCAAGACGCTTTTATGCCGGACTTATTTTGTTTTTTAACGCTTATCTTAAGATATTCTAGACTGAAGGAAAAGATTGATGATAAGTGCTTGCCATTACAATTCATGCGTTACAGCGCTGTATGTCGCTTAATTAATCGAAGTAGAATCTGAACGAGGAGTATCATTGAGATTTCTTGATAAGTTCGTGTTATGTAGAAGAAGGTATCTTTTCGTAACTCTGTAGTAGAGATTATCTGCAGCGTAGACTCGTATAAAGTTTCCGATATCTATGAAGACATGTACTATATATGTAGTGATACAGTACTGCATAACGCATATGTTAAACTCAAATCAATGTATAAAGTATTGTACAATAGAGTATACGTACAGTAAATTGGTAGTAATAATTAAAAATACAGAATACAGTATAGGGCGATCTATAAATCAAATTTTGTAATTCTTTACTCTTTTGAAAGTAGGAATAAAAAAAGAAGGTAGATAAGATGGATCAAAGTATGAATTATTACAAACGCCGCTAGTAAATAGAGCTAACGAATACTTTCTGATGACATGGAAATTGTTATTTTATTCTATTTTGTTATGCTTCCTAGCATACCGCTATCAAAGAAAATACTTACATTTTCGTGCTTAAATCTTGTTAAGATTTTAATTTCTCTCAGAGTCCGTTGGCAATATGTCTGATGCTCGAAAGGGCTAACCTTCTTAATGGCTACCTTGACACCAGCCAAATTATCAAAGGCAGAACTAGATATTGTAACAAGGGTGAAAAAATTTGTGAAAAAAAAAAATATAGTTCACATTACAGTAACTGTAGTAATCAAATAAAATTAATATCGATACTGCTATCTTTTTGAATGACACATTTGTCTTGTTGCAACACGCAACATGAGAATAAAGTTTTGATCAACATGCAAGTACAAAACACAATATACAGTACTGTAGACGTGTATAGAAGTAAAAAATTTTCTTTTAGAGAAAGCAAACTAAGGATTCGCTTGAGAATTAGTAATGCAACATCATCTACAATTGAAAGCCAGTCGCAATGTGAAAAAGTATGGAAAGACTGAGTTGTTGCATGTCGTCAGGGAACATTCAATCATGAATCACTCTTGATAACTTGGCTACGCCATTTGCAAGAGCAACAGCACCGCAAACGTGACATTAATCTGCATTTGCACTCCCTACTTACAATAATCCGTACAAATAGCTCTATTTTAGTCAATATGCAACATACGCGTATAGTATATTGTACAATTCAATCTTGCAAATTTCATAACAAGCCTTGCTACGGTAATCGGTAGTTATTAATTAGTAAAACGAGAACCATACTTGGAAATTCTATTTTTCTGGCTAGTAACATGGACTAGTACAGCAGCAATAATCGTACAACAGTAACAAGAAAGTGCAATTCAATTTTATTTATTTCGGTGCGAATATTGTGTCATGCTAGTGCCGTAAATCTGTGTATGATATCCGTAATGTTATGTTGTTCAATTTTTCCTTCCTATTTGCCGTTAATTAATGATCTAGTCATTTTTCATGCATACTATTCATACGAAATTAAGCCTTCGTACCCTTGTATTATTTTATCTTGCTGTACTGTAGGTCTTTGATACTTTGTGATCATGACCGAAAAATATGGCACACTGTCTATTTTTTGGCCCAAAATTGATGTACTATAATGCACTCTTTCTACTATTATCATGTGAAATTTGAGCAAATGTACGTAAGTAACAAAATTTTAATAGTCTAGTAAATAGAAATTGGATAAATTCAGTTTTTTTCTTAGGATTGAGGTGTATTACTACATGCTAAATTGATCATTAAGGAATAGTATTTACCAAAGCATAGTAGAGTATAGAATGGTTCATACAGTTTGTAGCTAATTTCGACAATTTATGTGCAATCAAGCATCAACTTTTGGCAAGTTGGTCAGCTTGCCAACATAGCTATGTTATTCATTTCCATTGATTAACATTGCTTGTATATATTGATAAGAGTAAGAATTTGTAGTTTATATGTTACGTATATATATTCACGATGGTGTTGAAATATTGATTTGAAAGGGAGAGTATCGTGGTCAGGTCAATGGCTTGGTGTCATTTGGAGAGTAGTAGGATTGGTGGGCAATGAAGTCAAAAGTTATTATGATGGTAGTCAAGAGGTAGCGATGACTTGAGAGTATTGAATATGGTTTGCGTAGATGATTTATTGAATCATGAATAGTGTCAACTGATTTTGAATCAATGTAAAAAAAGTTGGAAAAGATTATCTAACAGCAATTTGTTAGTAATCCAAGTCGAATCCATTGGGCAACCCCAGATTCCCGGTAGTTTTAAATAAGTGTGGACAGATGTAAATTTCTTTCTCAAGTAGTCTGTTGTCTTGTCTCGTGTTGAGACAAGTAATTTGTAACCTGATTGAAAGAAGTGAGAAAGAGTTGCAAAATCAAGTCTTTGTATCAAAGAGTTTATCTTAACTGGCTAGTAGAGGGATATTCGTTTTTGAGTTGTTACTGCCAAGCATTCTTGCAGTCATTGCTAAACAGGACTAAAGTTATCAAGTCAACCATGTTGACTAGATGACTACACTCACTACTGTAGTGTGTGGATTGAGAAAGAAAAAAATGCATAAACCATATAAACCATTTGGTGTAGTTTATCCATGGGAACTGTATCTAAACTATAGCCACGCAAGGCCACCTACTATAGCGTCACCGATCTGTTAGTGAGCAGTGAAAGAAGAGAAGATTTCGTGATTTGCAATGGCGCGGATAATTGATTAATTTACATTTGGAGGGGACAAGCGTTGAGCAAAACTGCAATTTTCTTGCATAGTCAGTGAAAGGATGTTACAAGGGTATGCATCCAATTTTCCACAGTATCCATAGTATTCAATATTTTACAGTATTTCATGACTAAATTGGTGTAAAATGGGTCCAAAGAAAAATTTATACAATACTCTACTATTGATTGTTTGAAAAGAATATTGAGATCCGTAAGTCCCGAATCAGTTGCTGTGTGACCATTCACCTTTGGCAATGGTGTCCTACCAGGATCGACTGGGTGTTTTTTTTTTTTTCCCTTTTCTATCTTTGAATTTTTTGGACTAAAATAAATCTATCTTAGAATAGTGTCAAGTACTAAGGTAGTGGAGTATTCTTTCTTTGGGTGTGTGTCAAGTCGGATAGAGTAAAGGCAAGAAAAAAAAGGAGAAGAAGCCAACAACGACTGAAAATGATAATAATCATGTGTCCAAAATGACAAGCAAACACCATGCGTTGACTTACCAAACTATACCGTAAGCGCCTTCACCGATATAACTGGAGTCTTTATAACGTGGTCCAACATCGAATACTTGACCGCGTACTACTTCGCAAGTGGATCTTATCGCTTGTGATGCGTTAGCCATGGATTCCTTGGTAGATTGCGTCTATTTAATTTTCTCACTATCAAAAAATTCAATAGGTATCACTGTAATCGATGACTAAACTATATGCTGTTGGAACAGATTTGTCAATTAATTTGAAGGATTTAAAAGGTTCAATCTTTCCATCACGTCTGTCTGTGTGTGAGGGCGCGTCTGCGCTCCTTTTGGCCTTGCCCTAGTGTACGATATATACTGTCCTGTACTGCACTTGTTGACCAGGTTACTTTCTTTCCGACATTTCCGTTTGGTGTACAGGAGTGTACTGATTGGATGACTATACTGTATTTATTTGGGGATTATTATTATCATTATCATTATTACAGTATATTATTTTTTTTAATATGATTCAATCTATTAATAATTCTTCTTATTATTAGACTGCTAGTCTGCTACAGTGCTACCAATGTCTAGGTCTGCAACCGAACGGTGTCCTTTTTCGCCCCTTTCCTTTCTTCCTTACTGTCAGTATGGCCGTCTGTCCCATGTTGTTGCAGAAAGATTGAGGTTCAGGCTCAATGAGCTGCTATCAAGCCATAGAGTTATCTGTAGTACTGTGCTAGTTTGCTACAGTGCTGTAATGTCGAAGTCTGCAACCGAACGGTGTCCTTTTTTCAACACCTTTCCTTTCTTCCTTACTGTCAGTATGGATGTCTGTCCCATGCTGTTGCAGAAAGATGCAGCTGCCATCAAGCCATAGCGTTATTTACGAGTTAGTACTGTGCTAGTAATGTCTAGGTCTGCAACCGAACGGTGTCCTTTTTCAACACCTTTCCTTTCTTCCTTACTGTCAGTATGGACGTCTGTCCCATGCTGTTGCAGAAAGATGCAGCTGCCATCAAGCCACAGCGTTATCTACGAGTTAGTACTGTGCTAGCTTGCTACAGTGCTAGTAATGTCTAGGTCTGCAACCGAACGGTGTCCTTTTTTCTTCCTTAGTATCAGTATGGATGTCTGTCCCATGCTGTTGCTGAAAGATGGAGCTGACATTAAGTCATGCTGTACAGTACTCTTTAAATAATCGCATGAAATTTGAGGTACAGACTCTTAGAATAATGTATCATCGTTTAAGCTATTTACGCTGAGTATCAGAGTAATCGCAGCTGGGCCTACTGTACAGTTATCTGTAGTACTGTGCTGTACACAGTGTACAGTACACTACAATTCCTACAGTGTGCGTACAATGTATTGTAATACTGGAGATCGTCTGCCAATTTATCGTCGTAACTGCTTACCTATCTTACATGGAGAACTTCAAATTTGTTCAACTGGCCGTCTTAAAAATAGGAACGGACACTTTTAACCGAAGTAAATTTTATCTTATTTGGATATTTCTTAGTTTCAAGGGTGAGGGCAAACATCTGATACCTCGCCCATGCAAATGGTTAATTTGCGATACACCCTAGACTGTACAAGTCGTACAGTAGCTACAGAGGATGACAGTTTGCTATCGGTTTGAAACCTTTCACGATTTCAATACTGAAAGATGGAGTGAGAAATTTTCAAGTGTTCGCTGACAGAAATAACACAGTTCATAAATGGTAATGATTTGGATTTTATAGTTTATTTTGGGCTTCAAACTACAGTACTGTACTCGGTCGGGTGTCGGTGATCAGAAAATGCCAAATTAATTCATTGAACGCCCCAGCTGGATAGTTCAAACTTCTATACTGTAGTGTACAGTACTGTACTGTGCTGTACACTAGTACAATCCTGCAATACAGACAGACAGAGATGCAGTCAGTGTCTCTTTTGAAGTCTTCTTTTATTATACTGTAAAGTGTGGCCTGTGGGTGTTGTCGCCTTGTCGACAATTTGTATCCATGTGATCGCAGATCGTTCCATTCGAGGATACAATTTTTGGATCAACTTTTACCAATCCCAAAAACATGCTTTTAGCATGTATGGATAGCTCTTGACTTTGAGTATCTATATCCCTGATTCAACTTTGCTTTTCTACCTAGCTATAATACTAAACCTAATTTTCCATCAGGATCAAGATTCATCAATATTAGTCGGCAACTTTCTATAATCAAGACCTTGATATAAACCTACTGTATGCGTATACCGTACAGTACTGTACACTGTACAGTATGGATTATACAGTACAGTCGTAGTTTCCATCGTCCAGGTCCAGGACGGCACATGTTTCAACTGCAAATATTGCAACTTGGCAAAGAATCGAACTACTATTGTAATTACTGATTACATATACAGTATAGCCTATAATTATTATAATAATGAAAGAATTAATTCGGGTAGATTACGATTGCAGGTGCCGCACTTATAAGAGCTATCGTTTCCTTAATCAATCCAGTGATTAGGAACAAAAGTGTCAGCTTGACGCTGTAGTTGTACTTTTGAACACTACCGTCGTACCGTAGCAGCTTGCTAAATAGCAGATGCGCCATCTACAGTATACAGTACAGTATACATGTACAGTACATGGTACTGTAGCGTAGCACTGTATTGTACAGTACAGTATAGTCCAGTCCTTACTGTACAGTACAGTTCAGTACATGGCCAGACGAAAACGTCATTACAAAAGAGGATCATTATGAAAGTTTTTCCCGTCACTCAGTAGCCAATTCCGGGCAAATAAATATTTATTACGTGGTTTAGTATCGAAACGAGAATGGGCCAAAAAGATGTTTCTATCCTAAAAGGGTACTTGTTACTTAGTAGCTAGGAGTGCAATATCGTTTACTGCACTGAGTGTACTTTAGTATTGCGCTCTTATGCATTTATTTTGGTCGATTTTGCACTCTGATCGTCAAGCACCAGTCACTGCACAAAGAGGCCTGAACAATCAATAAATAAGTTTATTTACTAGACTGTGGTCTCTAAACTGAGTGTACTTTAGTATTGAGCTCTTATGCATTTATTTTGGTCGGTTTTGCACTCTGATCGTCAAGCACCAGTCACTGCACAAAGAGGCCAGAACAATCAATAAATAAGTTTATTTACTGGAAAATGGATCGAACTTTTTTTCTCCAATCAATCAATAACAGTTTTTAGAACTGCCCTATACTGTACATTGTACAATACTGTGCTGTACTGGACTGTACGTAGACGGTAAATAAATAATAATAATACAGTACAACGCTGTACTGTATTGTAGTCTCAATAGCTCGTTGTCGTTGACAAATCTGTTAGTAGTATTTATTATTATTTACCTCCTGCATATTGCATTTTTTGTGTGTGATACCTGTACATTGTGCAGTACAGGCCACACGGGGGTTATACAAGTATCATAAACCTACAGCACTTTTGCACAGACAACCTTGGCCTCTTCATTCATAAATAAATAAATGATAAAAAAATTCTACAGTACAGTATGGAACATTATACTGTAGGTCGTCAATAACGTAATGACTATCGGCTGAATGTACAGTGTATGCGTGAAGTACTACAGTATATCTACAGTATGTCATATACTGTACATCTATACCATATATCTACAGTATATATGTTATAAAATATATATATAGTATTTAACATTACACCTGGACAGAAGTTATTATTATTGCCTTTCACCTAACGACGCATTGATAAAACATTGGCATGTTGCTAATTATATTAGGCGAAAGGACTATAAAGCATCTGCGAAATAATTAATTTTTTTTGTCTTATCCTTCTCCGCACTGTGTACACGTCTTTACAGCGCTTCCCAAAGATTTTCTTTTTTTTATTCTCGATATTGGCTAATATTGTTGCCACCAAGTCGTAGACGATAGCATTCCAATCCAACGAGACTGCAGCGAATGTTTATCGCTCTTGCTGCATTCGTCTTAATTGAAACAAATTCATTTAGATTTATTGCATTGTTTCCAAATCTCTTTTGACGTCACCTATTCGATGCTGTCTCGCCTGCTGGGCTAAAATTTTCAACATTGATCCCTTGTAATCGATCAATCGTGGTTCTCTGGTACTTAACTTCCATAGTGGCTCTTATCCTTGTTCTATATTGAAAGAGTTCTTTCCCTTCTTCCATGTTATTATTATATCGTCGCTTTCCCGATCGGGTATATTGGCTTGTTTATTATTGCGTAACGGATTAATCGATACAAGACCGAAGTGATTCAAGACTGCCATCCAAATTTTTCTTCATCTCTTGGTAAGTTCATTCATCTGTGATCCCGATAATAAATTGTCTCTACCATTGATCATGATTGCTCTATACGATAAATCACATTGGTACGGTTGTAATATACTCAATTTTGCTTCTCTTTTAACAGGGGGACTGACGAGTATTCGCTGTAGCGACGTAATCTCTACTGACCATAGTTTCGTGCGACGATTGCAAAAGAAGAAGAATTTTAACCAAAGTACTGTCAACCACTATGAAGACCTTTCAGACATATCTCAATTCTTTATGTAATGGTACATATAGTTGTATTCGCTGCCGGGCTCACTTAGCGGATCATAGCGAATTGATCTCCAAGGTAATTATTTAATTTACATGTACACTGTACAGCATATCTCATACATGGATAGGCCAACAGAATTGAACCGGGTAGCTTTTTTTCTCGTAAACGTAACATTTGAAGCGACGTCGTTCCAAGTATGAATGCACTCGTACTATGGTATAAGTTTTATATGCGCTAAAGGATGGTACATATCGATGTACTAATTGCCATCGAATTTAGCTTCTGTATACTTTCGGTAGTTCATCATTCGTAACCATTGTTAATGTTTTCTCTGCAAATCTTGTACAGTACGTTAGTAAGTTCCAGCAGTCGATTGCTGTACCAAGGAAAACTACTCCTGTAAACATTAGTACCGTATTGCCTGCAAGTTCAATTCATATCATTTCTATATGATACTGTACTGTAGCCTAGCCATTTTTTAATATACAGATGCTATAGGTGCGAGTTCGTACTTCATTCTTGGACTGATTGAATCGATTCTTCACGCAGTCAAGTACGACTACTTCACCAAGACGATACTGTTAGAATTGGTCATATAAAAAATAGTAAAAGTAATCTCAACTTCTCTAGACACAGATAAACTGCAAAGCTACAATTTGTAGACGTAGACAGCCCTTGGGCAAATGACAGCAAGAAGTTTAAACGCATAAACTAATTGATTTTCTTTCATCTTTATGATCTTCCTGGTAATTCTATTCTCAGTCGTTTCAAGGTAGCCGAGGACGTGCATACTTATTTAATTCAGTGTAAGTAAAATGAGTGATAATAGAACTAGTATTTTGAATGTTGAACGGTTTATATCGTAAAATCCAACTCTAAAGTGTTTAGAATGGCTAGCTGATGAAGTAGTACTGATAAATGCTGTGAAATTATAATTTCTTAATCCGCATTACACGATAATCATGCTATGCTGTATGTTGTACACGTAAGAAAAAAAGTTCATTTATTATTATCGACATCTTCCTTTTGTTATTGTTTTATTTTTTTTGTGTGCATTTGTTGACTTTTTGTTATTGGTATACAGATGTTCTGACAGACAGACATTGTACTCCTCTACTTGACTGCTCAGTATGCTATAGTACTCACTACTCATAACAGTAGACTATTGGACGAGAAAGAGAAAATATTTTCTTCACATAAATATGGAGATAATATGGACAGTAATAATATTGAAATTATCTCTCTCTGACTTGTATTCTAAAAAAGCAGCGCTAACTCGGAGTACACTTCAGGGCAATATTTGAAGTCTACTTCTTGGTACCGTGTTGACCACCTCATTACAACAGTGTTCCATCTTGATAGTAGTGCACTGCAGAAAATCAGAAATGGAACTATTTATTTTCGTCATTTTCACCATTCATTAATTAATGAATTCCATTTATTATCATCTCAGTATAATAAAAACGAGGAAGCTAAAAAAGAACTTGCTTCTGGAGTATACAGTACTGTAGTACCATATTATTAATGATAATACGGAAATTTTAAAATGTTGTAGCAAATTGCCGATAAATTATTTCAGTTTAAAATTACCGGTTTAACAGATCGTATGATCCGCAAACGTGAATTAATTCACACTAGAATCATTCCTGTCTTTTCGTAAGAAGTTGTAGCAAATTGCCGATAAATTATTTCAGTTTAAAATTACCGGTTTAACAGATCGTATGATCCGCGAACGTGAATTAATTCACACTAGAATCATTCCTGTCTTTTCGTAAGAAATTGTAGCAAATTGCCGATAAATTATTTCAGTTTAAAATTACCTGTTTAACAGATCGTATGATCCGCAAACGTAAATTAATTCACACTAAAATCATTTCTATCTTTTCGTAAGAAGTTATATAAGAAAATTTCGTGTCCTGCTCGACGTACAGTACTACGAATCACATCGACTAAAAAGTGCCCCACTTTAATATTACTGTACTACAGTATTATTTCATAACTATACTGTACAGTATACCACCCGATACAGTATTATACAGTATTGCATGGAGTATGCAAAAGATTCGTCACCCTTTCATGTCGTCCCTAATAATATCGCAGTAACAGTATTAAGGAGGATGATTCCGTAGAAGAACTATACTTTGCAGCTGCTTATACTATATTTGCTGCTGCAGTTTTACGATATAATAACTGTACCTCAGGACATTTCGCTTTTGGCTTTACTGTATTACCTATTTCTATTATTCAACTACTCGAATGCTAGAATATATTACAATAATAATTAATTAATATAATCTATAGTATATCGTATAATATGAAGCTAAGTTTCAATTTACGAACTGCAATACTTGTTTAATTCTCGTATCTATAGTGTAAACATTAGCTGCGGTCCTGCGGAACAACGTTACTTATTGACTGGATTACATGTCGTCTGTGATATTTTTTGCGAATGCTGTAAAGCCCCACTTGGTTGGAAATACGTAAGTATTGACTTGTTTGAAGAAAATTATTCATGAATTATAAGAATATAATTAATAAAGAGGCAATACTGTAATCTGATGATGACCGTATGGTCAATCAGAACTGATTACAGCTGTAGTATTATTCTGTACTATAATGATTGCCATCATGTTACAATTAGACCTACTGCTGTTTTACTCAAGTAAACATGTAGTGATGTATTACGCAAGCATTTATTCTGACAGTACCAAATGCCTAGCGAATACAACAGATTGAATAATATATTTCTCGTGTGTATACCCACAGGAAGAAGCTTGTGAATCAAGTCAAAAATACAAAGAAGGCAAATACATAATTGAACTAGCCCATATGATTAAAGAAAATAATTGGATTAATAATCAAGTATCCGATCGTCCCTTTAAAGCTGAAGTAAATTGAAATTAGTTAGCTTTAAAATGTTTGAGAAAGCGCCAAATTGAATCAATGCTTTTCCCTTTGAAAGCATGTAAATATTATTTCACTAGGGATAGGCTCTTAAGATATTCGTTATCTTATAAGCTAAATTCTTTTCAACGATGGCTTATTCCGTAGAGACCTATCCTAACTCTACGGCTACAATTGTCATCCTTGTTAAGTCATGTATCAGCCAATTGGCTTACGTCCATCACTTGACTTGTTACAGTTTTAAAAATAATAATCTATGATTGTCATGATTATGAATCAAAACTATAATTGATATTATGTAAAAAGGCCGCATAGCCTGGCCCATAAGGCAGTATCTTATGCAAGTACACAAATCATACTGTAATATATCCGATAAATTTTAGAATCTATATTGTTATTAGTCAACCACTTAAAATGTTCTATTTAAAAATGTTGGCGATTCGGTTATTAGCATTTAAGATAGTTTTAAAATGTTCAATTATTTAATATATTGGAAAGGTATGTTCTCCCATTTCTGTATTTAAGGTAACTGTTAAGTAAATTATTCTATTGTAACTCCTTTATCGTAACGATAATGCGCCATATTATACATCGAATTAGAAGACTTTCGTTCAAGCAAACACGAAACTAATATTTTCGAATACATAATATTTTAAACTATAATTGCTATCCTATAAAGTTGTCGCCACCGAACTAAGCCATACGTGAAACCGGTGTTGTTAGCGTCAAAGAGCAAGTTAATGATTGAATGACTCAACCTGCATTTTACTGAAGCACGATATGGGCATTTTCTTTGTACCGTCGTTGTGATGGTTTCGTAACCGCATCATCATCAAGGCACTTCTATCAGTGATCACACTTATTGTATATTACATTAAGTACTCACGCCTTGTCATCACTAATAAATACCTACCTGTTTAATCTCAACCATGATACGTGCCATTCATTTGAAAGATTTGCAGTATACTATAGTTTAACATCCAACCGCTATGATTGATTTTAAAAGGCATTTCTTACGTACACTCACAGATTTGGACGTATAACTGTATCCGAAATTTTTAAAGCCTCGTCAAGATTCTCAGGCTTTATTTTTTGTAGCCGAATTACAATACTAATCGTCTTAGCTGTCTTTACTTCAGTCGTAGAATAGAGTCATAAAATAAGTTATTATGTCATTATAACCTAAAAAATTATGAATTATAACAATTTTTGGATTCTTGTAATTTTGTGAGTTATTTCAAATAATTCATTATTTCATTTCTATTCAATTGTAAATTTCACATCTGTAGTATTAAAGTTTAATATTGTTTAATCTCTTAATAAATACAGTATAAACTATTATAAATGTGTATTTTAATTACAAAAGGCTGCTGTATAGTAAAAGGTCTGTGAAAAGGCTATGTCTCACTCCAAAATCCGATTCAAAATTTTTCTCCTCCAAAACTGGTCCGACTTCGAACGACAAATATTCGAATAGTCCGAATATCCGACTTGTGTAGTTATGGTTAAGAAAAATTTCTCGTCTATGTCTCGTATCGTAACAGAAATTTCGTTCGAAATAATCTTTCAAGTGTCATATCATGTCCTCTCCCTACCAAAGTTTTATATGAGTACCGTACATCATACTACAAAGTAGATACGAAAATAAGGGTAATGATTGCTAAAGTCTGTTGATAAAGAAACCACTATCATAAACTGCTTATTAAAATAACTGTTCTAGTAATGGTATTTCAATTATTTTCTTACAAACATTCGTATACTGGAGCTAATTATAAAAGTATGAAAATGGTGCTTTTCATGAAGATATGTAAGAACGCTAGACTTCAAATTACAAACGCGGCAGAGAACATTTGATATATTGTAATTTTTATTGACTGCCTCTTTGGAAGAAGAGAAGAATTCATTACATAGTTATATACTCTGTGGTAGTGCTACCTGGCGTATAGTTACAGTTCGATATACTGCATGATAAGATATTTAAACAACAGCTTCTTGCGTATTTTACATTAACGAAATACGAGCATCCTCATTGTCTAACTTGTATCTCTATAATTATAATTGAAAATTTTGACTCTACTGCTACAACACTCAAAAAAAAAGACTACACAGAAATATTAAATGTTAAAATAACAAAGTCTTAACACGTGTACAGTAATTAGATAGGTAATATAGTATAAAAAATTTACTGCAACAAATACGTTACAGGTTAAATACTTCCGGACTATTGTTTTGGTAATGATTACAGTACTCAATCTTAGCCCAGCGATAAACACAGCATGTACGCAAACATAAATATATATATATATACGGAAAATATAATTATACATTAGGACGTATAGTGCATAGTAACCTGTCACCAGTGACTAAAATCGTTAAAATTATTAGCGGCTTTATACTTTTTTATCCCAGAGGCTGTAGGTAACGAATGTGAAGACGTAGTTGAGCTTGAATAAATATGATTATATAATGCAAACTTAGTCTGTACGAAAGTAAACTTAATTATGGTTAATGCACTTTACAAGTAATTGCACATTTTGCAATCATATAAACTTCGTAGAATGTTCTAATATATTAGTCAATAAAATGAGAATTACCTCTGATCATCTGCAGCAATATATTTACCGATTCCTGTACGAAGAGCCTTCTTTGGTTGTTGTAAACTTGTTGAGATTACGTCAGCTTTCTGATTTCAATTAAGTTTAACATGTATTAAAATGACCCTTTCGTAAAATCCGATAAATTAGATTGTAACATCTTCACAAAGATTATTACCCTCTTATCTGCTGGTTTTGTATCTTTTAAGGACTGTTTTTCCTGCTCGATCTATAAATACGTATAACTTGATGCTATAGAAAAGATTTACTTTAATAATACATAAATACCGTACAACTTACAGCAGCATCAACTTCTTCAAATGGATCGACAAAAACGGTAGCTTGTATCAATTTAATTTCATCCTAAAGGGCAATTAAAAGGCAATATTTCAGCTAACTTAAATTTTTCAATGGTAAGAAGTAAAGACATTAACTATCAAAGATTCCTTACTTTCGGACGATCATTCTTATCGGTTTCTATTCGTTCAACAACATTAAGAACATCCATACCACCTACAAGCCTTCAAAGAAAGTTAAAGGTAGCCAAATAATCAATTATATACGATATTGAAACTCAAAAAAATTTGGCAAAGTATCATTAATACTAACTTTCCGAAGACAGTATGTTTATTATCAAGGTGGCGGCATGATCGAAATGTTATAAAACTATACAAAAGCAAACAGACAATATGATACGAAATCATCTTATTTTCATAGCCATACTGGTTAAAACAATCTTATAATTCTCAATATTTTCAGATTGTGAGTTACAAAAGCAGTTTAAATCCTTACAATTGTGATTTATTAGTATTAGTGCCAGAATTTGCCATGCTAAGAACTCCTCGACCTGTTATAATAGCATTCCTATATAAGTGACAATTATATCGTATAATCTGTAAGGTCTAAAGAGCAGTAAGTACAACCTTGATGAACAAGATTAGATTTAAATTCGTCTTTAAACGGCCTTCCAAAAGCAGATTCTCCACCTATAATATTAACACGTACATTTATTAATTGCTGAATAATAAAATTAATGTAAACCATAGACGAAACTGTTACTAAGTACAAGATTAGATACTGTCGTACCTTTGCCGGTCCCAGTCGGATCACCGCCTTGAAACATAAAATTGCGTATAAGGCGATGGAAGACTGTGTATAGTAGCGGAATATAATGAAGAATAGGCAAAAAATGTTAGTAATTTGAATTTAAACAACAAATTACTGACTAAATTAGTAAATATATATTTATATTTGCGGTATCAGTAATATTAGAGTAAGCATGTGGTCTTTTCTTACTAGTATCATTATAGTATCTAGATTTGCACAATTTTATAAAATTTTCACAGGCTCGTGGTACCTTGATAATGATCACGAAAAGTAAAATACATTTACAATATTAGACACTTCCTATAAGTTTTTAATTAGTTCTATTAATCCAAGCGATTACAAAGAGTCTAAGCTCTTGCTTGAAGTTACTGCTATAATCGCGGCTAGCGTTCGATGTAATTCCTATATTTACAAGCCTTACCAGATCACAATGGAGTTCTAAATTAAGATTTCCAAAATTTGTCTGCAAACGAACGTATCCTATGTTACAAAGAAGACAGTTATAGTTACCATTGCTAGAAACAATCTAGGTAAAGTGAATAAATTGAGCAACATTACCTTTAGATTTCACCTTTTGATATCTTACTATTTCATCGCTGATTATGGCTGGAAACGTTTAAGTACATCATTGATAAGCGAGTTTTACATTTCACTTTAAATTGACTGACATGCAAAACCTGACCACTAGTTAGATGTGACCAATACATCAAAAATAAATTAACTCTTAAGTTATACATACCGGCCTTTTGCTTTGTTTCAGGGACCACTGCCGTAGAAGTAAATGAAGCTGCCATTGCATTAGTAGAGTAATGTGCCTACAGATTAATTTACATTCAATTTATTCCAATTTATAGCGAAATAGTTTTATCACGGTAGATAACCCATAATATGAAATAGACACAAGTCTATAGACCGTTTGCTTTGTGCTCAAGTCTTCTTCCTTATCTTTCTGTAGAAGTTTATTCACGTCATCCTGTAGTATTAATACAAAATCTCTGTAGGTTCACTATTTTCATAAACATTTATTCATATTGGATGCAGAAAAGTTTAAAATATAACTTCATATTATACCAACCGTTTCATTCTTTTTTACGGTTAACTGGGAAAGAATGTCCTCTGTTTCAGGATTGCAGTAGTTCAGGTAGTATTTTGGATCTTCTTTCGCTTTAATCCTCTCTAAGTTATACAGTTTATTATAAAATTGATTTTAAAAGTTAATGATATGTATGTATGCTACTATAAAGTAATTTGCAGACCATCCAAATAGAATAATTAACTAAAAATATTATTCTTTGGTGGGCTTGATTGAATTGACTCCTCTACCTTCGTCGACTAATTTCAGGTTATTCTTAATATAGTGAAAGTCTGATATATTAAACTTGTCCAATTTAGTTGGGTCCTTAAAAGAATAGCGTAATAAATTCACAAGTATTATTAATCGATATTTATCAAGTTCAAGTAATGAATTTAAGAGAGGTTAAAATATAGGACTCAGACCTGTATAGTGATGACATCGCCTCTTTTAAATGGTTCATCATTAATTAAGTCTCTAAAGTGCTTTGGTTTAAAATTTAAGCGTTCAACGGCCTAGGAATTGATAATATTGTAGAAGGATAAATAAATATCCACAATTACATGTAATATAGATAAAACCTATTACAAGCAGCAGGCAATAGTCAATAAAGGGGAATTGAAATATTAACAAATCTTTACCTCATAAGAAAATACATTTCCAGACGTTTTGATAGCTATAATATGGGAATTTTTGGTAAAAACTTTGAATGTTACTGGGCAGTGATAACTTCCTTCTGAGTTTTTATGGAATACAAGCTTTGTTAAAGATTTCGGATCTAAAACCTATATATATATGCAATTGATAAGTACATTAGTAAGACGTAGTAATCCATGACCATTTAACTTTGTAAAGGTGTATTAATAGAAGATGATTATGGTGCTTATCGGTATCGGTAGTACAGTATATCTAAAGATGGTAGTTTAGTGTTACCTGTCCAGTAATGGGATTGTGGCCGTATTTTTTTAGATAGGGGACAATGTTCCTAGTATCATATGGACCATTAAAGAAAGCAAGATTATTAGTAATGCAATAGGTAAAAACTCACTATGCACACAGTATAATATGAATTTAATATAGTACTGCATCATATAGTCAATGGTTGAATATGATACTAATACAACAATAAAACTTACAGCAAATCAAAAATAATTCCTTCGGATGTACATACTGGGTACTCAAATGGCTGCAATGATAAGCTAAGTAAAAAATTTTAGAAAAGGCAAAATAAGAAAATTGATGGCATTAAATGGTACAGCACGAGAAGAGAAATTGGAGAAGTTTCAACTTTAGCTTGATGAACACATAATTGGTTCTTGAAATTGAAAGAGTATATATAAATTTTAGCGTAAAAAAACTACTCTGGCGCGTGTTTATTGATATTGATACACGAGTTTACTGATGTACTTAGCCAATTATAATATAAACGTGTACATTGGAAGTTATTTTATGCTCAAACCTGCAACAATCGAAGGGTAACCGTCTAAATTCTGCATTTTCTCCGGTTACACGCTCTAGGTAATCAAGCAATCAAGACAGTGATGATGCTGCTAGAATAGCGCGATGTACATATAGTTCATCAGTACTGTATAATACAGTAGCGCACAAAATCGATCAATTCTGCAAATATGACTGATCAAAGTAGTTGGGCAAATTGTCCTGTGCTGTTCATGGTAAGTGCAGTAGTCAATAACAAATATATTGCTCGTATGACATCATCTACGATCATCTACAGCTACTGTAGGTAGGCCTCTAAAAACTAGTTTGACAATTGAGTACATTACTATGTAGATTTTGTACATTCCTAACATTGGGTTGTAACGATTTCAGCTAATTACAGTAGCTGTGTATAGGGTTAAGAAGCCATGCACTACATGGGTAAGCATATCCATGAATATACTACAAGTTTCCTTGCAAAGATAATGAAATGTTGCAACGGTTACCACTTTTTTCGTATGTAAACAACATCATCCTTTCTTACCTTTGCGCTTGCCTCCGTAAAAGGTCGTCCACTCATTGCTAGTGATATACCTAGGTGTACAAAATAATAATATGCCTCGTTTACTTCAAATAGTCAGTGTTTTGCAGCCTAGTGAGCGTGATTATATCCTATCGTATTGCAATTGCTGTCTTTGTAACCAAGTTGAACGACTCTGCTTCCATTATGATAATTTAGGCAAGACGAATCAAATGATGCTATCAACATGATGACATTATTATTATTTCAGCTTACATTTTATCTTTCTGATGTTGTTTCTTGCCCATGATGGAGTCAGGATTCTTTTGGTATTAGGATTGATGGAATATTAGTATGGAAAGGATAGACAAGTGCAATATTGTCGATTTAATGCTATAATCGAACACAATCTGAATTGAAATTGGATTGGCCGAACAGTCTCTTCCTCAACGGGGAATGAACGGATTGTTGGGGTATGCTTGGAGACCAGTAGCGTGCTAGTACCGTATCGTTCCACACCGCACCGTTCCACACCGTACCGTACTGTGTCTGTATGCCATAGAGTACAGTGTACAGTACGTATCGAGAAGTACGTACTGTACACTGTAGGTACGATGACTACAAACCGTACTCTGGTTTTGGACTACAGTACTCCGGTCAATGTGGTAAGTCTGGTAAGATCTAATAGGGATTTTATAACTGCCCTTTGGCATGATCTACTCGTCGTGTTTCTTCTCGTTGTCCATGACTGTGCGTAGCAGCTACTGTACACTCAGTGTACCACCTACAGGTACGATGTGCTACAGGAAATCGCTAAAGGGGCAAATTTGATGACTATGATTGAATTGTAGATTAGAATAATTGAATAGAATTTCCAGTTCACTTAACGTAGCATGCGCAGTACGCTGTGCAGTACGCTGTGCAGTGTAGGTGTACTGTACTGTTATAAGTAAGTGATCGTGTACGAGCAATCGTCCATCTTTCCGCGCTTTACTCTTGGCCGGATGGACTTACAGACAGCACCAATTCAGTGGTAGACGGTTGACCTTCCCTCTGTTTATTTATTTATACAGAGGAGCGTGACTTGCGTCGGTACAGTGTACAGTACTTCAACACAGTACATTGTACAGTAGCACCGTAGCACCGTGTACTGTACACTACTTCACTGTACAGTACAGTACTGTACTGTACTGTATCATTGAAAGTGTCACCCCAGTCCGGTTGACACTGTGGCTGTTGTTTGTCACTACAGCACGTCACCCTACTGGCATCAACCACCAACGAGCACCAGCCAATCAATCCTTCGGACCTTCCGACTTCAAATCTGTTGTTCGTCACTACAGTACCGTCACCCTACTGGCATCAACCACCAACGAGCGCCAGCCAATCAATCGTTCGGACCTTCCGACTTCAAATCTGTTGTTCGTCACTACAGCACGTCACCGTACTGGCATCAACCACCAACGAGTACCAGCCAATCAGTCCTTCGGACTTTCCGACTTCAAATCTGTTGTTCGTCACTACAGCACGTCACCGTACTGGTATCAACCACCAACGAGCACCAGCCAATCTGTCCTTCGGACCTTCCGACTTCAAATCACAAGTTTGATGAAACGCTTTCTAGGGAGGGCAGAATAAACTACTGCTCCATTTCTTCGCTCTAATTTTTCTTCCACATCATTCAACGTTGACCTATCGATTAAATCTACTGTTTCAAAGTCATTATTAAGCCTTCAAGTCTGTGGATAGAAAGAAAAGATTGATTCAAGAGTTTATCTAATTTTTTTTTTTTCCCCCTTTCCCCGACCACCACAGGCAAATTGTTGCATTGCGATTTGCCGTTAATCACTGTATTGTACTTGGAGTCAAATCACAACGTTCACTGTCAGCTAGTCCGTCGATTCTTCAAAATGTCTTGGTCAAGGATTGAATTCTGCCGTAGCTTGATGTAACGACTCCTTGAATTGCCAGTGAGGAATGCTTCAACGCTCCATGGTTAGAATTGTTGATTAGATCAATAATCTACACGTGTTAGTCGATCGATTCTATAGCCATTGGCAGTTATTGCATAATTTGAAGATGTCCTTCTGCAAATGCCTTGTTTTAATGATTGTTGACGTTTTACCAACAGAGACGAACAATAGCAAGCAGCGTTAACGTACAATGATGGCACAAGAGTCTTACAATGAGGTAAAAGTAATATTATCATCGGATTTGAAAGTTATTTTCTACCCTATCATCATGCTATCCACATCAATATCTACTTCTTCGACGACAATGTTGTTGTCATGTTGAGGTTAACTTTGGGGGGGGATTCCAAACCGATGGGTACGAAACTGTTAGCGTCGGTTAGCCTTGCTTTTCCCCCTCTTGATATTGTCGTACCGATGATGGCGATAGAATAGTATTGATTTACCGAATAACATGGTAAGGATCAACGAGTAATCATCAAGTAGTAAAACAAGCCAATTAGATACGACACATAAACGAGCGTTAAAAAGACTGTTGGAGATCCAATCCAACCTTATCATTGTCGCTGCATGCAGCGAGATACCATGAATCATCACTTAGTGCATTCCTTGTCCATCCTACTACAATACCGGATTGGACATTGGCCTAAAAAACCAAATAACCATTCAACATGACGATATTGCTGTCTATTTGACGTGTTTCTACATCGTCCTTGTCCATTGCAACCATTCGTCAATAAACTACAATGAATCTACTGGTGTCATCGACACTTTTCGATCATCATCGTCATACATTACTATGATGATATTGGAGGGTTTACTTTGTAGCCAAAGCATTCTTTTTTGATGATACCGTCAACTTTTCATCCATCATCCACTCGCTGTATATAGACGTGTTGTATATCATAAAAACTCGTCTACTCCGACTATATAAACTACAGTCCAAGAATTTTCCCTATAATAATAACGATTATCAGTGCAATTCAGCGATTGATTTTTTTTTTTTTTCCAATATTCTATCGATCACAATACTACGGAAGTTGAATTTTATCCATGACATAGAAGGCATATTTCATCAAAGTCATTTTATTCTCGGTTGATTGTAAATAATTCTTCTCATGATAGTCAACTCTACAACTGCTTTCTTTGTTAGGCTAATACTTGTACTATAGGCTGATCAAATTAGACTGTCTTAAAAATGACTTTTCCCATCAAAACCAACTCAATACCCTATCCTATCGTTATCAACGCGCACGGTGTTTGCGATATCGTTTATCAGCTTATTTAAAAGATAATAACATGATTAAATATTACTGCATGAACACGTTTTTAATCCAATGCAACGAAATAACGATTAGCCCATGACGTAGTAATAAAGTGTTAACGTTTTAACTTTGTAACCCTACTGTCTAAAAACTGCCACCTCCACTATTACCAACCAAGTTGGTCATTCACCATCTTCAATATTCACACCTTCCGTCCTTATCCCAGACGGACTGGACTAAATTACGACCCACCGACGAGACGACATAAGTTCTGACTTTTTGTCCATGTCTGTTCTAAATTTCAAAGTTTGGGTGATAACGCAAAACGGTAACATTAAAAGTTACTTTCCCTCTTTACAATTAATGGAAGTTGAACGATCGGCCTCTCTATCGCAAAGTCTGTCCTTTATTTTTTGACGCTTATAGCAGTGTTTGGATAGTTCTGCCCATACAGACGCCGACCGAGCAATCTTACATTCCATATTGGAAATGAGTCACCCACCGTCTGACCTTGGCGAATTAATTATGATAGCGGTTAAATACGATACATAGTAATGGTTGAATAATTGAATTCTTATTTTATTAAAATAAGAAATGGATTTTTACTGAAGCAATAGGGGTTAATATGAGCTTGTGAAAAGCGATTGTAGTCTTTATTAGTTTACAGCCCTTATTCCTATGCCAGATGATGATTGAAGATAATTACAAGTAAACCTCTGATTTATTTTAGGGGTTGTAGAATTTTATAGTTGTTGACTTGCGGTGACTGACTGCTTATTATCCATAAAATAACTTTTTCTTTGCAATCAATACCAATATAGTACCATTGTTAACAATTTTACTTCTCTTGAGTCAAAAAGTGAAGTTTAAGGGTTCCTCATAGTATACGATTTACGTATACCTCTTTCCCCCTGCTGCTCCTTACCTCGCCGATTTTGATAGGGTGTATAGCTATTAAGCACTTCAAAACTTAATATCAAAAGGGATTCAATTAAGTAGTTGACTTTATTGTATATATACAGTATATATACCGGCACATAATTTAAAGCGAACTAAATTACCACTTAGCACTCTGACCATTACTAATATGAAGTAATCGCTTAAAATGCGTTCAATCCAACGCTATAATCTACTGGCGTCATAGATGTACTAATTTAGACGCGGGTCATTTTAATAGCTAAACTACAGCAGCATACTGATAGACGCTTAGATAGAGTCTAAATAGAATATAGAGTTTACGATACAAATTAAAGCCGTAGTAATTACGCAAGATATTTAATGAACAACATGAAGTAACCCATTTTATGTATTAATTGTTCTTAGGTTGACGAATTAAAGCAACGTTTTTTAGGTTTTGTCAACCAAGCCAGCCAAGCCTGTAAACAAGATAATTACCAATTGGCTAGCAAATTGTATACGCAAGCGATTGAACTAGATAAAAATAATCATGTTTTATTCAGCAATCGGTCTGCAGCGTATGTACGATGTGGAGAATATTATCTTGCTCTCCAAGATTCTAATCAGACCATTAAGTTAAATCCAACATGGCCAAAGGTAGATACAGTATATTGTACACTCATTCTTATCGTTATGCTTATACAGTATGCCTAGCTATCGGATAGTTAATTAAACGTAAAGACTGTACTACCATTAATCTCACCTTTAGCCTCATGGGTGAATTAGAATATTCACGTATGCATGCTACCATTCGTACAGTAAGTCAGAAAGAGCTTCTTGACTAGTCATTATGCCGTAATTATTACTAAACAGTATACATTGGTCTAACTAATAATTTCTGTGATTTGTGTGAAAGCTAAACAGTTGTTTTGAATGTCATAAAAAGTAAGCCTGCCTGGTATTTAATAAACCACAGGTGACAGATTTATAATACGTTCACTTATATCAATGCTTTTAGTTAAAGCGCTTACGCATTTAATATCGCTCTTGGCTATCCCTGTGGCTATATGTTTGTTATGTCCTTATTGCACATAGGAGACTACATGTAATGTGTTGGCAGTTGAATAGCTGAAAAATGACTCTTTTTGTTCTATAGCATTATAGCTCGTTATCAGCAATCTATCATAGAAATACTTGCGTAGTTAATGGTTATTACACCATCATCGTTGCGTATGCTACACTAATAAATATATATGTATAACTGCATATAGGGTTTCTTTCGTAAAGCCATTGCGCAACAAATGCTTGGCCATTTTTCAGACGCTTTAGAAACATTCGCAAGCGGGTTAGTATTGGAACCTCGTAATGATCAATTATTAAATGGATTAAAAATGGTATCTCTCCAGTGGTCATGGAAGGGTAAGTGAAATTGATGTCTATTCCATAAATTTTCGTCAATAGAATTGAAGTATGATTATAGCAATGGTAGTTGCAATCACTCGCTGAGTAAAAAAATGAACCTACTTTTTTTAAACATCTCGCTATCATGATCAACTTTATACATTTATACATTTTACTTTAATGTATTGTAACTGTATATTTAATCTATTCTAACGTTTACTTCTACATTTTATAATAAAAAAAATTAGAGAAATTACGTCCAATATGGAAACAACTTGAGAAAACTAAATTAGACAAAAACGCTTTCGTTGTCATTTCTGTTCTCGGTCAAGAACTATTGACAGCTGGACTAACGAAAAGTGCTATAGCTGTTTTAGAATCAGCATTAAAAATTGATTCTCAAAGTCTTAGGTTACGTGGCTCTGTATATTCAGCTCTTAGTACCGCATATTGGCGCTTAGGTGATACCGATCGAGCTATTCACTTTATGAATGAAGATCTTCAAGTTGCTAAACAACTAGAAGATGTTGACGGTGAATGCCGGGCTGTCGGAAATCTAGGAAATGCTTTGTTTGCTAAGCACCGTAGTCAAGACGCGTTAACACACCTTCGTGAACAACTAAAATTATCTATGAGGAGAAAAGATCGCTCTAGTGCTGCAGTCGCATTAAGTAGTCTTGGGCATGTATACTCTGCTCTTGGTGACATTAAGAATGCAATGGCAAGTCATAAGCAATGCCTTACCATTGTTTGCCAATTAAATGATAGAAAAAAAGAAGGTCAGGAATTAGGGAGCCTTGGTTCTATTTACCTTTGTATGGGAAATTGGCAAAGTGCAATGGAATGTCATCAAAAGCACCTTGACATTGCTCTAGAGTTAGAAGACAAACAGGAAGAAGCTAAAGTTTATAGCAACCTCGGTAGTTTGCATCAAGCCAAGCGAGATTATGCTAAAGCGGCTGAATATCATCAGGAGGTATTAAAAATAGGTAAAGACTTACATGACTTATTAATACAAGCGAGAGGATTAGCGTGCCTCGGTCATATCAATAGAGTAACTAATAATCTAAAGCAAGCTCGATTATATCACGAGCAACAGTTACAACTAACTACCGAAGCCAATGACTCAATCGGTAAAAGTAGAGCTTGTTCAAATTTAGGGATAGTATTGTATCTGCTTGGTGAATATCAAGAAGCTCTTAAATTACACAATACTCACTTAGAAAAAGCCAATCAAACTGAGGATTTAGCTGAACAATGCCTTGCCTATGGTAATATTGGCAACGTTTATTACTCATTAGGAAGTTACGATGAGGCAGTTCGTTATCATAAGCAAGCACTCTTAGCTTCAAAAAATACAAGTGATTACGTTGCAGAATGTAGTACTCATGGTAATTTAGCAATTGTTTATCAAGCCATGCATCAATTAGAAAAAGCAGAAAGCCATTATAGATTGCATCTTAGTATGGCCCAAGAATTTAATGATGAAAATAATGAACTCCGAGCTTTGAATAACCTAGGGAATTTTTATTGCTTCTTACACGATTATAGCCAAGCGATACCATACTATGAGAATTATTTGACATTATGTATTGACGTAGGCGATACTGATGGTGAAGAAAGAGCTTATCATTGTTTGGGATATGTATACTATTGCCTAAATAATTATCAAGAAGCTATTAAATACTTTCGTAAAGATCTAGAATTTACAAAGTCTACTAATAACAAAAATTTCATCGGTCGTGCTTATTGCAACTTAGGTTGTGCTTATAAAATGACTGGAAATTTTCAAGCAGCTTTATCGTGTATGAACGAATATGTTTCTATCGCTTCTGAAGTGAAATCTGCTAGTTTACTTTTCAGCGCTTATGGCCATGTTGGAGATGTGTATCTTGCCCTAGGTAGTCAAAATCAGGCAATCCAGTTTTTCGATAAGCAGTTAAAGTTTGCAAAAGTGTTGAAAGACAAATCCATGGAAGCTAACGCATATCAATCTCTTGGAAGTGCTTATCGAATTTTCAATTGCTATAATGAAGCGCTTGAAAATTATACTCACGAACGCAGAATTTTCGAGGAGTTAAATGATACTAGAGGAATCATTTGTGCATATGGTCATATAGGCTTAACCTATACAGCTCTAGGTCAATTCGAAAAAGCAATAGACTGCCATAAACAACAGTTGGTACATGCTGAAGATACTGTAAAAGATGGAAAACTCGCTGGTCTAGCTCATGGTAGAATTGGTGTAAATTATCGACTTTTAGGATGCCTAGATGACGCTTTGGACCATCATCTCAAACAGTTATCATTAATTGATGCCTTACGTGGCAATATAACACATAAATGCCGATCATATTGCGATTTAGGAGATACTTATGAAGCGCTTAAGAGATTTAAAGATGCCAGCGACTGCTTTGACAACTTACTATCTTTAGCACAAATAAGTGACAGAAAGCATGAACAAGAGCAAGGTTACTTTGGTATTGGTAGATGTAGTAAGGCACTAGGCAACCTACAACAAGCATTGATATATTTTGAAAAACGTCTGGCTATTTCTCGAGATCTTCCTAACCGAATAATGGGTTCAGCATATAAAGAACTTGGCTATTTACATTGTCAAATGGGAAACTACGAACAGGCACGTGATTACTTTAATGAGCAAATGAGTATTGCAAATTCAGGTGAGGATAAGCAAGGAATATGCGATGCTTCTAGCGGCCTTGGCCAAGTGTATCAAAAGATGGGAAACTTCCAGGATTCGTTATATTATCATGAAAAGGACTTTGCTATTTCAAATGAGATAAATTTTCAATTTGGACAACTTCGAGCTTTGGGAGAAATAGGAAATGTATACGAAACAATTGGAAACCTAGACCAAGCAATAGTATACCAAGAGCAACGCCTTAATCTTGCTGATACCATTCAAAATACCACGGCCAGTTGCAAAGCTCTCAGTTCTTTAGGTCGAATTCATCATGCCCTTGGCGACTATGGTAAATCAGTAGAGTATTCAAAAAGAGCGTTGCAAATCGCTATGGACATTAATTCTCTTGAAGATCAAGCAAAAATCCATCATCGGCTAGGCCTTTCATTATGGATGCTTGGTGAAGTAGCTCCTGCCGAAACTGCACTATATGATGCCTTAAGCATATTTGAGTCATTGAAATCAGATATGATTGCACGTGATAATTACCAATTCTCAATTATTGATTTACACATTGCCTGTTGTCAGGCTTTGCAACGTGTTCTGATCAGTGTTAATAAGTATGAAGAAGCCCTAGTAATTGCTGAACGAGGACGCTCTCAGACTTTCATAGATATCTTACTAAAGAAACAGCGAGATAATAGTACAAATCGTGTCAACAATAACAGCTCATCCATCAGTTTAGAACTTATTTATACATTCGTCGATAAGCGAAAAGTACCAGTTTTATACTATTCCATTGCTCTAGGACACTTATATGTATGGGTTTTAAAGCCCAACGAAGGTGTTGTCAAATTTCAAGAATGCTTGGTAGACGATACAGAAGCTACCGACCCTATCGATCCAGAAAGTAGCATAGGCTCTATTAGTATGACTTGTACATTACCTGTAATTGATCAGTATGTCACCAACATGAGGCAGGCTCTTGGCGTAGAATTACATCAACGATCTACAGCTAGTAGCATGCATTCATTGATTGCTATGCACAGTAGTAGTGCTTCAGAATGGGAAACTGATAGTGAAATGTTAGGGAGAAGTTTCGAAGAATTACATCGAGGTATCGATAATTATTTGAGCTCTACTGAAGACGAATCTCGTCCTTATGCACTTGGTGTTAATAGACGTGGTAGTACTGCAAGTGCAAACAATCAATATAGTAAAAAGCGGAGTACCTTAAATCGTCAACCGTTACGAGCCTTATACGATCTATTAATTACACCGATTGAGGATGCTTTACCAACTAATCCATCAAATAAGGAATTGATGCTTATATTGCAAGGAGATCTATTTCTGGTACCCTTCAGTTTACTGAAAGGAACAATCAATAAAGAATATCTATACTCACGGTTTAGCCTAACTGTACTACCATCGTTAATGGCCATGAGTAACATTCAAGATGATTACAATCATTCTTTAATCTTATCTCCCGACAATGTACCAGCCCTCCTTGTAGGTAGTGCTGCTATTCCGAGCTACTGCGAGTTACCTAATGGAAGTGATGTAGAAATAAAATGTGTTTCATCGATAATAAGTCGGAGACCCCTAATAGGCAGAATGGCCACCAAGGACTATGTACTCCGAAATTTAGCGGCCGCGGAATGCATTCACTTTAATGTTCACGTATCATGGAAGCTTTCGGCTATAATTTTATCATCAGGTACTTTAATTCTCTCTGTATAGATTAAATATAAATTTATATATATACTTTTAATTATAATTAATTTTATAACTCTTTAACTCATCAATTTTACTATACATTATTTGACATATCGTATTTTTCCCTTATTCTTACACTTGTATTTTACTTACATCTTTGTTCTGTTTTATAAACAGATGAACTAAATATACCTACTGACGATGAGTCGGTTTATAGCGATGGTTCGGATATAGCACCAGCACCAATGCAATTTCTTTTAACTCCAGCTGATATTCTTAGTTTAAAATTAAATGCTAAAGTAGTCACCATAAGCCCATATTCTAATCCGAGCGGCACTAATGGTGGTAGAATTACTTCTGATAGTATCCTAGCTTTATCACGTGCTTTTCTTGAGGCGGGAGCGATTTCTGTATTAGTGTCTTTGTGGCCAGTACAAGAAGACGTGTCGATAATATTCTTTCGATGCTTTTATCAGTGTTTGACTCATGGCATGACTGTAAATCAGTCATTAACTCAAGCCATGTCTGTAGTAAGACATACCAAGAAATTATCTCATCCATCTTATTGGGCCGGTTACTTACTTCTTGGTGACGGAACTAACGCAGTTTTTAGTAATAAATCATCTTTACTAGCTTTTTCTCTTGGTAAAATTTTATCGGAACCTAGAGAATGTCGTGAGCCGCTAAAGGTTATTTTGCATTTGGTAAGTTGTAAAGCAAATGCATAGTAAAGGTTGGGACGAATGGCTATTACTTTCATTGCCCTCTAATTTATTAATGTTATTGATTATTAATATAAATAGATTAAAAAGGCGTATCAGCGGATTAAGATAGGACAAAATTCAAACATGTACACATCTCAAGATAGTATTGGAAAAAAAGTACAATGGATAAATGGTTGGAAAGAAATTTTACTTTCGGTTGGATTTCGTCTTGAGCCTGAAAATAAAAATTTGCCTGCATCTGTATTTTTTCCCAATGATGATTACTACAATAGAATTTCCTTATCAATTGAATGCCTGCATGCACTTTTAGGTCAGTAGTAGTAAGCTATTTCTTATTTTATCTGTATTGTTGATATATTAAACATTTTTAAATCATAGTATATGCAAATTAGTAATAGATATGTTTGCTGTTGCTTATTGATCACATTAATTCTTGATTACAGGTTTAAATTCTCGCTCTTTATTGAGTATATCTCAATTATTAAAAAATCCTAGTCACGTTGCCCCGTTACTAAATGTGGTATGTAGAGTACAAAAGTTATAGCTTAGCGTATCTTAGTTACAATTAGTATAAAAAAACTTACTGTTGTATTAACTAACTATAAATATAGATCAATGACTTTATTAATCAAAATCCTGGCGAAGCTGGTGCAGTAACGAAATTCACATTGAACGGCCGTTCGTGGCATAGTCCTGGTTGTCATGAACTGTTAGCAGGCCTTGGTTTCGATATGCTAAGTATCAGTAAAGAAAGCGTCGTTTTATCATCCAGAAACGTTAAGAATATGAGATTCGTTCAAAGTACTAGAAAAGCTCTTAACTTATTATTTGGTACGTTCTTCTGTTGCACCTAGGCCTAAAACTGCTTCTGCATCTAAATTTAATTTTTCTTTCCTTCTACAAATTAGACTATGGAAAAGACAATGGAACCCTTCACCGATCCAATAGTAAACAAACGGTAATCCTGAGTGATACCATAGATAACTTAGAGGCCATTTCTGTTTAAAGTGAGCGTGAGATCGACTATGGTATCACTATTATCATTAACACATTATCATACATGATGACCTCATATATAATAGAATATCTCATCAATCGACACCAATAATTCTGGTCATTACTACCATATGTATTTATTAATATTAAATCGAAACTATTCTTGATACGTTATTAGTTTATATGATTACTTTTAGACTTTCGAATGAATCTATATTTTATCTTCAAATGCGAATAGCGCTGTTGTCTCTTTCTGTAATCTATATAAATATGTATATAAGAATATATAATTAGATGTGCACCTATGGATTCTGCTGCATGCGTGCATGTACAGATATTTTATGTAGTAAATAATTATATTGCAAAATAATTTGTAAATAATTATCATTAGAATGATTGCTGCGATGATCCGGCTTACGTATTGATGAAAATAGACATATACAAGCGTACAAAATGGATAGCATTTTGTATTACAAATTTATTCTACGTCATTTTTCTCGTACTTTTACTTGAATTCGATATCATGGAAGAAAATTCGATTAAGATAATATTCACTGTAAATTATATTTTTATGTAATATTGTATCATTAACGACGACATAGATTTTTTTAGCGGGAAGAAATATTTCTATATTCAGTATAATTATTGGGCTGTCTGTTAATACAGATAAGTCGTATTTATTTATTGGCAAATAGTCATCCATAAATTCTATTAAGAGTGTATATCAGTATCATTTATTCATCACTCATTTTTATTTTTATATCTACATTATATGGTAATTAATGTGAAAGATTTCTTTAGATATACTTGGCTCAGTTCTCTTAGTGGTACACGTATAGTCGTGAGCTGTATTATTTCTATTACAAAATTTTGTTACAACTGAGTTAACGCTCAACTTATTTGTCGGACATGTACAACTATCGCGCGTGTTAGTCTGATATTTTAAATGATTGTAATCTCTGTATAATTTTAATGATTAAAGTGATGATTAACTAATGCTGCGCGTGATCAAACCCTTAATGTATTAAGTAGACACCTATCTGAGGGAAGATCAACATTTGAGTCTAAAAATTTCATAGATTAGATTAATTGCTGTCTGCTAGGCACAACTTGTTTGAGCTGAAATTAATAATTCTCTATAGTGTCCAGCTGTTTTATGCTCCCCTACGATGGGTCAAAAAAGTGAAGTATGGTGTTAGTAAAACACCCGCTGACTTTCTTTTAAATTTATGGTATTAACCTTGACCAATCGAACTGTAGAACAGAAACTGCATATCATCTCATTAGTTTATTTACTTAACTACAGTAATTACCCTATTTGATACATGAGCGTGTTCATTCTATTCAATAGTTCATCCCATAAACTATAGTGTAACAATTGGTATATTTAGTATATAATTGGTTATTCGTGACTGTGTCAGACTGACTAATTTGGGACATAGATACCGTGCCTAATGTCATACCATATATTTAAGTGCTATAAATTTTAGAATCCCATACAATTATAAGGTACTGTACGTTAAAGCAGCAATTATTTTAGGCTGGGTAAGATCTATACTGGTATAAACATCTATTATCATTCATTTATTAGGCTTGATCATATCAAATTGATTTATCTATACACCAGTACTACTACTGTACATACAATCAAAGTATCGACAATTCTACAGTGATAATAGCTTATTATAATTATGAAAGCGGTAATCAACAAAAGCTAGCGTAGGAGACCCATAGATCTTGCTGTGCAACCATCCATTAACTATTAGTCACCATGATATCGAAGGGATTGATCTATAATAAAAAATAATGTATAATTTAAGATATTTGCTTCATTTTATAACCATCTTCTTATAAGATATGTTCAAAATGGTGTCTACAAGACTAGTAGGTGAGATATATCTCTCTCACGGTATATCTATCAATTTTATTTATTACATAATGATATCATACCGATTGATCTAGGACTGAAAATGAGTCAGTACTGTATAATTTAATGTTATTAAGCACACTCTCATAGCAGGTTAGTTTAAATTTACTAATCTGAATACTACTACATGAGATATCCATAGCACCGCAGGCAATTATTAATTAATTCATTATGATTGATCTACGTGATAAAGTGTCTAATCTAAATTTAATAAAGTATGAAGCCTCTGCATCTTAGGAAAATAATTCACTTTATTACATGGGATTACGTCTTCTACCAAGGACTGCAATAACTCTCATAATTTTATGATCATCCATTTTAAGGCACCGCTAAACTGTTCAAGAAGCAGCGTATCAGCTGACTGATGTAAAATGATGACATTAGTGCGATAGCGTATATTCAAGAAAAGTATCATTTTAAGCGAATTATACCATTCAGAGGCCAGTCTGAGCTTAGAAGATATCGTTAGAGCAGGCATGTAAAGACTCGCTGATATGATCTATGCTGATCTGTAGGTCTCCATTTAAAAAATTGGCTAGCATCATTAAAGGAATAGATAGTATTCTAGTGGCATTTTCTTAGAATATACCGTTAGAGCAGCATGTATATATGTATTATGGCCTACGTTTTCCCGTAACATATACAGTGCTGTATATGCAAACGGACAAAGGTCTGGCAGATGTATCTATATAGATCTCCATTCCAAAAATATTATTATTAAAAGCGACTACATCATTCTGCGGGCTTTCTCTTAGAAGATCCTGTTAGAGTTGTAATGTGAAGACTACCGGTAGTAGATAAGACCTATGCTAACCTATCGCTTTACATTCAAAAAATATCATTTACGGGAAATACGACTCGTGTATCATTCTGTAAGCATTCCCTTAGAAGATCTCCTTTTAGCAGCAATGTAAATTCACTAGCCGAAAAGATCTGCAATGAGCTTTAGATCTCACGATACAATTATAAATTCCAATTATTAGTCCACTAATTGACTTCTTGTAGTCATAATGTTATGCATTTTACGGCTGAAGCCCGAATAAGAGTACATATACTTTAAGTAAGATTACTTGCTACAGCTACAAAGAAAGGAAACCAGCTTCGTTTACTTCTTTTCAGATATGCAATAAAATTAAATACTTTCGTAGTGCAATAAAATGATTCAATACTTTGCTTTTTACTTAAAGGTACCTGCATAGGCGTCTAAAGCTGGAAATTTGAAAGATTTTACTCTTCATTTAGGCTTTAGTCGGCTATTATGCATAATAGATGCATAATAGCTGGATCGGGTTTTAGCCGTGACATATATATATACGTATATATTGCTGTATAGAGAGATATACAGAAAGGCAAACTTGACCTATTGCATTGGTATGATATATATGACAGTAACAAATATATACGTATATATTGCTATATAGAGTGATATACAGAAAGGCAAACTTGACCTATTGCATTGGTATGATATATATGACAATAACAAATATATACGTCTATATTGCTATATAGAGAGATATACAGAAAGGCAAACTTGACCTATTGCATTGGTAGGATATATATGACAATAACAAATATATACGTCTATATTGCTATATAGAGAGATATACAGAAAGGCAAACTTGACCTATTGCATTGGTATGATATATATACATATATAAGGTCTATCAAATGGTAATACTATCTGTTAAATGAGCACATTATCGTAAACCGTCAGCAAAGCGACGGGAGTTTGCACTAGTATATATGACAGTAACAAATATATACGTATACATTGCTATATAGAGTGATATACAGAAAGGCAAACTTGACCTATTGCATTGGTATGATATATATGACAATAACAAATATATACGTCTATATTGCTATATAGAGAGATATACAGAAAGGCAAACTTGACCTATTGCATTGGTATGATATATATGACAATAACAAATATATACGTCTATATTGCTATATAGAGAGATATACAAAGATAAATTTCACCTGCTGCATTGGTATGATATAGATACGTACATGTTGCTATATAAAGAGATATATAGAAAGACAAATTTGGTCTATTGCATTGGTATGATCTATGCACGTCTATATTGCTATATAGAGAGATTTAAAGAAAGATCAATTTGACCTATTGCATGGGCATGATATATATATATATATATATATTGCTATCTCTCTCTTTCTATATATGTTGACAGAAAGACAAATTCGACCTATTCCATTGCATTGATATTGAGTGATATCTGTCCGTTGTGATAGGGCCGATAGCCAACACCATCCGATCGATGGAGACACTTTTAAGATATACGAGTATCGATGGAGATATATATATATGGAAAGACAAATTGAACCTATTCCATTGCATATTGAGTGTTATCGGTCCGTTATGATAGGCCAATAGCCAAGCCTGTTGTCTATCTGAGGTAACTTTGACGACATACTTGTCTCTCTCCGGTAGAGATTTACCAAAAGACAAATTTGATCTATTCCACTAGTATTGAGTGCATCGATCGATCTGTTATGCTAGGCCGGATAGCCGTAAGTCATTGCTTAGTAGATAGCATTAAAATAGTGGAAATTAAATCAGCAGATATACCAGCAAACCCAGCCAAAGCATGAGTAACCTTGGCTCCTCTACAGTCCAAGATGCATTGGTCGACGATCGATAGGCTTACTACTGAGTCATGACTACAACGCCTATATATACACATAGTATCATGGATACAGGTTGCAGCAGAAGCTAGCGTAGCCATACGTTTCAAACCATAATTGATAGCTTGTAGTAACCCAAGTAGGATTTGCCTTGGCCACCTTAGCTGACATTCATCAGTTATTCTCATCATTAATTCATGAAGGAAAAGTAGAATTGATTAATTGGATCATCAGTAGCAAAAGTCAAGATCGATAGAGACTACTATAATATCTGATGGTGTT